TATTCGTGGAATTTAAATTCCTAGGTTTATACCCCAAATTAAAAATATCTGTGTTCCATTAAAATTTACTTTATTTTAAAAAAGTGGCCCCCGAAGGCAGTGACATAAATTTTTTAATGTTTGTAACGCATTGTCTCCGATTACCCACAGATGGAACCGTCTCATTGCAAAGAAGCAAACTCAGGGTTCTCATTGATTTAACGTTAAGTTAAAATGTTAAATCACTTTATACTTATTTTTTGGTATAACGGTATTTTATTTTCAAGGCATGTTTAAATACAATTAAATTAAATTAATAATACAAAATAATCTAAAATATAAACAATCAACGTCCTCCCCCCCCCCAGAGGGCCGCGGAAAAATTATCTAACGTTGACAGGTCTGCGGTGATAAAAAAAGGTTGGGGAACACTGATATAGATGATAAGGAGCTTTTAAGCAATTTTGTTTGCTCTTTTTAACTATCATGAATTAAATTCACGTTTATGCACTTTTTACTCTTCTTTGTAATTAAACGTATTTATTACTTTTTCCTAATTTATTTCAATGAATAAAAAATTTGAATTGAAAGTTTGAAGCGAGTGTTTTAAAAAGCAAAATAATAAACCATATTCTTTTTTTGGACTTTCTTAAATGCGTCGGATAGTGAAGAACGTTTATTTGCTAATATATTACATACATTTCTGGTCATGTGGAATTTTGAAATAACTAGAAATAACTGTCTCTGACATATTACTTCTAAACATCATTAAAATTCAAAATTTATAAATTTAGTAAAATATAATTTAAATTTTCTTTAGTATCTTTATTCAAAACAAATCCTTACTCATCATAATTATTACTCGTTTGCTCTTGTAACATCAATAACCTGACTTAAAAGGTTAATGGGAAGAACATGTTTAAGGCCATTTAGTGAAAATGGGTAAATCTCTCATGGGATGTGCATAAATGTCAAGAAGCCCCTTGCAAAACAGTATTATTATTGTTATTATTTTTGAAAAATGGATTTAAAATTGAGGCATATATCTTGAACGTCGGTACTGAAGCCCATCATAAATTCATAAAGAATTTTAAAATTTAATTTTTTGAAAATGCTACTCAACATATAGTTAATACAATCAACATTAATTATAATTTTTCAAAAAATGGATCTTTTATCACTTATTTCCAAAAAATTTTATTAGAAGGGATCAAGAGGGTTACAATTTTATTTCTTAAAACAATAGTTTCACATAGAATGAATCTTTGAGATAAATATTTTCATGAAAAACTTTATTTTTGAAAGATACAAACAAAAAATGCAAACATTACAGAGACACTTCTATTAAATGATGTTTTTCATGGTTTCTGTGAACCTGATTAATGTTACTCAATTATTAGTAATTACTCAATTGAATGATGAGGGTATGGTTTATTAATTACTAACAACTATAAATTTTTTTAGGGCAAAGTGTACATATATGACAAAGTATTTAAGCCAAATGCTACTCAAGAAAAAGTATATAACGATTCAGCACAAGCAATAGTTAAAGGTAAGTTTATTATGTATTAAATCCAGTCTTGTATTTCAGTTTATCCCATTTTTATTATTTGATTATCTGTGTAATCAATTTAGAGTGCCTGTGATTCTGGATACTGTGCTCTATTTGTTTTTACCTCTATTAACCTTGAAAACTGTATAATATTTTTAAACAGCACTTTGGGCTTATGATTCCGTGGAATATATAAAGATTACTAACTTAGTTTGAATTATTAGATTAATTACAAGAGTTTAATAAATTTGAAATAAGATATCAATTTTATATAAGGAAATTCGTTATTTCAGCAAAGTTACATGATAGAATCATTAGTAATCTGATAACTAAATATTTGTTGATGATTCCATTTTCTTTTAAGAATGAAACTTAAGAGATTGTAAACTTGTTTTATAAATACAACTATGGCAAAATCTTTTCTTTCTAAACTTCTCTTTAAATAATTTTTTTAAAAGTTTGATTAATATGTTGTTATCCATAGTGTGTTTCACGAATACAATAAAAAAAATTTCGCATGCATATAGTACTAAAACTACTTAAACTACAGTAAAAGCTATTGAATATTTGGCCAGTTATCTAAACTTAATACGAATATCACACGAGAGAAGAATATGAGCTACGTAAGCGTAACCTCACCTGAAAAGGCAATTTTGCTGTTCGGAGTTGCCGATAGGGTTGCTTATTTGCCCGAACTGTTGACCGTAACGGGTTACCATGTTTTATTATTTATCCTAAACTTTTAGCTAATATAATTTTTTTTATCGTCTGAAGCTATTAACTCATATTTTTTCAACGCTGTTCGTAAAGGGAGGAAAAGGAAATCACAAACATTGTAGAATTGGTATTAGTTAATTTTGTGCATTTTATAATCTTTGTTAAGCTGCAATTAAAAATTCTAAACAATTCACTTGCACATTAGTAAAGCTGCCGAGTATCAAAATAATTATCACTGATATGGAAATGATTTTAAGATAAAGACGCATTTCAATATTCCATTTTTAAAAGGATAAAGGGGTAAGCTTAAATCATTTTTATCTAGCATTTTCTGATTTTATTTTTACATTGAATCGAGTGGCTAATATTTTTGAAGTTATATAGGTAAAAGTGTAGTTTTTGACTAATAAATATTTACTTATCTTACATTGCTATATAGGGAAGGTATCGCTACCCATGGTTATCATTACGCTGAATCGAATGAACATAAAAGAAAGTTGTCTGATTTAATAGTTTAGCAGTTATAAAATTTATTAAAGGTTTCGCGTGAACAAAGTATTTAAACTAATTTACGCAAGAGACATTGCTATTTTGACAATTGAGACATTGCTATTTAGACAATTGAGACATTACTTCAAATTTATTTTACACTAAGTCTAATAAAATTAAAACTAATCCTTTAAACTAATAGTTTAAAAGAAATGAGGATTTTATGCATGAAATTTACAATTTCTGACTTGCCTTTTACCCATAAAGTACTTATAACTTTACAACCATAAGACCTATCAAATCAACTTAGATTTTCTAAAAAATTTAGTTCAAAAAAATACGTAAAAAATAATACCTGACTTGCCAATTTAACAGTGTCTAAAGGTTTTATTGTCATATAATTAATTAATTGATATTACATTAATTGTAATTATAATCGGAAATAATACTTTTGCGAATTTATCATTTTTGATTATAATGATTTTCTATTGGAAGAGGCTTGGTTATGACGAATTAAATGTCATAATTACAGTTTATTATTGGGGAATTAAAAACATTGGTATAATATAATATAATTAAAAATTACTGGACTTATTTTAAAACAAATTTATTGTAACATTCAACATATAAATTAAATAATAACTAAAGGAAAAACAATGTCTTCTTAAGAGCACCGTATCATAAATTTGTAAGAGACAAGGTAAATATTTACCCCACATGATTTCTGAGTTTTCTAACTGTTACTGCTTCAAAACAAGCTTTTCAAAACTTAAAGAATTCTTAGGAAAGAATAAAATGACTATTAAAAAAGAAACACGAAAAAGTTAAGACTTTTTTCAAATAATTGAACATATGCTTTTATAATCAACAAAATTAAAGATTATAAACCAAGATTAAAATTTAAAAATAAAAAATTACAAACTCTATTATATTATATTTCATAAGTTGGAATAATGAATTAAAGTTTGGAGAGTTACTTGGCTAATTGAATCTTTTCGGTTGCAGAAATCCTTGTCTATATGAAAATAGATATTATTACTATCAAAAGTAATCAAAGTTCTGATTGGAACGAATTATAATAAGTTTTAATTCTATTAGTTTAGAATGAATTAGTTTAGAACAGTAATTCTTAAAAAAAAAAAAAAAAAAAAACGTTTAACAAGAAAATAGTTTACTGCAGTTACCACCGCTAAAATTATGTGCAGATTGGTAGGTACTTTATTTATGTCGCACTAGAGCAGCACAATGGGGTATTGGCGACGCACTGGGAAACATCCCTGAGGAGGATCCGAAGACATGCCATCGCAATTCTGACCCTCTTGCGAGGGGATGGCTCCCCTGCTTTGGTAGCCCGACGACCTGAGCGCGAAGTCGAGCACTTTACGGTAGAGCAGATTAACGATGGCCGATAACCTGGCCCCTCGGTCCCTACGCAGGCTGATCAAAGTGGTCACCCACTCGCTTACTGACCGCAGCCAGTGATGCTTAACTTCGGTGTTCTACTGGGAACCTTGTCCTTACGACCAGTCCACTGCAGGACATCATTAAATGTATAGCTTTTTGCATTCAAGTCAAAGAAGTTGGAGTTAGCTGGATGTTAAATTAGATTATAAATTTCCTGATTGTGGTACTTTTCTGCGCATGAATCTAGTACCCTATTCCATAATATAATATGATGCGCAGATTGCTGTTATGGTACATCAATTGCATTGAGTTTTTCTTTTCATCAGATGAAAGTACTTTTAAATCTTAAATTTAAAAATGAATGTTATTTTTACACTATAAAACTGTTCTTTTTCATCAATGAAAAATTTCGTCCGATAATCCTCTTCCTCTCCACTGACGCCATTATTATTTACATTTGTAAATGTCATCGCATTGAATTGAAACGTCATAAACTGCAAATGATCTGAGTGGTTAAAATGTGAATTGCTTTAAATCATAGACAATTTTTTCTCAGTGAGAGAAATAGGTTGTTGATATTTTGGACAAAAGTTTCGGCCAATTTTTGGAGGAAGTTGAGGATACGATTGTGTTTTCGATTGTCTTGCCAATAATTTTCATCGTGTGATATACCAATTAAGTATGACGAGAGGAAAAAATAAAAAATTACTATGTTTAGAAAAACGCAACTAATTCCAACACTTCCACGCTTTTTTCTTTTAATTTTATCTTTTACCCTTTTTTTTAATCATCCACCCTTTCATTCTCCTCTTCTGCTTTATTTTCTTCTTTCCTTCTTCTTTTTTTCTTTCTCCTTCATAATTTTCTTCATCGTTTTTTAATTTTTTTTACCCATTCTCCCCTTTTTCAAACATATTCTTCCTACCTTTCTTTCTTGCGAATATACATTTTCTTCTATTAATGACTTGTGTCATCCTTCCTCATTTCCTTTCTTTGTTAATTTTTTTTTTATTTTTACATTTTACCTTTATTTTATCCTTTTCCTTCCTTCTTCCCTACCTTTTTTTTCTCTCCATTTTTCAAACTAACTCGATATTTCCTAGACCACATTTTCTTGTCCATGGTTTTTCTCATATACCGGTAACGTAGATGATATTTGATAAACTAATTAATAAAATAAATAATAACTTACATTAATGACTTGTGTCATAAACAGAAAAAAAATCGAAATGTGTATGGGACAGAGCTATTTTCAGTAATAGATTTAAAGAAAATATAAATTTAAAATTCAAAAATATTTTGAATTTTAAAAGCATATTTTATTTATTGCATATGATGTATATTAATTATGTTGTATTTTTTATTACATGAAATTTCTAAGGAAGTATATACTACCATACAATAATGGAAGAAACACTTTCAGTTTTTGACAATTTTTTAAATTTCTTAAGAAATACTTAAAGGATTATTTTGTAACTTTTGAGATATTTAGTTCATACGATTTTTCATACTTTGCAATAAGATTTAAAGCTTTCAAAGGTCTGGTAGACAAACAAAATGCGATTTGCTACAAAATTATGGAAAAAATGTTTTTAATCTTTTCTGTGCATGTGCAGTGTAAAAGAATTACTTTAAATACTCACATCTGGTGCAGTTTTTAAAATTTTTTAAAAAAAATTTTTATAAATAGTTTTGTAATTAATTTTAAATCGCCCCAAAAATTTTGTTTAGTTCCAATAAATATTTTTAAAGTTATAGCAGAAGAATGTAAGACAATTTTTTTTTTTATAAAAATGTATCGTATCCTTATTTCTAGAAATTTTTACACTAGATTTGCGTAATTTTATGCAGTTATTAAAAATAACAATTTAAGTAATCGATCCAAGTTACAAGCTTATTGCTTCATTTTCTGGCATAGGGGGCTCGAAAGTACTTTGTTTTCAATCATAATATATTGTAGGTCTCCCGAACCTCTGGAAGCTTCAAATTTTATTTCTGGGTATGAAAAATCGCATGAACTAAACACTTCTAAAGTTACAAAATAATCCTTTAAGTATTAATTGCGAAATTTAAAAAAAATTCTAAAATTGAAAGTGTCTCTTCCATTATTGTAGGGTTGTGTACTTCTATAAATAATCGTATATTCTTTCCAAAACATTGAATTCCTTAAAATATAACAAATTTAATAATTCTCTTTATTATTAAATTTTAAACCAAAAAAATGTTTTTAAAAAATCTGGCAGCAAAGAAATTTACGGAGGTAATAAAAGAAAAGAGTATTTTTATTTAAAGGAAAATTATTATTAAAATGATAATTATTATTCTGTTAAAATAATAATTTAAGGGTTAAATTAATTCAACCCTTTACTAAAAAAAGATTGAATATTCTTCAGTTTTTATGTAAAATTTTAAGAAGCAGTAAATGCTTGATGATAAAAGATAGTGAATTTGATGTCTGTCATCAGCTGATAAGTAAGACCGAGAGCAAAGAGAAGGGGGAAAGTTGTGTAAGAAGCTAGCCACCGCCCAGATCGATAGTCAGCGTATCACGTGATCTAAGAAGATTTTGAGCCATTCTCTTATGGACATGTGGTCGCCGAAGCCTGCCCGTTCGATATCACTTTTACCTTCCTATGAATAGAACAATAAAATCGAAAAGACCGCCCATGTGCGTGATTTTTCTCCCAAACGCAATTGGAAAAAAGGGGAAAAGCAATATTTTAAAGTTCTGAGTGGAAAAAAAATGTATCTAATTTTAATTTAATTTACTATTTCAAACTTAAAATCTATTATAGTTTTGGTTTTTTTAATTATTTTAGATTGTAAACAAATGAACGAACTTTAGCTATTTACATAACGTCATGAGAATAACTAGAAAATTTTTAATGTTCACTCTTGGAAACAAACTTTTTTTTTTTATTTTTCACCAGATTAGCTTTTTTACTATTTTAAGGAGTTACATGAGTTTCAAAAAGAATATTTAAAAAAAAAAAGAATTTCTTTTCCTTTTTTTTTTTTTACTTTTAAGTATTACATGTAAGGAATAAATGCCCAAAGTTTTAAATCAATGTAAAATCGTCTATAGGAGAAAAAAAATCTACTCTCTCACAATCAGCTAAGAGCGAAAATAAAAAATTTAAATTTTCCCAAATCTCTGTTTAGATGAGAGTGAGTACGGTTTTACATAAAAAATGCACCGATCTTAATGGGATTTCGCACTTTTCTTCTTGACAGAATTCACTAAATATTGAGCGAAGGATTTTTTTTTTAGTGCAACTTATTTTACGAAGCCTTATAGTATCTAAATTTCACCTTAAGCGTTCCTTTCTATTTCTTTTTTAATTAAAAATTTTTGCAAATCTTCCCTTCAATTTCCATTTAATTTTATCTGAACAAAGCGTACAAAATTTTAACAAAAAGTTTTTTAAAAGTTGTGTTCACTACAGTGTTACTTTTCCATAAGCAATCCTTGAAAATAAGATGTCGAAATTTCAACATTCTTAGACTAAATTTTTATTAAATATCATTGAAGTACTGTTGTTTTTAAATGAAATAATTCTTATTAACAAAGTCAGAATAAAATAATTATCTCATTATACTTAAAAAGCTAAAGAAAATATACTTTTTTTTCATTTCAAGCATATGTAACATTTAAATTAAATTTTAAAAAAATGTGGATAAATGATGAATAAATTTTAAAAAAAATGTTTTAGCTATTTATTTTTTCAGGTAAACATTTTAACCAAATTTTAAAGCATGCATATTTTTTCTAATCAAAGTCGAAAAAATAAGTTTTTTAAAAAAGAATTTGTTCTCTTAAAATAGTTTTAAATAGTTCACTTAAAAATTACAATTAATTATCCTATTAAAATAAAAAAGATAATCTACTTCATCCAGGCTAACCTACCGAGAACTGTGTGAACACGATTTTCTTATTTATTAGGTAACTAATTAATACATTTAAAAATTTTTGTTTTATTTATGGACATATATTATTTCGAACGCAGTTTTCCAATTTGAAATTTTAAGCATGCATGTAAAAAACCTTTTCTTTTCTAAAAAGATCATTAAACCCTTTTTGCAATCATAACTGGGTATACAGTTTTTTTCTTAAACAGAAAATTAACAGTAATCTTGAAAGCATGTAATAAACAGTCCTAAACCTTGACATTATTCTAAGTTATCTAGATTACCTAATGAACCTTTGTATTGATTATGTAGTTTCTCCCTATTTTTATAAATCCATCACTTTTTTTATTCTCTACTAAACTTTACAAGTCACCATTAAATAATTTTGCATGGCTTGATCTTAAAATTTTATTTTTTATTTCACTTTTTAAAAAAAAATTAATGTTTGCTTTATCTTTTCAGATGTTCTTATGGGATACAATGGCACGATATTTGCTTATGGTCAGACTTCAAGTGGTAAAACTCACACAATGGAGGTAAAAATATAATCCATTGAAAAAAATTAATAATTGGATTCTTTTCACATAAACAAGCTTTCATTTATAAGTTAATTATTTTATGTATGAGCATTTACAATCCAAATGATAGAGTGTTAGAAAAATATGTTAAGGAAAGTTTGATATGTTTTTTACGGAAGAGATTGAAAAAAACTTTCGAAACTCAAATATCTGAACACAAATTGAAAATATTTTCAACTAAAAGCAGTATATTTTAAAATGGATACCGAAGCTCTGCCGATAGTCAGTTGCTATCATCTCAAGCTTCCACTGAACTTATGAATACAATATTTTGAAGAAGCTAATTTCTTCTATTTTGTTTTCCTAAAAATTTATAGTAGCTTGAAAAAGATTTTCATTTTGTTGTGTTACTTAATCAGAAATTCAGTTCATATGAAATAAAGTAAATTAGAAATATAAAAATATAAGTTAAAAGAATATATTATTAAAATACGTAGTGCGATATCCCAACACATGAAAATAGTTTTTTCAATGTCTATTGCACCATAATAAAACAATATATCAACAAAGGAGCCAAACTCTCTCTTCTCAAAGTCAAGAATTATTCAAGCATTGTGAATTCAATACTTTTTTAAAAAAGTTTTTCTTTAAAAAAAATTACAGGATTTGTAGAATTTTGAATAATTGAAACAGTTTTTAAAATGTGTCAAATAATATAAAATTATTTATTTTGTTTTTATTGACTTTTTTATTGATTCAAATGTAATTAATTTTATTATATCTTTGGTTTTTTTTTTTTGCAACGTCTTGGGGGCATTTTATTTCCCAACTCTTATTGCTAAATTGATTAAGATACATTTTATTGGAAAGATCAATGTAAATTTATTTTTTACCTTTTAGGGTATCCTGGGTGATCACATTCAACAAGGTATTATTCCTAGAATCGTTAATGACATATTTAATCACATCTATTCCATGGATGAAAATATAGAATTTCATATAAAGGTAAGTTTAACAGTACAGATTTAGCTAACCATTTTTTGTGTATGCAAACTTAATCACTAAACATACTAACTAATACTAAAGAAAATAATTTTACGGCAAATAAGTTACAACAAGAACCAAGTATTTGCATAGAGAATAGAACCGATAATTAACGTATCCGACTAGTTTAGACAATTTTTAAAAAAATATTAATATAAAATTTAAAAAAAATAATTTATTTGTCTTATTATTTATAAAAACTTGAAAAACTAGCAGAACAATTATTATTATTTTTTCATGAGGATTTCCTTTGGAAGGCTATCAACTATGTTTTGAACCATTATCTTAAAAGCAAGTGCATATACTACTTAGTAAGAGATCAATATAAGTTAAAAAAGCAAATTTTTAAAAATTTCCACACTTGTATTTACGAGAAAACATGAATAGAAAACGAAATTCTTGTTTTTTCTCTTAGTCTGTATTTCAAAACATGCGAGCTATAATCATAAACATTTATAAAAAATTGTGTACAATTATTTTAAAAACAACTTGAGATATCGTGTTTAAGGTGGTGTAAAATGTGAAAAAAAAATCTGATTTTGAGATAAATACATTTAAGGACTTAAAACTGTTAGTCTACCCAGTGTTATCACCTTGCACAAAAACTGATATAACTTTGTTAATAAATGAAGTACAAAAAGTAAAGTATTTTTTAAAAAGCTAAGAGTATAGGAATTCTAAATTTATAATGAACTCAATTTCGAAACTTTTGCTCAAAATCATGTTTCTGCACTAGTCAGATACCTTAGGCTAATTATATAGTCCTCCCTTTCATTGTTGTTAGAAAAAAAGAAATGTAACAGAAGCAATAATACAGTAAGTGTTATTAAGTTCTATAGTTAAACAAGTATTATATGGTTAATAATAAGAAAAATATACAATAAAATTGTGTTGCTTGCATATGCGAGAGAGTAACATGAAAGTATTAAGTTTAATTTCTGCGGAGGAAAGTCAAAATAACATTTAAAAAATATGAAACAAACATAAGAAAAATACGAAAAGTTTTATAATACGAAGAAATATAAGGAGAAAAATTACCGCTCATGAAAAACTGAGAGTAAATAACGATACATGTAAGGTCAGTATATTGTCAAATAGATCTCATGGACTCCACCTGCTTTACCAAAACTTATGATGTTCATAAATAATTTCTTCCATACTCCTGTTCTGGAGTTTTTATGATTTTTTTTTAAATCTATAAGCAAAAGGGCGTTAGTTAGAATTATGTAAAAAACTGATTCATATTTATTTAAAATTTAAAACGTATTAAGTATTGAAGTTTGCATTGTTGGGCGATCCGGGTATAGATATTTGGTTATTAACTTGCTGCCTATAAGATAATAAACATTAATGTTTGAAGCAAAAATTGCTTTATATGAGACTTATTTGATTGATGAATAGCCCCCTTCGAATTTATCGAATAATTATTAATTATGATTAATGATCATCGTCAAATTTATAATATGTTTGCAAATCAATATGACATAAATTTGATCGCATTTATAAGCGTATCTTATCACAGTCGAGTCCATAATCAATCCATTTGCTCTGACCCAATGGTTTCATGTCTGGCACCCCTCGCAAACATATTATTAGGTGGTACATTAACGATTTTTTTCAAAGCTCTGTCACCAAGGAAAATAAAGTCATAGATTAAGTACTTGAAGCGATGAGATGATTTTAAGTTATATAGACAATCTTGCCGAGTAGAATCATCTGGGCTTTTGAACAGACAAATAACTTAAATATTTTAAAAGCTATAAAACTTTTTTTAGAAATCGCCAATTTGGAGATATTTTTCCACTTGGAGGAAAATTATCAAAAATGACTGCCTTATTCTCAGTTTTTGCAAATTTTTATGAGCCCAGGTAATGCAGCATTGGAGTAGGTATTTCAAAATGTAAAAAATTAAACCACAAACGCTTTTCATTTTTACAAAACTATGACTTTTCACCAGATTGGCGTTTTGCGCCATTTTCAAAATAAGCGTAGAGAGTCTGAACATGACTTAACTGTCATGAGTAACAGTTGCAAACTCACAGCAGTTGTCTTGAAAACGATTCAGAAGACAAGAACTTCTACCTAACAATGAGACAAGAAAAAGGAAATATCCAGTCAGTAATGGAATTCTAAACCTAGAATCGTTTAACATTTGGAGTATTATGTGTCAGCATGTTTTTAAGACGGAAACATCATCCAGAACCGAGATTTGAACCTATATCATCAGTCTCAATAGAAGCCATCTTGGTCATCTTGGTCCACTATGTCTATAATACAAACGAGAGGTCATTTGGATTATAGTATACTAAAGTAATAGCCTTAAACTCATCAATACCCCTTAGGTGTTCAATGATGATTAAAGATGCATAAATTATATTTTAATAGTACAAAGTATTTTTTTTATCTTCAAAATTCATATTAATTTAAACCAATATTATTTGTTCAACATTCATCAAACTAATATTACTTGTTTCAGATTTCCTATTTTGAAATTTATTTAGACAAAATCAGGGATTTATTAGATGGTAAGAGTTTTACTTAACATTCTAAAAATTACTGAAAGTGTGTTGTAATTTTAAAATGAACTAATGATAAATATTTCAATTTTAGTTTCTAAAACAAATTTATCAGTACACGAAGACAAAAATAGAGTTCCTTTTGTAAAGGTAAGTTTATCTCAAGATAATCAGATTCAAAATTTATAATTCAATAACTAGTTATCACCTATATTTTATTATAGAAAAAAGAGATGAACATATGAACTCTTCTGAGTTTTAGTCGGCTTAACAGAAAAACAAAATTAGTAGTATTTTTATAAATTAACATTTCTTCTAGGATTTTTTTTTATTATTGTACTATATTTTTAAAGGTTTAAAATATATTATTATTTTCTCAACAAAAATGCTTTAAACATAAAATAACTATGCGCAAAATAATTTTTTTCAAAATCACCATAGTTTATGAAGTTATTTGTTAACATTTTTTTTGTACAAAAAATATTATAAAAAAACATTGATTTTACGTGGAAATGTCAATATTTCTTGCCAGATTCTTTCCAGAGTAGTACTTACAAATTTTATTGCGCCTGAAAAAATTTATTGATATATTAGTGCTAGTTCAGAGTTTGTTTAAAACAAGCAAAGAAAATCTTTATTTCTCAAAACAAATATTCCAAAATTCAAGGAGACAAATGCTATGATGATTAAATTTCTCTCACCTACTGATATTTTAGACTAAAAACTATCTGAATCATGATCATCGAGATTTACGAGTGATATTTTCTTTATAAGATTGTGACAATTTTCAATCTTTTATCATTCAATATAAAACAATTTATGCATAAAAGACGTAGAACTGGGTGATATTTTCACCACTGCTCGAGTCTGACACTTCATTGTTTTTTTTTATTTATTTATTTATTTATTTTTAAAAAATAAACCTCGGTTGACGTTTAGAAGATATCATTAAGTCATTACAGAATAGTTTATTATGATGTGCCTCGCTGCAAATTGTTTGTATTAAATTTTGCACATGTTCATGACAGGGTGCGACAGAGCGATTCGTCACAAGTCCTGAAGAAGTTATGGAAGTTATAGACGAAGGCAAATCCAATAGACACATTGCAGTTACGAGTAAGTTAATCTCTCTCACTTTTATTGTCTGTCATTACTATTATAGTCGTTTTCAATAAAATACCTTTCTAATGTCTGTTAGCAACATATCTAAGTGAAGAATTCGGGCATCCATAAACTGGGCACTCATTTCTTCCAAGTTTCAAAATCCGAAGAAATTTTTCGAAAATTACATGTTGGTTACGGTTGCTATACCCGAGTCAGAATTAGAAATAGGTTTCAGTGTCAAATATTGCAACCATTTTAGCTTTCTCACATTAATTTTATTTTTATCTTATAACCGTCACTGAGCAGCCTATCCAATTTTTGCGTTTACTTTTATCACTGTTCAACTCTGCAACCTTGTAATTTAGAGCCCAGAAGACAAGGGAACTCCAGTATAAAATATTGGGGGAAATTTACCTCCGAGGAGGACTTTTTGTTGGAACTAACCAGCATTTGCTTTACATAGAGAGGAAAACCACGAAAACCTCCCCCGGTTAGTCTAATTGCAAAGGGACTCTAACCAATGATTTGTCTGCCACTGAGGATATTTTATATCAACACCGAGATGCGTGCGAGACAAGTGCGGAATTCGTATCGAACTGCCATCGCTGGGATTCGAAACCGGGTCACCTCATTGGGAGGCGAGAGCTCTATCCCCTCCCCAGAGTCACCATGCCTTTTCTCATGTTAATATAATTATTACTTTCTATTCTGGGCCTAGACGCTGTAATTATAAAATGCTTAGTTAATATTAGATTTATGAAAATAAATGTCATCTCCCGAATGAAGTAAAGCTGGGAGTTCATTCTAATAACTTTTGATTGTTAATAAACGGATTTTCACTTACTATTCAAACTTAGTGGCTCGCTAGTCTAATCCTAAATATGCAAGTTATTCGTGCAAATGGTATGGTGAGTTTATCAAGCAGAAAATGTACTTTCTCTGAATGAACATATCTTCTTTGTTTGGTGGATTTATATTCACAATTTCCAGAATAGAATGTGTAGCGTCTGTCTGAAAAATGTGTTTCCAATAGTTTAGGAATCAAAACAGTCGAAAATTTGAATCCCTTAATATTAGTTACACTTTTTTACGTATTTCACTATATCCCGAGAATTTTTCAATGCTTAACTTTAAAATGCTTGTTATTACAGCACTTTGAAAAACATGATCAATGTAGGTATTTTTATCCCTGTATTGGAAAAATACTTGCAATTGTTGCAATCTGCGAATCACAGTAGTAGTTTATAAAAAATAGCTAGCACATAATTTAACGAAACGTATATTTTAATGTTTCAGTTGCACAATTCACATGGCCTACTAGCAAATACATACTAAAAATAATTAAAGAACTTGCCTGGTTGAGTAGAACGTTGGGCTCATGAGTTTAAATCCGACAGGCTGAAGAATCTCTGTGTATCAAATGGTGATGGGTTCATGATAAATCTGTCGCGGTCACAAAGTCCTCCTTGTTCCCATAACAAATTAATCCCTCCGGGGGTACTTAATTGGAGTCTCTGAATCAGGTCAAATTTACGAACTCTGGATGAATGAACGGAGTATGAAAGGATCCTCCCTGTAAAACGGGCTGTGACGTGTGTGTAGCTGAAGTAGTATTCTTGGTCCGCAGAAACAGCCACTGAGAAACCAGAAACACGCCCTTTGCATTAAAATAGCTTGGTTTCCCATAGCAGGCTTGCTCGCATTGACAATTAGCATTAGTAACAACAACAACAGCCCTCTATTATTTCAAATTTAAGCATACATTTTAGAATGATTAATTTATTTTAGTAGACGATTTTTTGAAATATTTAACTAGATTCAACTTGATAGCAGTAATCAAAATAATAATAATATATATTTTTTAATTTTAGATATGAATGAACATAGTTCAAGGAGTCACAGCGTGTTTCTAATAAATGTAAAGCAGGAAAATTTGGAAAATCAGAAGAAATTAAGCGGGAAACTATATTTAGTTGATTTGGCAGGTAGTGAAAAGGTAAAAACCTTATTTTATGATACTTCATAATCAATAACAGGATAAAGATAAATTGTATTTTTATCTGAATATGATTTTATTTGTTATTTTGGATTTTTTTCTACGCATAGAAAGCTGACATTGAGTTTTTTAAAATTTATCTTAAGAAACTCAAATAATTTTTTTTATCGTAATTCTTTTTCTCGTTCCAGATTTTAATATTTATTTGCTTATTCCAGATTTTATTTATTCATTTACTTATTAAAAGAAAAGAAAAAAACAGGGAGGACTGCTATTTTAGTTGCACGAACACGTGCGCTTGGCCTCGTCCTCAAGGAAGAAGTTTATCTTTAAATAATTATTTAATTTAAAAAGAAAAAAAATAGTTAATTAAAATTAAATACACAATATAAAATTATTTTTAGATGCATATTTTATTTAAAATTTGGTATTTAAAAAAACATGAAAGTGTCCAACATCATGAAATTTCCAAAACGTGAAATTGGCAACATCTTTAACAAATCTTGAAATTAAAAAATTAGTATTATTTTTGATAAATGCTTTAATTTCCACTTCAATTACAGGAAATAACTTAATGATTTCAAATCTTAATATTTTATTCATAAAACTCTATTTTCATATTTTGACAAATATTTGCTTCAAATCTTTTGTGGCAAACTCCATCGCATTATGCGTCCTTACTTAAGATTTTAATTTTAATTTACCTTACTTTTTAGAAGCAAATTAAAAAGAGGAGACATTTAATTAAATGAATATCTTAAGGAGCTTTTTTCAAAAGAAATATTAATGCATCAAAAACGCTGCTCATAAGGCCTTTCTAAGACTTTTTTTTTAAAGCTCAAATCAAAATTATACTGCTATTAAAAAACAAATATAATTAGATTTTTAATTCATTGTATCAGGAACTTTGAATCTTTGATGCTAAACTTTAAATCAAATTAAACATCGATCATATAAATGTTTTTTTCTTATCATACAGGTTAGCAAAACAGGGGCCGAAGGAATGGTCTTAGACGAAGCAAAAAACATTAACAAATCTCTTTCCGCTCTTGGCAATGTAATATCATCTTTAGCTGATGGAAATGTAAGTTCTTTTTATCCGTTAAGAAAAATATTTTTTTAACGTACAAGCACTTTACTTTAAACTTAAAATTTCTTTTCAGAAATCTCATATACCTTATCGTGACAGTAAACTAACTAGGATACTTCAAGAAAGTTTAGGAGGTAACTCTAGGACCACCATCATCATTTGTTGTTCACCAGCTTCATTTAACGAATGTGAAACTAAATCAACTCTTGATTTTGGCAGGAGGTAATTTAAAAACTGATTCCAGTTAAACTGAGACATTTGGTTCTGAAAACAATATCGGTTCATTTTGCGAAATATATCTTTCATTTAAGCATTTAGATTTAGGTGAACATACATAGGTTTTTGGAAATAACTCCAGACATACTTATTTTAAAATGGTTTTTGCTTAAATTTTAATTTTTAATGGATCAGTTTCTAATGTTAAAGTTACATTATTATTTTAAAAAAAATCTGACGGTATATGCGGAATTAAGCTTTCATTTTTTTAAATGAAAAAAAGTTAAAACGTATCTACTGAATAATAGAAATGATAACTACAAATGAAAACGTGTTATTCATTTTTTTAATAAATAACATAAGAATATTATTTGTATTTGTGTGACCATTATATTTATTTTTTTAAGTAACATAAGAATAAAAAAAAGTTGGATTTGTTTCAAATAACGAAGGAAAACTTAATCAAAGTCAATGTGTCTAATTTTTTGTTTAAAAGAGCTGTATTTAGTTTACCATACTAAAAATCTGTCAGCAGTTTTACAACTAAACGTTTCAATTCTTAACTTGTATGTTTTTCGGAACGAATGAAATAATTTAAATTTATTGAGTTTTAAATTGATTTTTATGAATACATTTTTACGTTTGTAATTGCATCTAAAAATATAGGCTTTTTGTTAAAATAAAATTACCGAAAATTAGCGTTATTTCAACGAATATATATAATTATATATTTCTACGATTTATAGATTTAATTAGCTTGAGAGATACGATAAAAATTAGTTTCATGATACAGAATGCGTTAGAAATATAATACGAATAATAAATATGGTATACAACGAACCACATCTACACTTTCATTAGGTATTTCTATCACTGCTAATGCAAAGTGAATTTAAAGAATTCAAAATACTGTTACAGTTATTAAATTTTGAAAATATTTTTATGTTATTGTGTGTTTAAATTTCGTAAAATTAGCTTAAATATTGTAAAAAAGTATTAATCGTTCTGACAGTAAAATTTAAACTGTTTTTCAAACATTGAAAAAAAAATCGATTTTCGAACATATGTTTTGATCGACAATTTTTCAAAAACAATAACACATTTCCTTATCAAATGAAAAAAAAAACTTAAATTCATTCATTTCTGAGATGCTTTTGAATTATATTTCGAAAGTATTAGTCTAATAATCCGGTTGCATTTATTTATTTTGTTTTTAATCAAATTACAAAGTATGAAGCATATTTTGAACGGCTTCTTGCAACAAAAAAATTTCAATCTGATAACAAATTTATGAAGATAATAAAAATATTTTCATACAACTTATGTATATATTGTATGCAAAATGAAAATTTATGTAAAATGGATATGTAAAATAAAATAGTGATGCTGCCTAAAAATTTATGTTGTTTCTAGGAATATTCATGTAAATTTTCGTCTAAATTTTAGTCATTCTCATATAATAGTCAATCTCATATAAATTTTCAAGACTTAAGTCTTACTAAAAATATTTAAAATCATTCCTTAGTTTAGAGTTCTACGTAATATACAAAGCCGTTTAAGTCATGAATAATTTTGATTCTATTACATCAATCTGCACAAATGTTTAAACAATGCATATTTTTTTTGTCGAATATTTGTTGCTACATCAATTTTAAGAAATTTGTGTGCATTTTAGAGCCAAAACTATTAAGAATACTGTTATTGTGAACGAAGAGCTAACAGCTGAAGAGTGGAAACGTCGTTATGAGAAAGAGAGAGAAAAGGCGCTTAGAACAAAAGCTCAACTCACGAGGGCTGAATATGAACTTAGCAGATGGAGAAACGGTAATATTTAATTTTTTTTTTTAAATCAATCATTATGCATTCGGCGAAAGGAAATGCCTCGCTTTCCAGAAATTTTCACTCTCCGCAGGCCTTACCTTACAAAATACCTTACAAAAGTAGAATAAATAGAAAAAATTGGAATAAACCGAAAAAATTGGAATAAAAAAACATACCATCACTAAGCACAAGAATCTCTTAATCTTATCTTTCTTAAATTCTCACTCATTTCTAAGAATGAGTTACTTCATCCTCTAAAATATAATCCTTTTTTATCCAAAAAAGTAATATATAAGCTATTTTTCGTATTTTTATTCATTTTATTAATTTTTTTTAACTTTAGAGTGTAAAAAGTGGAAATTTACAAAAAATATAACAAATTCGGTGGGACCGACATTGTGAGAACTATTAAAGCATCACGCATTAGGTGGCTAGGCCACCTCTTCAGAAATTCTGATGCCGTCCCTGCCAAAAAAGTGACTTTTTCCACAATTGAAGGGACGAGACGTAGGGGACGACCACCTACAAGATGGATAGACGACGTTGAAAAGGACCTCAAGCTATTGGGAGTCAACCGATGGCGGGCCGTCGCACCGGACAGGGCCAGATGGAGGAAAATCTGCTAGTCAGCCTTGGCCTGTGAAAGGCTGTTGCGCTTATGAAGAAGAAGAAGTGTAAAAAGTGGATCGAAAACTACAAAAATCGGAGAAAAAAACAAAAACAATCAGGATCACATTTATTGCTATGGGAAAAAATATTTCGAACAAACAAGATATTACCTATTGTAACAAATTGTATATAAATGTAATAGTTCTTTTAAATTTTAGGGCAAAGTTGAGATTCCAAGTTACAAATAAAGAGTAAAAGTTTAAGGAAATGATCATTAACATATTTACCACTAAACTGATAATTTGTCTCTAAAAAAATGCCCGTGTTTGTTAAAGAACCTCACTGTTTTCTTGAGAACTTAAAGAATCTATGATATTAAAGAAGCTATAATAAGTCATCTTATCCTCTATGATGTGTACTTAAACCATATAAGCTAGTTTTCAATTTTTCTTCCATTTTAGTGGGAATTATAGATCCTAAATTACAATAAAATTAAGAATAAGACTAAAGAAAATACTCATAAAGAGTGCAAAATTTTAAAAATGGAAATGGTTTTGCTTTTTTTCGAAGACATCCTTTAAAGTGCAGAGGGAAAAATTCCAACTAAATTATTGTCTAATGGAATGAAGTTAACTTATTTCTTTTTAATGTGTCAGTCATTTATATTTGTCTACCGCTTTAATTATGAAATATTTTGTAATATGTCTCTTAGAATACGTGTTGTTAAGCAGAGGAAATTAAAAGATCTGCTCTTTTAGAGTTGTTCAAGCAAGTGAAATGACAGGGATATCGTTTGCTTGCTCTATGCACAATCGTTTTACAATGCGCCAAAAGAAAAATCTAATGATCCGATTTTCATGTTCTAGGGCTTAATGGTTCGAGGGGGTAGGCTGAAATATGCTAAATAATATGTACAAACGATATTTGTTTTAAGTTATGAAATCAGACATTTTAAATTATGAAATCAGAGACAAAATTTCACAAAATCAGGCTTCTTAAATTAGCCTAATTGGGGACATACCCTTGAGGCATTATGATTGAGTCCTAGAATGGGAAAATCCAATCATTAGAATAAAAGTTATACAGGGTGGTCCGTTTATTTTATTTATTTTTTTGATCACTGTACAGAAAAGCTTTAAACTTTCAAAATAATTACTTCGACGTTAATGAAATAGATTGAGCAGCGATGGCTCAGGGGATAGAGAGCTGGCCCTCCAATGAGGCGAACCGGGTTAGAATCCCAGTCGATACGAATTCCGCATCCAGCTTGCACCGACCACAGTGCTGACGTGAAATATCCTCAGTGGTAGACGGATCATGGATTAGACTCCCCTTGCCGTCAGGCTAACCGTGGGAGGTTCTCGTGATCTTCCTCTCCATGTAACGCAAATGCAGGTTAGCTCTATCAAAAAGTCCTCCACGAAGGATAGTTTCTCACAATACTTGATCCCGGATCCCTTGTCTTCTGGATTGGATTAAAATCTACGAGGCTTAGTTGTTGTAAACCTAATAAATAGGTTCGGCTGTTCAATGACGGTTGTAAAGTAAAATTTAAGTTACATTAAAAACTGTTTATCCGGATTTCTTCGCCGTACCCTGTAGAATAGCGCTTTGAGATATTCTACGACACTCATAAAAGAACTTTAATTACAAAAAAAAAGTTTTCCTTTTCTTTTAATTTTAGTGTAACAGGTTAATGAAATCAAGCTACAATTTTAACGTGTTTAAAATGCTCCACTCGACACGCGAACAAACGTTTCAAACAAAATCGAAAAGAAGAAAAAGCATATCATTAGTTGTCATTTATTAAAAATATGATTAGCGAAAAAAATTTTAGGAAATGAGTGTTATTACCAATTGTACTTTTTTTCAAAATTTGTTTTATCAGAGATCTGTAGCAATATTTCTCTCAATACAGGTGAGAATGTGCCTCATGATGAACAACTCATGATGAAAGACATCATGGAGAATAGTCTTACAGCTAGTCTTACGGATAATATTCCAGTCAATAATCTTCCAGTGAATATTATTCAAGTATCTGCAGAACCCCTCAGCAACGCAGAACGCGTCAAGTTTGAAGAAGAGAGAAGTAGACTATACGCGCAATTAGACGAAAAAGATGACGAAATTGATAGGCAGAGTCAATTGATCGAAAAATTGAAAGAACAGATGCTTGAACAAGAAGAAGTAAGTTTCATTTTCAATTCGAAGTTTTGGAGCAGTGATCGCCAAACCATCGATCCCGAGCTACTAGTAGCTCGGGGTGATATTTTTCGTAGTTAGCGTTAACGCTCCGATTTTCAAATCCTATTGATTCCTTCACGGAGCTGATAATCCAATTGTAAGATTTTTTTTTAATAAAAAAAAGTCGGTAGTTCTTTTGGTATGGTATCTCAGAAGCTTCATAAGTTTGGCGACCACTGTTTTAGAGTAAGAATTTATGCTTTATATGATAATGTGCCTAATTTTTAAACTTCATTTTTTTTATTGTGTTTCTAATAAAGTATAAGATCTAATAAAGTGTAAGATCTATTAAAATATACTTCAACAACTAATATCAATTCTTTTTACTTAACAATAAAAGCAAAATCTAAAATTATATCCATTTGACTTAGCAGTATTTAGCATTGATATCGTCTATTTTTGATAATGATAAAATAGTTTTAGATGTTTATTAATTACTCTTTTGTTTTTTCTACCTAGTGCATTTTTCTATTTTTTAAATTTTATATTAACATTATTATAAAATAACATAGTCTATTAACAGAGAATATTAACAGACTATATTTTTCTACCTAGCCTTATTTTTAACTCTGAATCTATCGATTATGAAACAATTTAGATTGAGGGTTACGATTTAATTGTTGTCAATTCATTTCAAACTTGTTTTTAACATTCTTTTCATACTATCACATTGAACTTCTTAAGATTTAAAACTAATAATTCAAAACTCTGAAATTTTGGTCTTTAGTAATAATTTAGTCTTCAAAAATCTAAATATAGTACAGTTGTTTAGATAGTAAATAATAGTTGTTTAAAAATTATGAAATTCTAAACACCATATGCATTTATGTGTTCTACTAAATGATTGTAATATTTTTCTTCTTTGATTCAGCTGATCACATCTACTCGCAAGGATTACGAGAGTCTTCAACAGGAGATGAATCGCATTCAGCAAGAAAACGAATCAGCGAAAGAAGAAGTGAAAGAGGTCTTACAAGCTCTTGAAGAATTGGCCGTCAACTACGACCAGAAGTCTCAAGAAGTGGAGAACAAAAACAGAGAATACGAAAGCCTGAACGAAGAGCTTAGTCAAAAATTGGTATATAAATTAATAAATTACGTTACATAGCATGCCTGAAAAGTTCAGTGTAAAAACATATTTAAGGATATTTTTAAAACATGCAAATTTTCGAATTTAAAAATATATTAAATGAAAAAATATCCTTGGTGGTTTTAAATTTATTTTGTTGATATTTTTAAAATATTTTTTGCACCGTTTGAATTTATTGTTTCTAATTCATTATAATGTTAGAATTTAACTCATAGATTCTTTTCGAATCTAGTGGCCATAAATTCCAGGTTCAATCACTGAACATTTTCAGTCATTTAAAAAAAATCAGTCTTTATTCAAGAAAGGGAGTTAAAAATATCTTTCTGAAAGTATGCATATATTCTTAAGCTAATTTTGTCAAAATCACTAAAATATAATTTAAGAAAGTCTTCCTCTAAGTTTTCAATTTTTTTTAACTTAATAAATCCCCATATAGAATGAAGTTGTCTTGAATTGTAGCCAAACCGTTTTGTGTATGTTCTTACTGGCTGAAAAATTACCTGGTAGGATCCAGTTTTTCCTCACTGACTTCTACATTTTTTTGAATCTCATCAATTAATGAATTAATAATTAATAAAAGCCAATAAAGTATTGTTTTCCGATAAAATATTTTACTATCCCTAAGTAGGTCCTTGCAATTCGAGAAGAAGTGAAGTAATTATGCCTAACCATGTTTTTTAAATCAGATTTAATTAGATACCTGTGAGCAACGTCACGTGTGTATGTCGAACCTGATTGACTTCTGAATTGATTTATCTACGATAATGTCACTTGCAGGTATCCGACTTAATGGTATTTACCTGTAATATTTATTTTGTTATTCTACTTTGTTTTTTTATGCAGTTTTCGAATTTGATTGTTTTCTAAATTAAGAATTTAAAACTAAAATCTACTAGTATAAGCAATATTAATATACATAACAGTGAAACAATTTTTATCCTAACGTTTTTCTATGTTAATTCTCATTCTCTTCATTCTAATTAATTCTAATTTATATCTTTGTTTCCCTTATAGTCGCAACTAAATACAGCTCAGAATGAACTACAACAAATGAAGGATCAAACGATGCATCAAAGGAAAAGAACAACTGAAATGCTGACAAATTTACTGAAAGACCTTGGCGAAGTCGGCCACGTACTGGGAAATAATTGCGCTGAAACAAAGGTGAGCACATGAAAAAAATACTTTTAAAAAAATCTATACACACCTACTTAAACTTTTTTTTATTATAATACCCTATTAAGAGTTTATAAACTTTATTCAAGGTACTACTAAAAGTGTTGATTTGAGGATTATATTCAAAAGAGATAAATAGATATATATTTCAATTATGCCGAGGACCGAGTCATGTAAACCATTTTATCTTCGTCAGCCCAGACATTTAATAGCAAAGGGTAAAACATTCGGAATGGTCAAAAAATTATAATTTATCAAAGAATAATAGTTAATGGTATCTCATTAAAGCTCAAAATAAAGGTAGTTGTGTTCGGAGTATCTTCAATAGAAATATATAAAAAAAAATCAAACTTCTAAAAGATAGATTTATAGCATAATTTTAAAACGGGACTTCCATAGATAAGTACTCAAAACAAATGTCAGAAGACTAGCTATGCGTCAATAATCCTTTCCTTATAAAAAAAAATAATTCCTTTATTTTATTCCAAAAATATTCCTTTTCTTTAGCCTCTTATTTTCATAAATGTGTTTTTGAACAGTTTTTGCAGAAAAAGTCTGACGTAAACTTGTCCTGAGGATCAGCTTAAAAGTTAGGTAGTTTCCGTTATTTTTATAAAATTAAAAACAGGATAAAATAATACGAATATCAAAAGTAAATTTAATTTAATTTTTCGTAAAATGACAAATGGACAAAAGTTGCGTCATAAATCAATCTTACTTCAAATTAAAGCACCCAAAATTGATCTGATTTTTTTTTACTCTTTTATTGCTGCCACAAAATACATAAAGTTCTCCACCTTTAAAATATTTATCATTATAAGTTAATAGTATGTTATCTAACTTACATTTATATTTATCATTATTTTAGTTTTCAGCAGATGTTTCAGGAAAAATTGAAGAAGAATTCACCGTCGCTAGACTTTTTATTAGCAAAATGAAATCTGAAGTGAAAGCCCTTACAACAGTAAGATATAACAATTTTTGCTATTTCCCATTCTAATAACCTTCTATAGATGGACCTGTTTTTTGCTGTAAAACTTGCTAGCATTTAACCTTTTCAGATTTATTTATTTATCAAACAACTAGCTACTCTTAATTAAAAAGAAACCGCTGATTATTCTTACCTTTTCTGTAAGATTCAATAATTAAAAAAGATGATAAAATTAAACACTGTTTTCTCAAGATAAAGTCTATGAGAGAGGATTGAAGACTTTAAAAGATTTTGTTACTCTTATCTCAAATGAAGTGAATTTTATTTAGATGAATATCTAAGCTTTGAGTGTATGTTCATTCATCAATTCGCTTTCAAATTTTATAAAGCTCTAAGTTTTATATTTTAATATTTTTTTTGTTTAAATCAAATTCGATGTATAATTTATACACACGATAAAAACAATTTATAAATGAAGACTAAAGGGTAGAACCATCTATGTACATTTTCGCGATTGGATCACTATTTGTTACGTTTTGTGGTTGTGACAAATCAATAACGCGGAAAATCAGCTCTCTACAAGAGTTATTATACTTTGAAGATGAGTCATGCTGGGGAAAACAATTCCTGTCCAAGCGTAGACAAAGCGAACAAAGAAAAGTGTAGTGAAGAAGATGAAAGGAGTTCAACTAAGGAAATATTGATTTTATGATTGATATTGGAAGTATTGATGTGAATAAATGCTTGTAATATTATGTATAGCTTTACTTTTTTCAATTTCAATCGCATGCTATCTCCCAATCTCAATCCTTTAAATACGTTTTTCAGAATCAGCTTTCTTGGACACAAACCGTTTTTCCCCCTTGGTTCTTCAAATGCGTTTATTTATCCATAAATATATTTACATATTTTAGCATATTTATAAATATAAATATATCAGTGTCTATAGGGGGTGAACAAAATAACGGAATCACTTCTATACTAATACATTTCTTCATATTTCTCAAAAAAGACTTAAAGAATTATTTTATAACTTTGAAAGTGTTTATATCATACGATTTCTTACATTAATTAATAAAGTTAAAAGCTTTTAGAGGCTAGAGGAACCAACAATAAATTACAAACGGAAAATAGTGTTTTTGAACACCCTACGCCAAAAAATATATGAAAGTTTGTAACTTGTAACAATTATTTTGGTTATTTATATGCAATGATTGCGCGAAATTTCGTAAGCCTAGCTTAAAAATTTATGGAGATTTGGACATTTTTATAAAAATCTAATTTTTATAAAGAAAATACAGAGTTAATTTGTCTTACGTTTTTTGCTATAACCTTAAACATATTCAATAAAATTAAACAAAAATTTCAGAGAAATTTAAAATTTATAATTTGAAAAAAGTTTGTTAAAAACTGTGCAATATATAAGTAATTAAAGTAGTTCTTTTACACAGCGCATGCGTGAAGAAAAGTTAAGAAATATTTTTTTCCTGATTTTGTAATGAATTTTATTAGGCAACTAATGAAAAAAATTCGATTTGAGTATCTTAAAAATTTAAAAGGTTTCAAGCAATTTCCGAAGTAATTTTTGCACTTTTTTGAAAGAAAATCAAAATGTTAAGAGGTTTATACAAATATTATTTTGTATCATTAAACAAAATTAAATAACAAATGATAATACTTACAATAAACATTCATATACCGAAATATGATTGTATAAGAAAAGAAAACATGCGAAAGAAGAAGTACATTTAATGGAGATGATCCCCAACAATGCCGCCATCATTTCAATAAATCTTGTACAAAATTAAATTTGTGGAAAATCCCATATCATTTGAGCTTTCTTTTAAATAGCACGAAAACTACTTAGAAAGTTGCTTGAAAGTATTTAAATTTTTAAGACATTCAAATCGGTCTTTTTTTATTAGCTGACAAATACGATCCTCTACAGAATTAAGAAAAAGCAAATTAAATTTTTTCCAGCGAATGCTCATTACAAAAAAACTACTTTAATTATTCATATCATGCGTAGTTTTAAACAAATTTTTCTCAAATCTTAAAACAATAATTCTTTTAATTTTAAATTGCTCCAAAAATTTTATTTATAGCAAAAAAATTCGTTATTGTATAAAAATGTCCATATTTTCATTAATATGTTGGCTAGGATTACGAAATTTTGTGCAATAATCGCAAACCAAAATAATTGTTACAAGTTACAAATGTATTGCTTTATTTTTTGGCATAGGGTGATCCGAAACTTTATTGCCTGCTTGTAATTTATTGTCAGTCCCTCTAACCTCAAAAAGCTTTAAACTTCATTGATAAGTATGAGAAATCGGACCCCTAAACATTTTGAAATTTATAAAATTATTTTTTAAATATTTTGTGAGAAAGATCAAAAATTGTGTAAATATAGAAGTGTTTCAATTATTTTGTCCACCCCATATATTTTTGCATAAATTTATTTATTTATTTATAAATATCTAAACAAATTTTACGAGTAATTTTTGGAAGAAATGTCTCAGATTTAAATTTCTACAACAGATAAGTTTGATCAAATTAAGATAATTTTTTTCTTTAATCATAGATTTTTTTTCTCTAAGAGTATCTGTTTTTAAAATATTTTTAAATGTAGTTATATTGATCAATTTGACATGCGTATTGCTTATATGCATGGTTTGCTTTATTTTTAGCGTTGCAGTCAATTAGAAGCATTTCAAGCTGAATGCAACAAGAAAATTGAAGTCAACGAGAAAGAACTTGCTGAAGGCCGTCTGTTGATAAGTCAGGTGAGTGGCTAGAAACGTGCATTATTTTATAACTACAATAATGTTATGATTAAATAATATAATGCATTAAATTGAAAGACATGACAATATAGGCAAATGATAATTTAGAGCTGCTATGGTTCAGGGGATAGAGCGTTTGCCTTCCAATGAGGTGATTCGAGTTCGAATACCAGCGACGCCTGGTCGATACGAATTCCGCATCCGGCTTGCACAAACCACAGTACTGCCGTGAAATATCCTCAGTGGTAGACGGATCATGGGTTAGAGTCTCCTTTATGTCAGACTAACCCTGGGAGGTAATCATGGTTTTCCTGTCGATCTAACGCAAATGCGGGTTAGATTAATCAAAAAGCCCTCTCCGAAGGCTAATTTCTCCCAATGCTCGATCCAGGAGTTCCCTTATCTTTTGAATTGGGTTCAAAATTGCAAGGCTACGGAGTTGAACATGTTGGTTGCCAACCCAAAACTGGGTCGGCTGTTCAACGACGGTTAAAATTAAAAAAAAAAGACAATATAATATTTATTTTTCAGGAAAAAAATACCCTTAAGCCCCTAACTAAGTATTGAGTATTTCATGAAATTTTTATGATGAATGTTCGGTTTTAAGTATACTTCCTGAAATTGTGTGAATAAGGTATATTTGAAAAATCGTTTAGATTTAAAAAAATATCGTTATTTATTTAATTTGTAAATTAAACTTTAATTTTCATGCATTTTATCTTAATGTGGTTATTAGAATAGAGAAGCTTGACAAAATTTTATAATTGCTAATTCAAGTGGATGTTTTAATGTTTCAACAATCAATTTGTAAAATTCTTCATAAAAATAAAACTTTCTTTTATACATTTTATTGGATTTCAATATTTACCGCACATAAATGAAAGAATTTTAATTGTAAATATTTCTGGAAATGGTTCGTTTGCGCATTTTGGTAAGTTAATAAGAGCGTTTTTGATTTTATTTTAAACTTTTTGAGAGGTAATAAAATTTTCAAATAAATAATACATTCTAAAGAGGACTATTACTGCTGTGTATTAATTTCGAACTAGAAAGTGTTGTATCATTGAAAAGAAGCTAGTTTTTAACTCTAAACTGTGCAATTATGAAAAATTCAGAAGTGTCCCTACTTTAACAACTTCTTCTACGAAAACATTGTTCTTTGTTTAAACAAAATAGCAACAGAAATTAAAATAAAAAATCTAACCTTTACCTACATTTTGCAATTGCTGTAGAATATATAAACATTATTCTCTTTGCGTCAGTTTATCATTTCTTTAAAATCTAATTTTCTGTAAACAGTATGAGGCTAAAATGAAATCTTTACAAGAGACGATGCGAGACGTGGACACCAAGAAACGTAATTTGGAAGAAGCTGTAGACTCTCTCAATGACGAGTGTGCGAAATTGAAAGCTGCTGGTAAGTAAGTTGGAAAAAAAAAAACATTGTGTAAAATAATATTCATAAAAGTGATGTATTTCAGATAAATGTTTGCTGTATTTACAGAGGAGATGCATATTATGAGCTCCAAAGAAAAAGAAAAGTTAAAAGATTCAGCTGAAAAGATGAAAGAGGCCTTAGAACTGCAGATTGAAAAACACAGAGAGAATCATCAGAAGCAACTCTCCACTCTACGGGATGAAATAGCAGAAAAAGAAGTTCAAATTGACAAATTGAAAGAGTATGTAGTTTAAACAGATAGTTCGCTAATTTAAAAAAAAAAACTTGTGACAGCTTCAAAATTTTTTTGAACATCAGTTTTATGATTTGTTTCTTTAGTGAAATGCATAAACTAGGGGCAGAATGAACTGAGAAATTGATTTCTCAGGAATTATTCCACCAATTATATTCAAATCTTGTATTTTGTCTCTTAAAATTACAGTTCTTAATATGATGTAAGAATTGTTATACCTTACAATGCAAATTTTTTTTGACTAATATTAAATAAAATAATAAATTATAATTAAAAGTTGCTTTTGGCTTGGAGTTTCTTTTGGAAAACGAATTTTGTAACTGTATGCAAAAATTTTTCGATTCACTTAAAAATTATCCTAGACTTTACGAACTACGTAAAAAATTAATCATCTATCCCCTATTTTCGTGATTTGTTCAGAATAATTCAACACTACAAACACCTGATACTGGTGAATCTCAACTTCGGAAACATCTCTAGTTTTCTGTATTTCTGGAATGTATATTTTTTTTAATTTAAAATGAAAATATTCACATATAGTTTAGCTCATTTTATCACGTGAAACTCAAGCTCTGTGTTACATTTGAGTAGATAGAAAAAAATTCTTGAAAATTAAATTTTTTCCCTGCTAATTCGTTTCCGAGTACTATTATTTCGTTGAGATTCTTTCCTGGTGCTGTTTACGCGAGTACACTCTTTTTACGATTTTTACATATGAAACTAAATGCATTTTAACACATAAGATGCATTCGTTTTACTGATTAATACTGTTTTACAGCATGAATCAAAAGCTATCTTTAGCTCAGGAACGACTGCAGCAGGAATATGAAAAACTGAAAAACGAAGAGAATGAGAAGACTCAAAAACTGCAAGAACTTACGTAAGTAATGTCTGCCTTACTATTTATGTAGAAATTAATACTCTTTTTCCTATATCAATTATCTGAAATGGAATTTATATCTATTCCGAAGAAAAACAAAGTTAATGCTTTGCAAAAGGTCAGCTTTGTGAAGAAACTCATGATTTTTATCTTAAAAAATCTAAATCATAGTTATTTATTTTTAAATATTATCCATAAATATTATCCATACAAATATTATCCATACATAAAACATTATCCATACATTATCCATACATATCCATACATATGAAAAGTGATCTGATTTTATGGAGAAAAAAAATCACTGGAAATTTTCTGGAGAAAATTGTTCCATCTAAAAAAAAGTTGTTTTGAAATAAAAAAAATGAATAAAAAATTTTAAAAAAATATTTCGAATTTCACGAGTATTCTGTAAACTTGTAGAGAATCTGTTTGACTCCTCATTTGAGAATTCATAATTTGAGAATAGATTTTTCAGTTGTTTTCTTTTATATGAAATGCGTATATCGATTTTTATCGATTTAAATATAAAGATTTCCTTCGTAATATTGAACGTATTTTCTTAATAGAAACAAACGATACCACGCCAATTCCTACTTTTTTCCTTTTTGTAACTAAATATTTTTCTGAATAGCAATATTTGTTTTTTTTAATTAGGTTATTTCTTATACTGATAAAACTCTTGGTTATATGTATTATAAAAAAAATATTCACTAATATTAGTGAAATGCTATCAGAATTCTCTTGCATATATTATTTGATAAATACTTAGTTAAAAGCATTCATAAAAAGCATGCATTGTAAAATAATAAAAAAATAGTATTAGACTTTTTCAACTAATATATTCTTTCGGTTTCTAATTTTAAGGTTCTTAAATGAAAAGAGGGAGCAGGCTCGTCAGGATCTGAAAGGTCTCGAAGAAACTGTTGTAAGTATTTAAAATATTTACTAAAAGAACTCATAAAAAACTAATTACAAGAATGTACTTGAAATGAAAACTTCATTAAAGGAGGAAAAGTCGACATGTTTCGAATGTTCGAACACGATGCTCAATCTCAATACAATAATACGTAAAATGATGAATCAGAGCAAATTAGAAATAATAAGAATCGACACAGTTTTCAACGAAAAAATCGAAAGGAAATAATGGAGAAACAAAACAAGAGATAACGCGACTGCCGAAGGAAAAAAATTGGGACTAGATGCATTTCCATGCGGAATGTAGGATCGGGGGAGGAGAGATCAGTATATATTAGAGCATCAGCCATCCCAATAAAATGAATGTTTGTTCCTTGAAATACGTAATTCAAGTCAAATAATGATTAAACAGTATTATTTCGAAATTTTAGCTTTCATTTTTGAAAATCAATGATTATGTCTAAAAATTTGGAAGTCTTGCAAATTTAAGAGCAAATTTTTCAAAAAAAAAACGCGATTCTGGTTACCAAGATTTGCGCTTAAAAACTAGGATTATAACTTCAAGAACAAAAAAGAATTATAAAAATGTGTATCAAAAGTATTAGAGAATGCTCTACTAGTGAAAATTCCGAAATCAAAAATTTAATCTAAGTAGAAAAAAATGTTTCTTGAAATACGTAATTCAATTCAAACAATGATTAAACAATATTATTTCAAAATTTTAGCTTTCTTTTTTGAAAATCCTTGATTATTTCTGAAAATTTGGAAGCCTTGTATATTTTAAGAGCAAATCTTATAAAAAACGCAAGTCTGGTCACCAAGATTTGCTCTTAAAAACTAGGATTATAACTTCAAGAACAAAGAAAAATTTTGTAAAAATGTGTATCAAAAGTTTAGAAAACGCTCTACTAGTGAAAATTCCAAAATCAAAAATTTAATCTAAGCCAGAAAATATACGTTATTAATTGTATATAGTTTATGTGTTATTATTTTAAAAATGATGTAAAATCAAACACATACTGTTATTTTTGTAGTGGTTGCATTTTTTAATCATTAATTTGATAACGTTTATATATTGTTCCATAAATCCATATGATATGTTCATTCCCAATAGACTATTTTTATTTAAAAATTATAATTCGGCAAATGGAATTGCTTCGATTTTTTTTATGTTGAGTATGTATTGTTGTACGTTTAAACTGATTTCTCCTTTATACTTTTTTAAGCTAAAAGAATTGCAGACACTGCACAATTTACGAAAGCTATTTGTTCAAGATCTTCAAAGCAGAGTTAAGAAATCTGCTCTGGGCGAAGAAAATGAAGAAGCTAATGGAACACCTGCTCAGAAACAGAAAATTGCCTTCCTGGAAAATAACCTTGACCAACTCACCAAAGTTCATAAGCAAGTGAGTAACTTAAGATTTCAACAATAGAATTGTTGAAAATGTATTGAATTATTATGTCAGTTTTTACTGTCTTTGCGAGTGTGATACTTTCAAAATTAGATAGTGTATGCAAAAAAAAAAAAAATTGTCATGACTAAAAATTTCTAATTTACGATAACCTGAAGCCCTGAAACCGTTTTTATTCAATTAATACCTGAAATGTATTACTAAACCATTCATTTAATTTGAAAGTTCTTATATAGAAGTGCCAATATAAGCACTGCTTTAGGTCATGTGACAGGTAATGATATTCTGTGGTGTTTGCATAATAATCGTAGCTTACGATTTCTGTAATCCTGATTCATTGTAATCGTTTATCATAATTGCTTGTAAATATGGTTGAAACAGTAATCGTAAATTATAATCATTCATGATCACAATTACTAGCAATTTATCATTAATATATAATTATTATTGTAAATTTTAGTTACAATCGATTTTTGTGATCGACTCTCAATTCTAACTTGAATTTTAAAGTTAGTGTTTTTTTTTCACTCTTGGAATAAACTTATAAAATTTTTTTGCAATGTATAAATTTCTTCAATCGATAAGAAAGGCGAATTAAAAATTGAACATTCCCTGAAACATGGTAAAAAAAAATAAAACTCAACTCAATCAGTTTCAACTTAATACTATAATGACATTTGTTGCATCTTCTATGTACATTATATTAAAGATATTGTAATTTCTTTTGCTTTAACTGGAATACCTTGTAATTTTCTTCTCTGATTCTAAAAAAGCAGATAACTTTTTATTCCCAGCTTGTAAGGGACAACGCCGATCTTCGTTGTGAATTACCAAAATTGGAGAAGAGACTGAGAGCCACCATGGAAAGAGTCAAATCTTTGGAGACGGCTTTGAAGGAAGCAAGGGAAAGTGCTACACGGGATAGGAAGAGGTAATCAAAATAGCATTCAAAGAGTTACTGTCATTCAAAAGGTTACTGTACCTGAAACATAATATCAATACCAGCCTTTAATTAAAATATACCAACATATCTTAGAGGACATACCATCACACATTAAGGTTAAATACCGATGATGTGACTAAATCCCAAACAAAAAACTTTTCAAATTAGGAATTTTAAGAACTACTAGGTCGTTTATAAAATCAGTTTGATAATAAAACGCAGTTAAAATCAGTTTATAATACAGTTCAAACTTAATCGTACTAAAGTAGCTAAAATTAAGCATTAATGTAACTAAAATTAAAACAACTGAAATTAAGTATTAATATTTCAAAACCTCTAAGCACTTATATTATTATATTTCGAATAATCAAATGTTCCCATTTGTTGCAAAGGAATTGAGAAAAACAACTGAAAAAGTTTTTTAAAAAACTGTACAATATTTGAAAAAAAGGTCTAAAACAATATTCTCTAAAATTTCTTAAATGAGCTAATTATGCATGTTAGAAAGTTTAAAAGTGTCAAAATTCGTACTTGTAATCCTGTTGTGATCACTATGACAGCATAACCATCAAACAATCAAAACAATATACCAAAGTGCATTAATACTATCCAGAGTTTTGGTAGTGAAAAGTACTAAAACTGAAGTCTGCAAAATAATTAGCTTGAGGTAAGGCTTTAAATCACATAAATTTAAAGTTTTGCCCAAGAGCAAATACATATTTAATTACCGCACCAATATTTGCAATGCCTAAATCGATAAGTAATGCAGGCGGGATTTTCTTCTTTCTCTTTTTGTTCATCGGTGGGCATTTAAAAAATTTTTCTCATGACTCTAAAGAATTTTCATGTTTTTTCTGATTAAGTTCTTCATAATTACTAATATTCTTATCAATATTTTTGTTTTTGTCTGTTATTTATTTTTAGCAAGATTAATGCGAACTATTCTACTATAGGTGAGACTTGAAATATTGTAGAAAAAGCAATACTTCAAGGTTAGGTTTTTCGCAATTATAGTCAGTTGCTATTAACTTCCAGAACAGAATGTCATATTCATAACAAAGTACGGATTCTACATAAAAAAATATGAATTCCATATTAAAAAAAAGATATGGAATTACATACATAAAAAACTTATGGTATTATATAGAAGAAGTATGGAATTCTGGAAAGTGTGTTAATCCGTTGTAATAAGGATAGTTAATATACTTAAAAAAATAAACCTTTTATTGTTAACTTTAGTTTCGAATTTTACATATTGTGTTTAAGTTATAAAACTTTGATTAAAGAATATTACAAAAATTATTTCAATGGTTATAAGAATTTAGACTCACCAATATAGTGGAGAAGTTGCAAGTTATTTTATAAATAGCTTCTTTGCATTTCTAAGAACAAATATTGTTTTGCTTTTCAAAATTTATATTTGAAGAATTAAATATGAAATTTTATTCGCTGCTTTTAGGCATTATTTGATTAAAAAATCGTCTGCCTTTAAATTTATGAGAATAAACTTTAGACATTAAATGCTTAACCTATTGAACGTATTTAAAAATAATTTTCATTTTAGCCTCATTATTAAAAAAAATTTTAATTTTCGATGTTAGAAAAATTTGATTTCATAATTAGGAATTAAAACACAGTATTTGAAATTAATTTAATTCATAAGAATCTTTAACTTATTACTATAATTAAATTGGCATCAAACCACACTTCCTAGAACGGTTTTCAAAACTAAAATAATTCAATGTTCTTTTTAATTTGTAGTTAAGTATTACTTGATTAAAATTAAAACGAAAGTATTTAAAATAAAATATAAATTCTGTATCTTATTATGTCTTAAGAAAATTCGAAAAGACTGTAGAGCTTATTATAGTTTTGAATTAGAGAACTATCTACAAAAAAAAAATTTTTTTTTTTATTGTTATATAAGTGCACAAACGAAAAGATATCACACTGAATAACTTTTGTTCTAATGATCGGATTTTATGTCGTTTATTAATGTTATGTCGTGTTGAAACATTTAAAAGAATATTATCCGAATAATTAACCATTTTTATTATGCATTATGAAAATTATGAAAGCAAAATTTAAGCCTCATAAGCGAAATATAGCAGCTAGATTTTTAAGGATTATCAATTCGAAATTTGCACACAAGAAACAAATTTCAATTCACCTCAATTTCTTAATTTGTTTTTTTAAGCCGCATTATCGGTAATCCGTTTCACTGTTAAATTATTTTTAAAAGTAAAAATTACTTTAATTATTCATTCTGCCCAATTGTAATACATATAGTTTCTGATAATCTTGATTATTTAATACGACTCACTAAAATAACTCGATTTAGTCATTAAGTGATACTTTGGAAGTTATCAAATTTTCGAGTTTAAGAATATGTTGTGGTCGATTGTAACAATAAAACATACATTCACTCTGAGTCTTTTTAAATAAACAATTTTTACGTGAAATTGATTTTTATTTTTACAGTTACCTTATGCTTCTATACATCTCAAATAACACTTTAAATTCTTAAAATACTACTTAATTCTCTTTCCACTGAATTCTTAAACTATGCCTAAAATCTAAATTGGTTTAATATGCAATAAATATATGCGAAAAAAGGAAAAATTTATTAACACTATCAATAGAATATAAACGCGATATGATATTGATAGTTGCATTTAGTTGGAATTTTCGTTGCGTAAAAATCCATAAAGTAGAAAAATTTACCAATTTTTGATGATATTTTATTTTGTTTCTAGGTATCAATACGAAGTGGATCGCATTAAAGAAGCTGTGCGACAGAAGAATTTAGCGAGACGGGGTCACATGGCTCAAATTGGTAAGCAGTTAGTTTTTCTTATGCCTCAAAAAGCTCTTTTTTTTGTTTACTGTTTAGCTTACGCAATATTTAAATTAACTTACATATTTTATTCACTTACAACTTAATACAAATTAATTAAACTAAACTCATTTTCTTGTTTATTAATCATTCAATTTGTAAAACAAGAAATGGAAATGCTATTCAATAAAATTTCGAGCTGTAGTTAGGAATGTTGTTTAATATTTTTAGTTTATCTTATTCCCTTTCAATGAAACTGTTCATAACATAATACTGTGATAATGGCAGTTTAATTTATCATATAAAGAAAGTTTTAAACAGCAAGAATTAGTAAAACAATTATAATTATTTAATTTCGTTTTATCTTAAAAATCGTTCGAGTCACCGCTGCTTTTTCAAGCGTTTAACTTCACGTAATATTTAATTTGCTACGCAAAAATATATCTCTTTGAAATTGAAAATTACGACAATGTGTAAAAAACAGTACTGGGATCACTATAGAATAAAGAAGAAGATTAAATACCACGCTGGCCACTCTGCTGGTTACAGAAATGCAAATTGCAGAATTCAAATTTGACTTGCTGAAAGGGTAATTTTTATTCATAAGCTTCACGAAGTTTTCTGAAATTCCAATTTGCTTGAAAGATATCGAAAATTTGCATATATATAAATCTGACATTCAAAAATTAGTTCCAGAATTATTAACTGCTAAACTTGGATGAAAAAAATACCGTATGAACCAACCTGCAGTTCACAGAAATGAAGTTAGAGTTGAGATTTGAAGTTCTGAAGAGGCCATTTTCATTTATGAACTTAACGTGAAAATTTTTCTTAGAATTTTAATTCGTTTGAAAGTGTTCCACTTTCAAGTGCATTTTTCTAGAATTTTTTCACATTTAATAATTACCATTTATTTATTGTTGTAGAAAAAAAAAACTCCATCTTGAGATATTCATTTTATATGCTTGGGCGTGACTTGATGTTTAAAGTAACAAATAAAGGAATTATAGAAATAAAAATAGGAGAGTGAGAGATTATGTGTTGTCAGATTTAAATCTTAACATGTGAATTAAAGACTACAGATTGATAAAAACTGTTTTCCTTTTAAACTGTTATAGGAAACAACGTGATGGTTATATAGTGTTAACACGTAAATTTACTTCACAATTATTACTGCCCATTCTGTATTCCTAAGTTTAAATACTTGTACAATTGATTATTTTCCAAATGCAGGTGTCCTTTCTTTTCGTAATGATTAGCATATTAACCACTTGTGCTTACACAAAACTGCCATAATTATGTATTTTGTAAAAAAATTATTTTTGATAGCTATTTTTTAAGGAAAAAAAACAATGATGAATGAGAACAAAATTCGAGTATTGGTTTGCGGAGCCTCGTCGTTTTTTTATATACTTTTTATTTTATTAAATTAAAACAACATTGCAATAAAAGAAACAAAGGTAACAATGTAAATTATTTTTAAAAGGCAAGAATCCATATTTTTGGCACAGTTAAAATTTTCTTTTATAACTAAAATAACACATAAATAACTCATTCCTGAAAGCGTTTTTTTTTTAAACAAATAGAAGAAACTTGGTAACAATGGAAAAAAAATGCTTTCGATTTCCGTTTTATTATTTTTTTCTACCATTTAATTTGCTTCTCCATTTTATTTACATAAATTAATTCCATTTTACGTTTAAGATAAGTAATTGCTCATGTTTTCCATAGAAAAAAATTATATATTATATAATTTTCGTAATTTTTCGTAATATTTCGTAATTTTTTAATATTTATATAAAATTATATAAATATTAAAAAATTACGAAGCCACAAAGCATAAAAAATAATTAAATAAGTAAAAAGGATTTACCTTTTGCTGTCACATTAGCCAGCATTTAAACGATAATTTTCGAATGAAAAAAACGAAAGATTCGCTTATTAACTAATTAGTGTGAAAACTACACTCAAAATAGTAGCTAAAAAAGTTTAACAAAATAATTAAAACTAAAAATTGTCCTCAAAATTAAGAAGCGTATCTTGGAAAAAACTGCAGGTGTGAAAGAATTTAATGGAAAATGTTATAGGTTACAGAATTTCCTAAGGAATTTTTTTTATTTCTGTTATTCGAACATTTCTAATATCATAATTGCGTTTTAACATCATCTATCTATTTATTTATTTAGCCAAACCTATTCGTGCTGGTCAGCCTCATCTTGTGGGTGCTAGTTTTAGAACTGGAATTATACCTATGTTGAATATGTAAGCATTGTTTTATTATTTTCTCAATGCTCTTTTGTTTGCTGGTAACAATTAATATTTTAATATTATCTTTCTTCTTCATATCTTGTAGTGCTAATCTCGGAAGAAATGACAACAGGAGGACTTTGTCTGGTAAGTGTCACATTTTGAGATATCTGAAATCTATTATTACTTTTTTAGACTCCTGTTTCCTAATGTTAAAATATTAAAAAAATAAGTTACACAAATATTAGTAATATAAAATTCTAAAAGCAACTAACAAGTAACTATTTCAAGCAACTAACTAATGCTGCAACATTCTGTTTAATAGTTAAGAATTTAAAACCAATTCGAAATTCGCGGTTTATGAAATGATTGGGTCAGTTTCGTGACACGGAACCTTTGGAGCCCACCCCACAAATTTTTTTTTAATATAAAATATTTTTCAACGCTGCACCGACAATATTTTTTGTAACTTTTACATTAAAATAAATATTGCCGTAAAATATACGTACCGAAATTGAGAATTTTGTGAATTTTAAGTAGAACGATCAAACGACGTTCAGTAAGAATGCTCTCTAAGGGTGTAAAAATCGTAAATTGTATTTCATTATTCTTTAAGATTTTAATATTCTTTTTATCGTGGGTAACTTTTCTAATAAAGATATTTAAAATATTGGTGAACGAATTATTATTAAATAAAGAATAATGTCATTGCGAGAAAATTATGAGTTATGACATAAATCAATCGAAAAATCATCAGTTGAACGATTGACAATTGTTAACCATTAAACGATAAACTTTTCAAAAGTTAAAGAAATTTGGAGCTCTGTCTCCAGGAACTGACTCCTTGACTCGGAGTTTTTGGAGCTCGCTCCAAGATGTTCTGACACTGCCTTTTGGAAATGGTCAAAAAAGTTTTATCTGGTTTAATGTTAGGAAAGACATGGTTCCCAGTAGAACACCGAAGTCAAGCATCACTGGCTGCGGTCAGTAAGCGGGTGGGTGACCACTTTAATCAGCCTGCTTAGGGACTGAGGAGGTGCGGTATCGGTTCTCGTTAAACTGTTCTACCATAAAGTGCAGGACTTCGAGGGCAGGTCACTTGACTACCAAAGCAGGGGTGCCATCCCTCCGTAGAGGATCAAAATTGCAATAGCATGTCTTCGGATCATCCTCATGGATGTTTCCAGACGCCAATAGCTGATTGTGCAACTGTAGTGCGACGTAAATAAAGTATCTACCTACCTAATGTTAGAAAAAGAGCTATTCTATCCTTTTTTTGGTGTTGCTTTTAAAACAAACTTTTCATTTTATGTAATATATTTCCAACGCAACACTGATTGTATATTTTTTTGTAAGAAAACATCTAGAAATAAGGAATCTTATTAGTGCATTTGAAGCAGTACGATCAAACTAGATTTAGTAATAGTTGTTAAATTTCAAACAAACGCGAATTGTATTTAATTATCCTTTAGAATTTTAAATTTTTCATTGAGGTTTTTTTTTATAGAATCGCTTAAAATATTGTCAAAAAAATTATTAAATAAAGAATGATGGTGAAACCTATGAACTAGATCGTACTAAAAATCGACCTCCAATCGATTGTTTACTTTTCAAAAAGTGAAAGAAATGGGAGCGGGTTACAAAAACTCCGCGTACGGGACCACATCTAAAATATGGAGCTTTTCTTCTTGCAATTTCAGTATTATTTTAGAATAAAATAAGGTTTTAAATTAGCTTACGTAGCAGTATTCTGGAAGTTTTAAAAATAATAAAATCATATTTTATTCTTTTATAGAAAATATAATTGCTTAGTTATTAAAAACTAGTTAAATATAAAGCTATGATGGTATTAAATGAAATTATTTTATTTTTAATATGTTCAATTGCTATTGAGTCTGTCTTAGTATTTTTAAAATTTACTATTTATTAATTTTTTTATGTAATGATTACTGCAATGTTGCCAAGTATATTGAACTAAGATTTTAAAATGAACAAAAATGTAATTACGTAAAGAACAACAAATATTGATTTTATAGTGATTTACATTATAATTTGTGTTGTTAAAATTTTTGAGCAGATATATTTTTTTAAATTTTATGCCTTCATTTAAAAATGCTCTTTCCATATTCATTTTCTTGGACCGAAAAAAAAATATTTTTTGGCTAAATAATTATTTAACATAATAATTATACTTTCAAATATCTTCGAAACCACATTGCCTGGCTTAGTATATCGAATTATATTGTAAACATTAGTTCAACACGCCTACTGCCACATGCCTTTAGAGTGAAATATCCTTCAGGCCACGAGTACCGCTGTACGAAGCGTATTCTGCTAAATACTCCCATCGATATTTTAATAATGCGAGTCTGGTGGTCACAGGAATAATATCTCGCTCCATTTCCTTCCATGGTATCATGTCTGTTTATCTGTGTCCCTTGCTTCGCATCTGTTTCTCATCTCGCCACTTTATTCGATCAGTTTGAATCTTTACCGAGTAAAGAGGATTATAACTTAAAATCTTAACTCTATTTCGTTGAAATTTCGAAAAGAAAAATGGAAAACTTATTTCCTAGTGAGTCAAATAGCAGTGAACAAGAAAGGTTTTATGCGGCTATAAAGTCTAAAAATATTTTAAAAATAATTGACCAGCAAAAGCATGAATAAAAGTAAAAATATTAAACAATAACGGGCTAACAAAAGCATGAATAAAATAAAATAAACACATAAAGAGATAAACAATAAAATAAAAGCAGACGATAAAATTAGAATGTCTTTTTAGAACAACAGAGTTGTTGGTTTGTTAGAAATTAGTTTTGTTTTTGAATTTGAGTTTTCTTATAATCCGTTACGGATTTTTCTAGTTTGTTTTATAATATTTTAACTATCCCGTTAAGGGTACTTCATATTTGTTACTGTTTGAGAATAAAAGTTTTTTATACAAAACAGAACTCTTATTTATATAGCTTGATGCGTTACAAGGCTCACAATAATTTTCTTAATAGATCATTTTTGTATGACTTTTATAATAATTCAATAGTTTTGTTACTTCCTGTGAAATATCTTTTCAAATAGATGCGAATATTCTCCGCAAGTAGTCATTTAAGCGTCACCGGAATATGGGTGACGTGGCAGTCACGGTATTAAATAAAGAAAAACATGACTTTTGACTTTATTTTTAGTTCGGGTAATAAATTTCAAAATAATTAGACGCTTGTTTCATAATTGCGACCTGCTACTGCTAAGAGTCTCCCTTCCTAACAGCATTTAATACTATAATGTTAAGTTATAATGTATTATTGTTAAAAAAACATTCTATAATTATATAATTTTATCAATGTTAAAGTTTTAGAAACATTCGTTATGATAAACATGCTCACAATTTATTAATAAACATTTAAGTAATCATTTTTCCTCAAAAAATATTAACAATAGCTATTTTCAAAAATGGTCATTAAATTATATAATGAAGATGAAAGTAATTAAATTGGCGAATCTCTTTAATTAAAAGTCCTTTAAATTATATGTACTAAGATTCAATTTCTCATATTTTTATTGAGTAAACTGTTCTTTTTTCGTATAATAATTATTAATTATTCTTTACAGAAAAAATAATAAATGACATTGAAATCACTCCGATGAAGTCTTTTGAAAAGATATCAAATGAGAGAAATTTCATGGAGAACGGTAATTATATTTTGAATTACATTTTGCACACAAAAAATATACTCTTTGTTATTTATAGCTGCGTACTTTAAAAAATATTAATTAGTCATTAGCTTAAAAACTGCCGAGGCATAAGCTATACTAATATTTTTCTAAAAAATTCTTTTTATTATTTTTATAAAAAGTTATTCTCTTTTATGTTTAATTGTATTTATTAAGTCAATTTTTAAATAATAAATAATTTCTTAAATTTTATTTTTCAATTTCAAGAATAAATTTTCTTGAATTTTGAAAACATTTATCTTAAGATACTCTTTTTTAGAAAATCGTTTTATAGTTTAGTAATTAAAACAAAAAAAGAATGTTTCATCGGAAAAAATTAGTGTACAAGATATGTTTTTAAAAGAAGCTTTCATTATGTCGTTATAAATAATAGATAGCTGAAACCCTACTCTCCTCTGTACGCGTTTTTTTTTTGTTTTTATTTTTTTGTTAGGGAAATGGGTTGATTTAAGGGGGAGAATTGAATTTCTTCTAGATAGGTATATGAGGTTTTGTCTTCGATGCATTTTTTTACGTCGAATTCAATAATACCTATCTCAAAATGATGGAACAAATAGGTGAGAAGTTATCGGTGTATTATATACAAGAAGTATAATTCTGTACTTGTACAGAATTATACTTTCAGAGAATACAGAATTACAGAGAATACAGAATATTCACCTCATTAACGCATCTGGCGTTGCTATCCAAACAAATGAGGCATTATTTCCTAGGAATTTTTATTTTATTTTTATGTTTAATCGAATAAGAACATCCTGAGTTAAACGAATGAATAATTCAAAAAGTGAAAGTGAAGTCAAACATTTAAAAAGAATATTGTCGAGTACTTATGTATCCTTTTTACTTTGCTATCTAAGAACTATTTGAACACATAAGGTACATTTTCCGCTGTAATTTTTTTCTTCTTTTTGCTGGGTTGTGTGAGATAAAATTCGAGTCAACAGTTTAAATAGTTAGTTTTTTTATCAATATTCAATTAAAAGTTAGTCTTTATGAATATTCTTCATTTTCTCATTTTCAATTTACACTAAGTGACGTCATCATAAGTAAATAGCGGCATTTGTCGATACAAACGCGTGACGTCGCTTACAGGTATCCAATTAAATCTGATTTAAATCCCATGGTTAGGCACGTTCACTTTACTTATGCAAGCACCCGATTGTGAATTGTTTTAAAAATTTCTTATGTAATACACATTTTATAACACTTATTTTTTTCTTATTCTTTCAGCTGAAGAGATCAATGTAAGCTAATGAGAAGAGCTTTGTGATATTAAAACCATTTACTGAACTGTTAACTCCTATTTAAGTTCCATAAATGTCTATTAGGAAATCAACACTCATAGATACATAATTCCTTATAAGAAGCTTTTTTAATGCAACACTTGCCTTAGAGTATTGCACTCTGTTGAGTTCTAGTCATCTGTCTTTGTTTATTCCAAACGTATTATTTATAGTAATGTACTTGTTATAAAATAAGTATTGAAAATTCTCAAAACTAATATCATTTTGAAAATAAAACGAAATCTGATTTTTTTATCGTTATTAGTAATATGAAATGGCAGATATCCAGGTAAAAAAATATCGTTTTTTTTTCATTGTTGAGATTTGTTTTTTTAAGCTATGTTAAACTGTGATAATTATACAGTACTTACTTGAAACTGAATTTTATTTTCAATTCTTTTTAAATTTTCTAAAGAAGCAATTATTTTCAAAAACAATGACTGAAAACAAAAACAATGACTGTTTTTACTCTGAGACTACAGAAATAATAATCATTTCGGGTCAAAATATTTTTATATGATACAAGAATAATTCTGTTCCTTTTCAATGTTTTATAAATTGTTTAGGGAAAAAAATAGATTTTATTAATTTTAAATTAGATAAAATCTTAAAATATTGATTTTAATTTATTCTATTATTTAGATTACTTGTTTATTATGATGTATGTTAAATTGTTATTATGTGTGTTAAATTTTTATTATAAATTTATAAAATTGTGTATAAAATTAAAATTTATCTTCTTTTTTATATTGCTATTTTTCATAGCATCAAACAGTGGAGGCTTTTATGGTTCTACATTGTAACTCGAAAAATCAATCCTGAAATTTACAATTTGGATTAATTAATATTTTGTTAACTATTAGAACAGGTATATATCTAATACAAATCTTAACACACTCCAACGGCTATTGTGTATTAAAAATATCTGTTTTGCAGATTATGCACAATACGCAATCGTTGGAAGGAAATCAATAGATTCCCTTTTGTTAGTGCTTAGCTATATTGTAAAATGAAATAAATCTGCGGCCTATGTGACTTAAGAAAATAAATGTTGCTGCTTCAAGTGCTGTTTCGGTGCTTCTTATTTTAATGAGTGGTATTTTTTACTGTGATCCATTGTTTCTGTAACTACTGTAAATATTTGTGTATGTATTTATTATCTCACTCTTTAAAGTATTTATTTTGCACTACATCCATTTGTTTATTGTTAATATATCGAGCATTTATTCGAATCGCAAAGTGTCACCTTAGTCACGTGTAGTACAGCTTGTACATGTTGGTCTGGCAGTTTTTATGAAGACATGGGAGATCTTACAAGGGGCCAGCTTTAAACGTATCATTTATGGTACTTGACAATTATTACCGGCTGAATGGCAACAGCTGAGCAAGTATAATTGCGTAGAATCAAGAAACGCTAAAAATTTCATTGGTAGAAGGGGTAGGAAAGCATGTTTATGCAGTGCAGACACAACGGACGTACGTCGTATTTATGCGCTCAGCCGATATAAGTATCTAAGTTTGATTTTTGATCGTTTATTTGTATTGTATGTTACTTGTATTTATGTGTTTCATACATCTTTGTTCAATTTTCTACTATATTTACATTTAATTTAAAATTATTAGATTTTTGTATTAGCTTTTATGTGTTTCGAAAATCATGTAATACTTTAAAGTTTTGATGATATTTATTTCTCATATCTAATCAAGGAAAATGCCGCAATTTCTAGCCCTTTTTTTAAAAAAAAACTATTATGTACATACGTTAAGTATGTACATTTAAACTATTTATGAAACATTCCCAAATCATACCTGACTTGGACATAATTTTTAGTAAACAAGACATAACATTTTAGTATGTTAGCTTTTAAATTTTTTAACTGAGAAGAAAATTTTTTTAGTCTCCGTAAATAGCTCTGCATATTAATTAGATAAATATAAGCAATTTCTATTTAAGTATGTAAAAAAACGTATATTACCACATAAATTGATTTTGTTCCTTTTTTTACAGTAAAATTTTATTGTATCTATTCTTATAGTATTTTAACCAAAAACATTCGATACATTAAAAAGTATTGTGGCATTTTCTCTAGGATGGTTCTTGAAATTTTGTGAATTGGTTTGATTTCTTGATATTGCTGAGGTATAAGAATTTAACGATGTACTAACTTGAAAACGATATTTCTATTTTGGTCGAAACATTGCAAATTTGATAGAAATATATTTTAATACTTAAAATTAATATCTTTGAACCCTTAGATTACCAACGACATGCATGTGTCCAATGAAAGCGTACAAAATATTCCTTAAAACAAAAACACTTATCTCTCCGACATTCGAATCCGTACACTTAATTTGCTATCGGTTCATTCAGGACTCTATGAAGCATTTTAACAAGAAAAACAAGTCAGATTAATAAAATACTGAACAAAAAACGGTAGTCTAAGGGTTGAGTAACTTTTAAATTACAATGATTTATCGTAGCAATTGTTTGCTTTCTGTCTATGCAAATCTAGCTGTTAAAATATATGTAGCAGCTACTTTGTAGGTTTCAGTGATGTGTATATATACATATAAAGCTGTTGTCCACTCCCTTTTTTTGTAATAATATTCAACTACTTATCGATCTCAAACTGATACCAGAATAATAGTTAACGCACTGTGTTCTGTAAGCAACGAAGCCTTCTTTAAAAAAAACCTATATATAACTGCTTTAAGAACCAGTTCTTGTGTAAAACTGACTTGTGGCTTCATAAATAAAGTCATGTCTATTACACTGTCTCGTTAAATTAATTTTGAGTCCTTTTCTTTTTATTAATTCAAACACATTAGCATTTACAAGTCTATGGACAAGTAGGAGTATTATCTAGGTGGCCTTACTCCTTGCTCTCTACGAACACCGGATTCCAACCCGGATCAATAACTTTAAGATTGTTTCACAATTCGAGCTCGTTTCACTCGCTTATTAGATGCTCTAGTCTAGCTATTGGTCTAGTTTTGTATGGATACTAGCTCCCTTTTTAAAAGGAACTTTCAAAATATTTAACCTGTCAGGACTTTAAGTTATAAGCAATGTATTCAACTTATTTACGTTGCAATTTGATTCACTTATATTTCAGTACTTACGGAAATTTATAAAACCCTTTCTATTGCAAATCACACCCAGAGTTCGTCTATTACAGTAACCGATTCCAACTTATAACGACCACTGTTAAGAATTCAAGTGAAATGACAAAATGGAACTATATTTAAAATCAGTTGTCAGTTTTAATTGTCGTATATCAATTTAAAATTATTTGAAATAAAATTACAACAAAAATGACTTAAGTTTTAGTAGCATTCTGATATTCTGATAAAATAACTTTAAATCTTTAATTTAAAACTACGGTAAATAACCCAAATATGGGCATTCATAAACATTTTATTTTCTCTAATTCTTTTGTATCAGCACATACAATTCTAAAATCTTTAGATGTATTCTCTTAGCAAAGAAAAAAAAATAACTGTTGAATTTAAAACACAATATTGTCGAAATAATGTTCATTGTCCAAATGGGCACTGTCTGGAGCCCTTGCGCATTTTATGGACACTCTTTAAAATTGCACACAATCTTAATAAAAACCGAAATTAACGGAAAACGTCGTCACGAGATGACTGACAAGAAAGAAAAAAAGATTCCTTTCCCTTTCTCCTAAGCAACAATTCATGCACCCAAACATAACACGCATTACAACATAAACACGTCTGTTTCTCTTGACGACAAAACACAATATCACAACTTTTTAGGCTGTATAGACCACCGCAGAACGGTAGAGCTGCCATAGTTGATACTTCTTTTTACAACCGTCGTTGGACAGTCGACCCAATTTTGAATTTACGGCTACCAATGGTCAATTCAGCAGCCTAGTAATTTTGAACCCAATCCAGAGGACAAAAGATTTCTTGGATCAAGTATTAAGAAAAATTTGCCATCGTGGAGGACTTTTTGATGGAACTAATCATGCGTAACATGGATGGATGCGTAACATGGAGAAGAAAACCACGAAATCCTCCCACGGTTTGTCTGACGACAAGGGGATTCTAACCCATGATCCGCATACCACTGAAAATATCTTACGTCGGTGCGAGTTGAGTGCGGAATTTGAATCGATCAGCTGTCGCTGGGATTCGAAACCGGTTCACCTCATTGAGAGGCAAGCGCTCTACCCCCGGAGCCACAACGGTCCTGATACTACTTTTATTTTATTTTATAACCATTGTTGACAGCCGACCTAATTTTTGGGTTTACGACTACTAATGTTTAACTCCGTAGCCTTGTAATTTTGAACCCAATTCCAAGGAACTCCTGGATCGAGTATTGGGAGAAATATTGCCATCGTGAAGAACTTTTTGATGGAGCTAAACCGCATTTGTGTTACTTGGAGAGGAAGACCACAAGAACCTCCCACAGTTAGCTTGACCTGCAAGGGGACTCTATCCCATGATCCACTGAGGATATTTCACGTCAGCACTGTGGTCGGTGCAAGCCGGATGCGGAATTCGTATCGACTTGGATTCGAATAAAGTCCGCCTCATTGGAAGGCGAACGCTCTATCCCAGGAGACATTGCGGCTCTGATACTACTTTTGTAATGAGTAGCGGTTTAGGGAATCGGTGATTAGTGCTGACGTGAAATATCCCTAGTGATAGACGGATCTTAGGTTAAAATCCTCTTGCCGCCAGGCTAACCGAGGGAGGTTCTCGTGGTCTTCCTCTCCATTTAACGTAAAAGCTGGTTAGTTCCATCAAAAAGTCCTCCATGAAGGCAAATTTCTCCCGATACTTAATCCAGGAGTTCTCTTTTCTTCTAGATTGGGTTCGGAATTGAACATTAGTAGTCGTAAACCCGATAATTGGATCGGCTGTTAAACGACGGTTATAAAACAGAAATAATAATAAGTCCAATGGTGGGTCCGGATAGGCTGGTTATTAGGGCACTGGGCCCGTTTCCAAGAGGTCGTGGGTTTGATTCCCGCCGGCCGAAGGCTATGGTAGTAAATGGTGACTGATGCACATTAAATTTGTCGAGTGTCAAAATGCTCCATTTTCCTATAACAAATCATACCTCTGGGGGTACTGATCCAGGAATTTCCTTGTCTTCTGGATTGGTTCAAAAATTATAAAACTACGGAGTTGAACATTAGTAGCCATAAACCCAATAACTAGGTAGGCTGTTCAACGCCGGATATAAAAATAAAAAAATTAAGTCCAATGATCATTATCACTTTACTGAAAATAGCCAGTCATGAACGAAATTCAAAATTCACGATCTGGATGTTTGAAAGATCCCACTTTAATTCTCTCAATAGAAATGAATGAACAAGGCAGAATTCCTTTAAATAAGAAGAAAGGTTTATGTAAATTGTAAGAAGAATGTAATGTAATGGAATGCAATATTATGTTATTAGCAAGAACAATTTTTTCTACGTGCAAAATCGCTACGTTTATTTTGTACGTCGTATAGAGTTGCAAAAACGGAAGCTCGTATCACTTCTTCACATCTCTTACATTGATTTTTACTACTATTTAAATTCAAAATTTTTAAACAGTACCCCTGCATAGTTTTCACATTGAGGTCACTTACCTTAGAGATACCTCCTAAAAGAGAGAAGGCCTCAGCATGGATCAATTTAGTAATCCGACGTAACGAACATAAACTGCGCAGTGGAGGAAAATGAAAAAGATGTCACTACGTTTGAACTACTATTTCTTTTTCATGGTAACCAGTGCTGAGGCATTTTTTCTTCTCGGAGGCATTGGATTTATACGTAGGAGAAGCATAGGTATGTTCGCCTATTTTTTGCATCAACATTAATTTGCTAGTTGACATTATTTGATAATGTTTATTATCTGCTAGTTTAAATAACAAACTACACTTTTCATTTACGTTTTTTCACGAATAGAAAAACTGAGATAAACCTTTTCCTACTTTTTCATTATTTGTCTCATTATGAAGTAATTTTAACTACGTGAATTATGAAACAAAGTTTTAAAAACCTATGGAACTATAACTACCAAATGTTATAGTCAACAATTATGCCTAAAAACTTATCAAATATTTAAATACTTATCAAATATAGGTGTTGGAACTAGGTATCAACAATAGTGGCTCATTATTTACTGATGACATGAATCTGAACTAAAGTTGTTAAATAAATTTAGTCTGAGTCAGTAAATAATAATTAGAAGCAATGTAACTATCTGAAGACAATAGAATAACTCGATGCAATAATAAGTCCAGAATCACAAATTGTTCTGAAATTCAAATAAAATCTTAAAAGGCAAAAGGTTTTCATAGTAACCCCCCCTCCCCACACACACCCATAAGAAGACCCGGTTTTCGAACATAGTAGCTATGTAGTTCCCACAATAAAAAATGCTATAAAACGAAGAAAACAATTGTGTTTTACGTTAATATTGTCCCGACCCCTGAATTCTACTATTCACTTTATTATTTGTTTTTTGACCTTCGTAATATTTTCTGAGGTTAGATTTTTTTTAAATATATTCAGAAGCCTCTTTTCGATTTCTCTTAGTTTAAAGAGGTGTTTACGATATTTAGTTCTATGAATCAAACCTCTCTTAACAACAATATTGTAAAATAATTTAAAAGGAAAATACATTAAAATAGAAAATATAGTTAAAAAATAAATAAAATGGCATTTAGTATGCTCAGACAAGTACACAAAAAATTCACTTATTTTTACTTTATACACTACTCTACATTAACGGAAAAGACACTTTAAGCTTTTAGTATTTTTTTAAGAAATTTGTCAAGAAATACTTATAGAGCTATTTTATAAATTTAGAACAGTTTAGGTTACGTGATTTATTATACTTATCAATAAAGTTTAAAGTTTACAGAGGTTTAAGGGACCAGCAATAAATTACGAGCGAAAAATAGTAATTTTTAAAAACGTATACCAAAATATGTAGCAATAAGCTCATATTTTAAATGACTTTGGTTATTATATTCAATAACTGTCCAGAATTTAATAAACCTAGCTCAAATATGCAAAAAAATATGAACATATTTACAAAAAACTATTTCTTTCTTTCTTTTTTTTGCCTTATGTTTTCTTACTATAACTGTAAAAAGATTCAATAAAATAGTTTTTGAAGTAATTTTTATACAATAACAAATGCATCCTTTTAAAATTTGAAAAGAAAATTCGTTAAAATTACTGAAGATATGAGCATTTAAAGCAGTCCTTAATTGTCTGCTGAATCGGGACATTTGTGGATGCCACGATTTAGCACATACGGCAACATCGCGTGACGTCGCTTGCAGGAGTCGCATTAAACCTGATCCGAAAATTGATTCAGCATGCTAATAAACCAAGTCGTGATAATAAACTGTAACGTTAACACGTCATCCTGTTTATACACAACCTACTGATTTCAACGTTCTACTTCTTCTCGAGTTGCAAGTACCCAATTGAGGATCACTTAGCACCTAAAGCAACTAACAAACACAAAATTAAAAAGAAGATAATAATAAATTAAATTATAAATTTTAAAGACTACGGTTTTCAAATGCAATAAATACTTAATTTTGTCAGACCTAACGAAAAACGTAGGGTTTGTATACATTTTGATCTGACAAAAATAAAATCATTTTATTTAGTCTATTTAAATGTTTAAAATAGTTATTTTATTTTTCGGTTTTATTTTATTTATTTATTTTTTAAATTCGAAGATCAACATTGTCAAGTTTAATGCGTATGGAAGCACACATAGAAAAAAAAATTAAAAAAAAGTATTTGCAAGTATGAATCTTTCGCAGTTTAATTTATGTATGTCCGGTTTCAAATATAGTTAATATTTATTTCTCTTTTAAATACCATTGATGTATGTACATGTCAAAATAAAATCAAAAGTAAATTTAAACAAAAGAAAAAGACTGCGCATCAAAACGAAATTAGTTCAAAAATAAAAATAATTCAAGTAGCACTATATCTAGAATAATTTATTTTGATGATTAAATTCTACCTATAAATTAGTTTTTTCATGTAAGCAACTAATTCATGTTCTGTCTGTAAACACAACACAGCCAAGTGCACTATCAGTAATACAAAATTATGATCTGATAATAAAATCAAAATATGTTTTTTAAAAAGAAGTTTTTATCAATATTTTTGATTGCAGAAATATTTTGACATTGGAAAACGCTTATAGTTTCGATACCACTTAAAGCTCGTATCAATTTCATATAAGGGGCCGTTCAAAAAGTACGTACACAAAAATGGAGAAATTTTAAACCCCTCCCCCCCCTTCGTACATTACCGTACATAAGGTCTTACTCCCCCCCCCCTTAGAGTACGTACATTTTATTAGTCTACCCCCCTTTTTCATAAAAATTAAAATAATTATGTTTTAAATAAAATTAAATATTTACTTAATGAGTGTGTAGGATAAAGTCAAATTTAAATTTGGTGTATGTTTATAAAGTACGTACTTTGTATAATACCTCCCCCCCTCCCCATCGTACAAAACCGTACATAATAGCAAATGCCCTCCCCCCCTTCGGGATGTACGTACTTTTTGAACGGCCCCTAAGTTGTCTGCAGTTTTGCTTTTATCATGATTCATTCTAGGCTTCTGCCAAGGCGAATGTCATTTGTGTTATCTTCCTTAGTGTTATCTTGGGTATATGTTCGTTTATTGTAAATATCATTTGTTTTTTAGTATTTAGTTTCACAACATTCGTTAAGAAAATGTCCTTCAAAGTCGATATACATACTCACATTCTTCCTCCTGAATGGCCAGATTTAAAAAAGGTTAGTGATTTTAATCCTTTTTTCCAAAATTCAATTTTTTAAGTACGATTAACCTCATTTTTTATTCCTTAGAATTTATTTATGCACATACTGAAACGTATTTATTGCTTGGAATATTTGGTGAAACTTCTAGAGCTAGAAAAAAATATTAGGAAAATAATATTTTTGTAATTAAGTGCGGAATCGCATTAGAAGAAAAACAAATTTTAATATTTTTATTTTTAAATTTGATTACTTTTTTTCTAATTTATGACAATTTAAATTCATGTATATTTATGCCTTTGGTTTGTTTATTTATACTATCAAGGAAACATAAAATTCAACAATGTTATCGGTATCGAAAGAAATTAAAAAAATTAAGGTCATTAAATACTTATACCAAATATTAAAGAAACATAACAGTCGGCAAAAATGTTGTACGTATCAAAAGAAATTAAAACGAATAAGGTCATTAAATGCTTTACAAAACATTTATTGACATTATTATGGAAATGTAAAATTCAACAAAAATATTAAAGGCACCAAAAGAAATCTAGAATTGAAACAAATAAGGTAATTAAATACTTATACAAAATTTTAAAGAAACATAACCGTCGGCAAAAATGTTATAAGCATCAAAAGAAATTAAAATGAATAAGGTCATTAAATGTTTTACACAATATTTACTGACACTATTAAGGAAATGTAAAATTCAATTAAAATGTTATAGTCACCAAAAAAAATTATAATGAATATGGTCATTAAATACTTATACAAAATATTAAGAAAACATATAATTCAACAAAAATGTTATAGGTGTCAGAAGAAATTAAAAACTTATTAGAATAGTTTAACGTTCTGTTATTACATTACCCGCTATTGAAGTTAAGAAATTGTGATATTTCATATTTTAAAAAAATGCATATTCTGACCTTTTACTGCTGAATCATTTACTTTAACTATTACCGCTGCATTAGACGAGAAGCATATAAGTTGTTCGATATTATTTTATTTTCTCAGGCGGATTCTCTTCAGTTGCTTCATAATGTTAGGAGGATTTTCCAAAATACACCAAAACTTATAAATAATTGAAGTTAAAAAATAAATAACGTTTTTGAATTCTTATGCAAAACACTTATTTTTCCTATTAAGAAAATATAAAATTTAACAAAAATTTTACAGACACAAAAAGAACTGAAGACTTATTTGAATAAGTTATTATGTTTCGTCTACTTACTGCATTTCATTACAGTACTTAAACTTGCGCATATTAAAAAAATAAAAAAATATTGGTACACGAAACGCGTTCTCCCATTAAAATTTTCAATTCTTTTCACCTATGTTCTTATGTGTATTTACTAAAGGACGCAAAATCTAATGAGCAACTGAAGTGAAAAAGTAAAAATTAAATAAGATCATTAAAGACTTATAAAAACTATTTATTTGGGCTATCAAAGAAACATAAAATTCAACGAAAATTTTAGAGACGTCCAAAAAAAAAAATTAAAGATTACTATAATAGAAAGCTGATATTCTATTACTTATACGAAGAGCATAATTGTTCCTGTACTTGGGAAATTGTAGATTTTCAAAATGTTGCTTTAGCAGGTTTTCCCATTATACTCTTAAAAACTTTTATGTTTTTAAGAAGATTTACATAAGGACACGCAAAACCATAAGCAACTGAAGTGAAAAAAAATTAAATAAGGTCCTCGATAAAAAAGGTAAAAGTTACCATAAACATTAAAGTCTACATTTCCTGTCATTAAATGACATGACAGTATTAGAACATTATAAGCACACGTTTTTATTATTTTTTTTTAAGATTAAATTATTAATTTAATGATATATGCGAATATTAAAGCTTAGTATTAGAAATAATTTACACTATAAATTTTAACATGTTTATTTATTTTATTACTCATTAAAAAGTTCTCTGATCTACACTTTAAATCTCTATATATTTAGCACCAAGATATTTTTTTTTATCGCTTAGTGCTTAATGTCTGCCTTTTTTAAACAGCGATATGGCTACGGTGGGTGGCTTCGAGTGGAACATTCCGCTACAGATCCCCAAAAAGCCACATTGTTGAAGGATGATGGAAGGTTTTTTAGAGCAATTGAAAGTAATTGCTGGTCCCCTGAAAGTAGAATTCAAGAGATGGATAAAACAGGCAAGTAAGAAGGTGTTATCAAAACACTGCTCTTGATGTGTGTATTACAATTTTTATCTGTATTACAACATAAATATTTAGTATCTAAAAATATTTATTAATGGAACAAGATGAAAATACAGTCCCTGGCCAATTTATTAGACGCACTATAAGATTCAATGAAAAATCTTAATTATCATGTGATACTATACAGCTTTAATGTATTTACGCGACTGAAACCGGTTTGCACTAGTTTACTTTCGTGTATCAATTTGTTAAATTAGACGATATATAATATAAATTCGACGATTGGATAAATTATACCATATATTATATACTCACATAAAATGAACGACTGAAAATCACTCAAACTTGAGTGATTTTCAATGGTGTTTGAGTGATTTTCAGTATCACTTGAGTGGATCGTTTCACTCAAACTTGAGTGATTTTAAATCGTTTTTGATTGAATATATGTATCACTTGATTGGGTCCTTTCAACTTGAGTTTGTGTGAATTCCAATAATTTTTCATTCATAATTAGCATAATTTAAGTGAATATATTTTATTTTAATCATACTATCATTATTTATTCTTCTTATTTGAATGTCATTTAAATTAGATTTAAATTAAATTAATCCTTTTTCGACTGTTCACTGAATCTTTTAATGTTATCATAAATAAGATGAAAAGAAAAATATTTTTAGCATGAGTAATAGGAATCATTTATCAGCATTCATTTCTTTTAAATTCTCAATAGTTTGCTCCGTAATTAATAAGTTTCTTTTTTTTAAATTTTAAAACTAAACAGTGATAGTTGATAAAGAAAAGTGAATATGCTGAATATAACTGCAAGATAAATACTCTTTAGAGATCGAAAGCTTTGTGACAAACTTAAGAGCAAAATTGTAATTATTTAGTATGTAAAACACACTATTATTTCTTTATTTATTTTTCTTTAACTCACTGAGCCTTTCCACACCGTCACTGAGATAAGAAAGAAGATTAAAATTTTCCATAGGAATATACACATTTCTAAAAAACTTGACTCATTTAAAAAACAAGGAAAAAAAGACAAATGAAAAGAAAAAAATAAAAAGAATATAACCTTGATTTCGGTTTTTATTTCATTTTGAATGAAATTCAGCATTATTACAGCTATATAATTAAAAAAAAGTATTATAAAATGAAGGAATCGTAGAATAGCTTATGCTCAATTTTAAGTATTATCAAACTACTTTCTAAATATAAAAAGTTTCTGGTTTAAAAAATACAAGTTCCAATTCAATATATCCAGTCTGGTTTAAATAAACTCACAATGTATGTCACATAAATGTATCACAAAGAAAACTAAAATTAATTCAACAATTAAGGTTTAGAACAAGTCTAAATATAAATATATACTTATTATTTTAATACATTGTTTGGATAAGTACAGGGGTTTGAACAAAATGATGAAACCCCTTGTATACTAACACAAATTTTGATCCATATCAAAAATCATTTAGAAAATAATATATATCAAGAAGATATATCAGAAATTAAAGAGATATATTTATAATAAAATGCACGGAACATCTTAAAATACAGAATTGAATAGATGAATCTTGCAAATGTAGACCTTCATAAATTAAAGAAGGCAACTTTATGATTAGAAAGCGACATAAATAGCAGCAAGTATAAACTGTATGAACAGTGGATTATTCCAAAAATAGCTATTTTTGAAAAATGTAGAATGATATGAAATTAATTATCCACAAATATTTTGTACCAAATTACGTTCTAAGCAACTGAATAATAGTAAAGCAATAAATAACTGAAACACGGATATATATTCATTATATGCAGAAAAAAAATCAATTTTAATATGAGATCTAAAAGCATTCTAAAAAACTTTAGAGGTTTAATATATCACCACATACTTTGACAAAAACGGAATCAGGTTTTTTTTTAATATTCCATAATCATCCACATTTTTTACTTTCAATTTTAATAAATTTCTCTTCGAAAAATAATGACCAGAATTTTATATAAAATCGCTAAAAATTACTAATTTAAATGGAAAGTGTATAGAACATATTCTAAATTATAATATTTTAAGAATAATATTATTTTAAAAATAAGAACAGAGTATATTTACTTACCAAAAAGTAAAGCAGCGTCTTCTTCAGAAATGCCGCTGTTAACTAAATGATGCTTTAATTCCTCTTTATTCGAAATAGCAATAGACATATTCATCAGAAAAAAATTAAACTTAAAATAGAAGAGAGAATATAACTAATTTAGATAGCTGAAGGAACATAACAATTTTATTTAGATTTATTATCGTTTGCTTTTTAAAATAAAACGATAGAAATTTCAGCTTATACCTCGCACACAATTAAATAATAAATAAATCACTCAAGGTATTATATTAGTATATAATAACTATTAAAATAAATTTTTAGACGCACTGTAGTGTTTTAATAATTGCATGTTTTGCACTAGTTTATAAGCAATACTTTTCTGTTTAAACATAAATGTAATGGGTTTTTAATCAGCAGATTTTTTATATACTTCATATTTGTAATTATTTTTAACGTAGTGCATTACAATGTTAACCAATTGATACACGAACGTAAACAAGTGCAAACTGGTTTCAGCCGCGTAAAAACAATAAACACTTGATAATTATTATTTTACGTAGAATCTTATAGTGCGTCTAATAATTTGGCAAGAAACTGCAGTAAATAATGAAAAGATTAAATAAATAGAAGAAATTTCAAGTTTTGAAAAATTATTTCCTTTTAAAGTGAAAATAAAGTTATTGGTTTTTATTTCATTTACCTCATCAAAATTGTTTATTTAAATTTATTCCCATGAAAAAATTTTTATTCGTGTATCTTAATGTATTGAACAATATTTTAGTCACAATTTTGTTATTTAAATTTATGCCAAAAAATATAGTTCATAAATGTATGCAAAAATAATAACAGCACTAGGAAAAATTTTTCCCCTGCTGCAGGAAATTTTTTACCATTTCTTACATAAAACCTATTGTAGAAACCTATTGTAGATTTCAAATCTACAATAGATTTCTCTCTACATCTCCAGTTATTAGTCTTATCAAATCAAACATTTTTAGAATACTTAGTAATTTATTTATCGTAATTTGATACAATATTTTGTAATCTGATATGCATGTTTTATTTGTAATTTGATATGTTATAAATTTAAGGTAATGTTATAAAGTTAGGTTAAAGTTTACTTTTGTTATTTTAATATTATAAACTTTACAAAACTTATTTTCAAAAAGTTTTCAATATTACATGCATTAAATAAATTTAGTTTTCATCATAAGAAATTTAGGGAACAGTTGTATACAAATCGAGTAATCTCTTCCCAGTTTAAAAATACTACTTTTCAGTTCACTGTTAAAAATATCGAAATTTTTTAAAGTTATAGGCTTATCATAACAGAATTATTTATATACCTTTTCCTTGATTTTCAAAATACATTTCCTTTCCTTCCTTTTCAATTTTCCATGTTTGTTAAATATATTTTGAAACATGTTTTCTTCCTTAAACTTCGTTTCAAAATTTGATTCCTAATTTTTTAAAACCCAAACTATGAAACTAACGATAGTGAAACATTTAGCTCTTCAATAAATTCATTATGATGTAGACTACTAATAATTAAAAAATATTATTTTTCAATAAAAGTTATTTACAATTTCAGGTGTAGATGTACAGCTTTTGTCAACAGTTCCTGTTTTATTCAACTATTGGGTAAGTTATCATCAGCGAAAGCTAATAACTCATGAGGCATACAAATGTAATCAAATTGCGCATGTCATATAAATATAGGGTGTTAATATAGAGAGACAAAATACAACATATCATCAAAATATAGAAGCAAACAAAATAAATATTCTTCCATTGTAAGAAATATTCGCTTATTCATTCATTCGCTCGTAAAATTGTTTTTGTTTCAAAATACGTTAAGCATATTGGCTTAGTCAACTTCCAGAAACAAATTGTAAGTTATAAGGGAGAGTTAACACTCTTACGTTACATTCTGCACGCTTAATATGCTTATAATATAGTTAACCCCTTAACGATTAATTTTCAAGAAAAATATCATAAAAGTGCCTATTTTTTTGGCTTTTGTATTTGTATTGCGCATTTGATTAGTGCTGCAAATAGTTTAAAATAGTATAACTATCTCCAATTACCTTAAAAAAATATCCTGGTACTGCCATCTGGTGTGTAAAATGAGAAATAAAGTGTTTTTCGGGCAAAGAAATGAATTAGTTTTATTCTTACTGGAGCGTTACTACTGAACACTCCAGCCCGGAAATATTACGGGAGCGAGAAATAGAGGGCAAAACCTCACCCTGCCATTTTCACGGGAGCGAGAAGAAAGGGGTTAATAACGTTTTTCGATATTCAACGCTTCACGTGATTCGGAGGTTCAATTAAATGACTATTTTGTAAACGAATAGATAAAAATGTTCACATAATTTTTACAGTTTTTCTTTGTTAGGCTAAACCAGAAGATTGTTTGGATTTCAGCCGAATACTCAACAATCATATTGCATCAGTCGTAAATCAGCATCCGAAACGATTTGTCGGTGCAGCTACTGTTCCACTTCAGGATCCAGCACTTGCTGCCGAAGAATTGAAAAGATGCGTCAACGACTTGGGATTCAAAGTAGTTGAGATCGGTTCCCACATTAATCAGTGGAATCTTCATTCACGAGAGCTTGATCCGTTTTATAAGGTAAGTTTCGTGAAATGGAAATAATCTATTCTACAATTATTCAGTGGAATCTTGATTCACGAGAGCTTGATCCGTTTTATGAGGTAAGTTTCGTGAAATGAAAATAATTTATTCCACAATTAATCAGTGGAATCTTGATTCACGAGAGCTTGATCCGTTTTATAAGTTAAGTTTCGTGAAATGAAAATAATTTATTCTACAAAAATTAATTAAGCAAATTTTAGTCAACATTTTCGATCTATGTACCTTGAAGACGAAATAAAACTTTTAGAAACTCTAGTTATAATACTTGTTGGCACTATATAAACGAAGGGAAAGGTTAATGCTTTCGCGAGCTTTTTTTGAATTATACAAACATGAAATATTTTTTCAGCCTTCAATCGGGCACTTGCAACTCGAGAAGAAGAACAACGCTGAAATCACATGGTTTGATCTAATCACGCAGCATACCGTGATAACGTTACAGATAATAGGCTTGGTTTATTATCACGCTGAATCTATTTTCGGATCGGATTTAATTGGATACATGAAAGCTGACCTGATTGGTTGCTGAATCATGGAATAAGCAAATGCCACGATTTACTCACACGTGACGTAGTTTGCAGGGATCCAATGGTGTTCAAAAGGTTAAATCTAACCACGTTATCAGCTGTTGAAATGCAAATAAATATGAACAAACATGAATACATTAAAATCTAATTTTCAACTTCTCTGGTGACTAAGTGGAGAGAACTTTAGTACGATGGGTGAGCTAAAAATTCATTAAAAAAAATTTTTTTGAAATCGTGGAATGAAGTTTGCTATTTTTTGCACTTTAAAATGTTTTCATAGCCAAAATTGGTCGAGGTGGAAAATAAAACGCAATATGAATGAATGAATTATTTCATTAAATTTAGAATTTATTTAATCCAATATTGATTATTCTACTCCTCTGCGTTATTTACTATCTCCTCTACGGAGAATTAAAATTGTGATGCATGTCTTAGGATCATCCTCAGAGATGTTTCCAAGACCGTCGCCAGTAGCTCATCGTGCAGCTCCAGTGCGGCGTAAATAACGTATCTACCTACCTGTAATTTACTCTAAATTGATATTTTTTTAAATCCAAAGATAATTAGAGATGAAATATTAACTTCCTTTACATTCAAATTTTGCCTTATGTTTTCAGACAGCAGAAGATCTTGGTTGTTCTATATTTGTGCATCCTTGGGATATGGAAACAGGTGGAAGAATGTCCAAGTACTGGCTGCCTTGGCTTGTAGGTTAGAATATTCTTCGATTTTCTTTCATACGCTTTTCTTAGTCAATTTTCTTTTATCTCGAAACAAGATATATTGGAAATTTTAAGTGCATGAATTTTTCAATTCATTTTATTATTAAGTAGTGCATTCCCGCAACTGCCCGGTAGTGGACAAGGCGTGTGATGGAGGTTAGAGCTAAATAGTTTCGTGAATCGTGACTAACGACATGATTGTGGTAATGAGATCAGCAAAGCTCGCGTGCCACTTTTACTTCCCAGAAAAGCTGGTGCCCATCGATTTGGGGCTTGGGGTGGACTTTGAGCTGTCACTGGGGATCAAACCCAATTTTAATCAATGACATTTCAGCGCCTTAACTACTGAGCTATCACGGTCAAAAAATTATTTTATATAAAGGCCTTACTAAGACCGATCTCAGTTACGTAATTCAAATCAAACCCCAATTAAATAGTTTAAAAAATAAATAATAATTTGATCTTTTACTCTTTCATAGAGCTATTTTTAATTATGATTAAGGGTAAATATTGTTAAGATGCATTTGTTTTTTTAAGTTGAATATTTAAGTTTGTAAAAGTTGCAGCCAACAAAGGAACATTTTGATCAAGAATAGTCAGCAGAAGCTTTCTAATGAATGGTCTACGGAAGTTAGAATCATATTTTAAAAATTGTATAAAAGCAACCAACATTTCTTGCAGTGATTGCCCACGTTAAAAAATAAATAAATTAAGCTAAAATTTTCCATAATAAAAACAGAATTTCAATTTATATTTCTTCCACCAAAGGAATGCCAGCCGAAACTACTACAGCCATTTGCAGTGTAATTTTTGGAGGTGTACTGGAAAGATTTCCAAACTTAAAAATGTGTTTTTCCCATGGTGCTGGAGCGTTTCCATACACATTGGGTCGCATAGAACATGGATTTAGAGTAAGTGGACAAACAAAAGTTTTCTATAAATGACGTTTGTAAATTTCGGTCTGCTGTGCTTCTTTTTGTCTTCAGTAATCATTGAATAAAGATAGATTGATTTTTCTTTCATATTTCCGAAAAAATCGGACAGAAATCAGTAGTTATAAGAAAGTTGTGAGATATTTAGTTTGCGCTATGTGCCTGTGGTATTAGAAAATAAAATTTTTTTAAACATATTTAATAATTGGTAGTCTTAACAATCCAGGGCATGTTTTCCTCAAGCACTTGTATAACGGCTTGAGGTATTTCTGCCACTCGGCCTGAAAAAGACATGCAAGTTCCTATACCGAGTTTAAACGATTATTGCATCCATTAATTCAGAGATTCCTCCAGAGTTTCTGGATAATGTTCAGGTCCGAGCTATGAACCAACCAGTCCATTCAGTTAACTCCATTTTCACCATACGAATCCATGGTGGATCTCGCAAGGTAACAGTTTGCGTTGTCCTCCTGTAAGTAATATTGGTCCAATTCGCAAAACTGCCACAACGTTGAAAGCAAACGGTCCTCCAATATAGGTATAGTACTTGCCATGAATTTGAAGCAAGAGTCGCAGTCGATAACAAGAGGCCCGATGCACTCAGGTAGCATTTCTTTCCACCCAAACAATGGCATAGCCATGGAGGGTATAAACTTTTGCTTTATAACTGCAAAAGTTATTTTCCGCTGAGTTATGGTCTAATGTTGACGTGCTTTGCGTACTACATTAATCAAGCAGTGCAGCTGTACTTTGTAATCAAGGGCTTACAGGCGGCGGCATGACTGTAAAAATTAAGCAAATGCGCTTCCTTGCAGAAAATATTCATTGAAATATCACTATGGATAGCATTTTATAATATATTAGTTCTATGCGAAAAGAGTGTGTTAAGCTGAAGAAAAAAATTGTCAACAGGTAATTTTACCGCCTACTTTCACGTGAATCTCTTCCAATGGGATACATGCGAGTGAAGTAGATGGGTATCTGGATTCTGATTGGTTGTTGAAACGTGGCATTTGTTTACATTAGAAACTGTTCTATTTAGAGTAAGCCAAGCTAGTCAAGTATCAATTGTCTTAAGTGACTCATTCTATATTCTTTCACAAAGATTTCAATTATGTCCCTATATATTTCTAACCTAACACAAAGACAGGCAAGAAGCCACGTAGAACATAAACGAACTAATTATGCATCGAAGTTGCCAGGTATACTTAACAAAAATATATCACGGTTACAATAGACAATTAATAAATCTAAGTTAAGTAAAAGACGCAGACGAGGAAGAATTATATTTCAATAAACTCGATGTGCTATACGGCGCTGTATTTAACTTCACATTAATTTACATAACTTATGTCGAAAAACTTAACTCAACTTTAACACGCCATTTTGCTTATAAACGATCTACTGGAGCTGACGTCATAGGTCAGATGTATGAGTATCTGTGATCTTCTTCTTGAAGAGCAAGTACCCAATTAATGCCAGCAGTAAATATTTAAGCGTGCAAAATAGAATGGAATAAGCATCAAACCTCCATTATGTTTAAATTCTCACGTTAACCCTAATATAAATGCAGTCTGAAATTTTGTCCTTAATTGAACAAGTAATAAGAATTTTAGGTGTGTGAATCTTGCATCACCATCACTGAACATTGCATATTTCGAGAATTGAACTTTAATTCTGATTTACTAAATCAGTGTTTTTGATTCCTGGTCATTATGGATATGCATTTTGGTTTGAGCTCATAATTTGTTCCTAGGTGAGGCCTGATTTATGTGCAGCAGACAATACAGTGCCTCCTCGAGAGTATCTTCCTAAAATTTATTCAGACTCACTAGTTCATGATGAAAATGCTTTGGAATTACTTTTAAAAGTTTTGGGAGAAGTAAGTATAACAACACTATGCATTTTCAAAAAATTCAAAACCTTGCGTTAGTTTTAATAAGTTTCTGTTCACAGAAATAAGCATAATGTTAAATGAGTTTTTTAAATACGTATGAGAAAATACAACAATGACAAAATGTTGTTAACAAAAACAGCTTTCTAAAGGATATTAAAAGTTGACCTTGATATGTTTTTAACCCAAAATTTGGGATTCTTTCAGAATGTCACATAAAGCGTTCTTTCTTTAATTTCAATTCAATTAAAGTTATGTATATAACTTAAATCAGGGTATAACATTTTATTAAAAATAAATAACTTTTTGCAATTTTTTAAGCAAAGATGTTAATCTAAAAGTTACTTGATAGTTTTCATGATAATGAAAACATTAAATTTTCTTCCATTAGAAGTAAAATAAATTCAGCTCCCAAAAGATAATTCCAAATTTTGGTTATGATTTTTTTTTATAAATACATTACAAATAATTATGAAACAATGCCTATTTAATTTAAAACAACGGAATGATAATATTTATCACATAATTCTAGCAATTCTTAAATAAATGTAAGAGTCAAAGCTTATTTATGAAGAAACAAGTGGGGTTTGATTGTTTTAGGTATCTCTGCAAAAGTTAAAATTCAAACGAAGTTGATTATAAATAGATTTACTTGAACGAATAACATGCTTCATATGTAACACTGTACAAATCATTGTTTAGATTCAATTAAATCCAACCAAGATAGCTAAATTAAATCATTGCAAATCTGTTATCTTATAAACTGAGAATTAAAAGCCTGTTTTTTCCTTTGTTTTTCGTATTTTATATCAAAGGAGTATGGCTAAGGAAAATCACTTAAAATTTCAGAAAAATATAGTTTAAAGATAAAATTTAATATTTTCAAATTAGATTTGCTGTTGTTGTAGTAAATTTACGTCTCACTAGAGCTGCACATTGGGCTATTGGCGACGGTCTGGGAACATCCCTGAGGATGCCATCACAAGACATGCCATCACAATTTTGATCCTCTGCAAAGGGGATGGCACCCCCGCTTCAGTAGCCCGACGACCTGCACACGAAGTCGAGCACTTTACNCAATACCGCACACCCTCGATCCCTACGCAGACTAATCCAAGTGGTCACCCACCCGCACATTGACCGCAGCCAGTGATGCTTGACTTCGGTGATCTGCTGGGAACCGTGTCTTAACGATCAGTCCACTGCGAGACTTTTCAAATTAGAAAAGTGACAGTGAAGTCGGTGGTCGATTGGCCGAAAATTTAGTTACCTAAAGTACTTAGAGTTATTTATAACAAACACCAAGTTGTATTATAAAACCGATTTCTTATTTACATGGAGTAGAAGATTAAATTTAAATTCTACCTAGCATAAATATTTGATTCCTTAAATATTGATGAAGAGTGATAAAAATCAAACATATTTTTTTGTAGGAAAACGTAATGTTAGGAAGTGATTATCCTTTTCCCTTGGGAGAGCACCTTCCTGGAAAGCTGATTCAAGAGTCAAAGAATGTAAAGAAAACAGCAAAGGCAAGTTAAATTCATGATAAACATTTCATTTAGTCTGACAGTATTGCACACAACTAAGGCAGAGCTGCCAACTTTACAACGCGCTTTGCAAATTTTATAGAGTGGTAAACAATTAAACTCTGAAGTTTTCAGAATTTTTGGTAATTATTTCAACATTTTAAAAGCCTCGCCATAAGAAAGCTGGAATGAGTGTGGTAAACAATTAAAAACTGAAGTTTTTGGAATTTTCGGTATTCCACCATTTTAAAAGCCTACCAGGAAAGAGCTGGCACAAAGTGTGGTAAATAAATAAAAAACTGAGGTTATCAGAATTTTCGGTAATTATACCAACATTTTAAAAGTCTTACCAGGAAAGAGCTGGAACAAAGTGGCGTTTCGTATTAACTTATGAATAATTTACATATAGTGGTGAGGAAAATCACTTTAAATCAGGTTTAAATAAACTTAGCTACCACTAGAATAAATTTTCCCCAAAAACTTAGGAAGTTGGCAGTCCTGCTGAAATCATGCGTTCCAATCGCTTTGCGAATGGCTGTTCGCACAAAAAAAAAATCTAATATTTGTTTAAAAGTAATTTATTTATTATTATAAGGGTTGATATTTCGTTTAAAGAGGCTTATTTCCCCCCCCCCCAGGAAACTGGGAAAAACTGGACAAAATTGAAGAAACTAAAAATGACCGATACGATTTCTTAGCTATTTGGCAAATTCTTTAATTCACTTTTAATAGAATTTTTAAACTTCCAGGCATAACATTTAAGAGTCAGTTTGAGAATTCGTATTTAACAGTCTAGATTATTAAAAGTACTATACTATTATTTGTAGTTGTTAGTTCAATATGTGATATGTAGTAGTGTATGTGTTTAGTAGTATGTGATTTATTAATTTAATGGAATTAATAAAAATTTATTATAAATTTTAACAGTTCTTTATACAATTATAAAATTAGATTTTACTTCACTTCTTAACGTAAAAAGTAGAAAGAAGTTGCAATTGTTTTAATTTCTTAAGAAATTATTTAAAAAAAGTTCCAGTTGCAGCTTCTTAGTTTTGATTTAATAAGAAACAATGCATTGAATACAGCCTTGAGATCAAAACTTTTATTTAAATGAGAATGCAGTTATAAACTGTTTAAAAAAATTGGTTTATTGTTTGATTTTTCTGTTTGAAATAGTTTCTTGCATTTTTTTCCAATTCGAATGAAAGAAAAACTTTTTTTCTAAGCGGCTTATTCCACCATGGAAGGAGCTTGCCATCCCGAATTATTAATAACTATGTACTTCATTAAATATAATAAATAACATACATTAATCAATCATTATTAAGAAGTGGCAAGAAAATTAATAATAAGGAATGATATGCAATCACAAACAGTAACTGGATATTTTAAATAATAACTATAATTATTATTAAAAATAACGGGTGATAAATAATAACCATCAACAATTATTATTATAAATAACCACGGTATTAATAGCTAGTGGGCTAAGACATATTTTTAACACTGAAACCTGTGTCATATTTCTTTGTACTGACGTTGGTCTATCCTTTTTCAACAGAGGAGAGTAAAAAAAAAGCATTTATTGCCTTTTTATCTTGCTTTAATATAACCACATGATAATAAATGATATATGAAAATAGTTTTACCTTTTAGCTTGAGAGGTATATCCAATTATTAAATTTTGATAATTGAAAGGAAAAAAATATTTATTTGCTTTTTAGATATAAATAAAACATTTCTTCAGAAATACAGAGCAGCAAAAAATTGGCAATTTTTAGATAAATCACAATAAAGATTATTATTTTGTGTCATTTTAATGTTTTTGTTCTACAAGGTGTCATAACTTTTTAACCAAAATTTAATTTAGCAAAGTGATTAAAAGCTTTTTTATAATCATCCGGGGAGAAACTCAACATAAAAAAAAATTTTTTTAATTGGTTTACTTTATTGTGCAATGACAATTTATTATTTTTTTTTTCAGGAAAAAATTCTGGGAACAAATGCTTTAAAATTCCTCAATCTAAACAAAACAGATTTCGTCTAGAGAATATATTTGTCATATTAAAATGCAGCTTGTTTGAGAACGGAAAAACTTCAGCATTTTTACTGATGATATTTATGAAAGGAGCAGTAGAGCCGTAAAAGTGCTCATATTGTTTTGTTTTTTTACCTACATTTGTTTAAATGCTTTTTTAAGAAATTTTAGCACTGTTTTTATTGTGAAAGTATCCATTTGTTTTCTCAAAAAATTGTGATTCTATATTTTTTATTAATCAATTATGTAAATAAAATTCTCGTTTTACAGAAGTTCATATATGTGATATATTTTATAGTAAGTGAACATCAAAATCTTTAAAAGGAATTTAGGTACGCTTTGTTGGATTAAAAGTATTTTTATATTTCTAAACAGTATAGTATATTTAATGACTCATATTTCGGATTACTTTTGCACTAACATACACATAATTTTAATGAATACAAGCATGAGATTTTAAGAAAAAAAGAACATGAGAAGCAAAAAACTTAAAAGCAATTAAGACTATTCCGCATGCAGTATACATAACAATTTATAACAGTAATTTATAGAAAGCCATTTAAGTTTTCAACAAATGAAATGATATATCACTAATTGATAAACAGGTCAGAAAATATGGCGTTTGAAATACGCGTGTATTTTATTGGAATAATTAAATGTTAATAACAAAGTTTACGTAAAAATAAAATTCCGTAACTATGAATATGAAAGACTCAGGCAGCAAAATAGACCATAAAAATCTCAGTTGCTTTGACAAGACTTTTAACTTCAAAAAAATAAAGAAATAGCAAAATCAAAACTATGCATACCTCAGTATGATAAAACTATAACTTCATTAAAAAATAATTAGTGAATGGTCCCCTAATAAACCACATTGAATAATCATTGAAAAAGTTCTGCCAGCACTTGACTTCAATCTTTATCAATTCATTGATTCAAAGTTTCATTCTGATATACATATCAGATTTATTTTAAATTCATTATTACGAAATTTTCAAAAAGGTATTACAGAAAATTTTCATCTTGGTGATTATTTTATAACATCCTCAGAAATATAACAAAAAGAAAGAGGAAAACCGAAGAAGAATCCCAAGCAATGAAATTTTCTTAATACACTTCACAAACATGATATATGAAATAGTTTTTATTTGCTGTTTAAGTAATTTCAATTAGGGTTACTTAAATGAGTTTTAAACTTTTAATAAAAATTTCATGTAATTCTCATCAGCTGAAGAGATTAAATAGTTTCAAGAGTAGATTAAAGACTTTTTGATGCCCAGTGTTTAAATAGATGTTTGTTGCTTTCTCTTTCAGTAAAAATTCGAATATAATGGCCAAAGTTACCCAATTGCATGGTAACTTCCAACAGATGTTTTTGGTTTAAAACTGCCTTTAAAGTTAACTTCTTGGAAACGTTTCCTTGGCAAGGATAAATTAAGCAAAAATACATATAAAAACAAGTTTTTTTAATTTATTGCTATTTATTATGTTCATGTATTATATTGATACTAATAATTTGAAAGCATAAGCTTTAAGTGATATAATGAAGGGAAAAAAAACATAATATATCTATGATACACACTGTTTAAAAAATATTGAAAAATCTTCTTCTTCCTCAAAAACACTTGCCCTATTGTGTCCTTGGAGATGGAAATTTAAAAACAATGCAGTCCAATAAATGAATTCATCCACTTTTACAGGAAAAGTGAATAATTTCTCTTTGTCTTTGGTTCTCAGATAGAACACTAATGCTTAAAAGTTTTAGGGTTGCCACTGATATCTGTAAAAAAAAAAATTTCCCTGTGTTTTCCCTGCACGTATTATACACAATATATTTAGAGGAAACACACATTCACTGCGCTCTTGTGAACTATATTAGGATAAAAATGCTAGTTTTAGTTGCTGGAAAAACTTGGAGAAATAAGAAACAGCTCAACACGAAACAAATAATGCTATAATAAACGAAATAATATAACATAGCTGAATTATCATCTTTAAATGTCCCATAGATTGGGCTTTAAGAGGTCTGCGTTTTTAAAAAAGACAAAAATAAGAATTAAAATTCCCTGTTTTTCCCCAGTTTGTAAGGAAAATTTCAAAATTCCCTGCATTCTCCCTGTTATTTCAGCTGATTTTTAAATTCCCTGCACTTTCCAGGTTTTCCCTACTCTTCCTGTGGAGTGTCAACCCTGGTTTTACAAAGGTAGGCTTCGAAGAAAGGCAACCACAAAGTCTTGTGCATACAAGCTTAGAAATCTTCCATCAATTTTAATGTTTTATTCTATTTTCATCTGCTTTTTTTTTCTTTTCAGAAATGGTCCCACTACATTACAGGAGGAACTTTTCATCACAAAATCCCTATCACCTCTGTAAATAATTTGAAGTATAAAAAAAGTGAGCTCAAACAAACCTAGAGTAAGCCATAAAGCTTCAAATACTGAAAAATATCAAAAAGAGAAAACAAATTATAAGAGATAATTTAGGATTATACAATGGGGGAAGTTATTTTCCAATAATTTATTTGCATTTAATATTTTGAAATTTTTCTTTCAGCAATTGAAACTTAAGGGCCTACTCTAGGTTTGACAGTACTCACCTTTTTTATACCTTAAATTATTTATAGATGTGATATAACGTGATTTTGTGAGGAAAAGTTTCTCTAGCAGTATAGCGTTCTTTTTAATTGTTAAGTCATGATTCGAAATGTCAGCATCTTTTTCACTGCAACTATAAATCATGGGGTAACATTGCTCATCTAAAAAACTATATTAAAACTAAGATAGAAAAATTCCACAATCATATCCATCCACTGGTTATTATATGTAGCACAAATAAAAACAATATGAAAAATTTTCTAGCTACTGCTATAGGCTGCAGGATCAAAGTTATTAAGGTACTCAAATTACTTGCTACATAGTCATTAATAACTAAAAAGTAAATAATTCATAACAAATTAATTACTATCACACTGATAAGCTATCACTAAATGGAAACAACAGACTGCTATTTGAAATCTTGCCATCATTATAACTAACTGCCCTGATTTTTCTTTTTTTTTTACAGAGTTCTCAAAGGTCAAAGAGTAACTGCGTTTTGTTACCCAAACACTTTTTAGAGAATGGTTTAAGTTGAACTGTAATTTTAAAAAAAAAATATTTGTAAATAAGACTAGTTGCAATTTTAGAAAAAAATTACAAAAATTTCCAAACTTGTACTCCTGAACAAACAAACCAAGAATGCAAAGTGATTTTCTTTTAGTATTCCTTTAAAATATTCATAATGATGTTGTAACAGTGTATGTTATTGTTGATGCTCTTTGATTTCTCTTTGTCTGCATTTTGCTTTTTTTAACATGATTAAACCAATCTTAGACTTCAAATTATAAACCGATAGAGTGACAAAAATTTGCTAAGATATTTTAAAATATTGCAGTTTATATTGCTATTAAAACAAATTATTTTAATGATACATAGTAATATATATATNTATATATATATATATATCATCAAAAAGAAAAGAAGAGGACACAAAATTTTTAAAAGCATTAACATTTATTATGTACAAAATGTAAGTTTCAATTTATGCATATATAACATCTTGCTCATTTTGGTCAATTAAAATTTTTTCAGGATATCTAATGAGTTTTTTCTCATGATAAATGTCTATGATTTTTCGAACTTTATTCTTCAAATTCAAAATATTATCTCCAGTTTTAGCAGAAATTGGAATAATAGAGTCAAATTTAACTAACGTACTTGGTTTGAGTTGATCTGGCAGGTCCTTAACCAGTTCTGAAAATAAAGTAATTTTTTTTTTACTTTGCATTATTTTTTAAATGGCTACTTATAAAGAAAATAAAGAATGGTATAGTCTTACTTTCAGAACATTGCATTTCCTCCTTTAATTCCTGGAACATTTTACCATCAGAATCCGTATCTGACTTATTTACAGCTAAAATAGCAGGTTTCAGAACTAATTCCTCATCATACAACTCTAACTCCTACAATTATATTTTTGTAATATAAGCAGTGGCTTGATTATTAACATTGTAATGTGCTTAAAATTTAGATGCTTTCACAACTGAAAAGGAAAACATGTTAGTTGAACACCATATTTGGATGATCTGAAAAATCAAAGATCAGCTAAAAAAATGTACATTGAAACGTCTTTCTCTATTCAATTATTTTTTCTATTAAAAACTAACTTATAAATGTTCAACAACATCCGTTCTTGTGTTTTCTTCAGCAGTGAAAATGAAAATTTTATTTAATATGTTTTTACCCTAAACTGTTCAGTTCTTTTTAAATAATAAAAAAGTAATAAATAAATAAAATAACTTAAAATATATTTGTTTATGATTGTATCAGGATATCTTAACTGAAATCATGGCTAATCTGAAATCATTAAACGCAACGTAAACGTTAATTTAGACCAGAATGAAATAAGATTGAATAATAACATAAATATGAGAAAAGAAGATGACATTACAGCCTTTTGAAATATTACATTCATAAAATGCAGTTGCAAAATGTATTGCAAAATGCAATTTCAGCAACTTTGAAATCCTATAGTCTCTTAGACATAACATAGCCTAATAATCTAAAATCGTTACTCAAAACACTATCATAAATATCTATAGATGCCATTTAACATTTTCCGTGATTTAAATAACGGAGTTTAAGCTAATGGTTTCCACTGTGACAATCTAGTAAGCGTAACTTCCAATCCAAAGTTTCCTGGTACGTGACAATGATAAAAATTTTCTATAATAACAATGACACATGCCTTTCAGCAAACATTTAATAAAGTACTGCAAGTCTTCAAATTTTTAGAAAGTATGCTACTAACCAAAAATGTTAGAGAATCACTGGTTTCAGCAATTATGTGAACATAAATAATATTTATCAGTTAATATTTATGGAACGATTCAATGACTTTCTTGAGTCATCATTATCAACTAACAATGACTAAGAAATACAGAATACTTGACCTGAATTGCAGTTTCAAAAAATTTTGAATGAAACATAAAAAATAATTGTGCAAAAATATAATTTTCAACCATTGTAGAAAATCTTAAAATATATATACCCATATTTATTTTAGAGGTAAACTGCTAGTACATAATAAATGGCTATGATTAAATTAGATCTTTGATTCCTAACAGAGGTTTTAAAATTACTCAGGTTTTTACACTAATATGCATATCGAAAAAAAAGAAGAAAAAAAAGCATTCTAACATCGCGACCTTTTTTTAAAATTTATTTCATTAAAAACACTCCAGAAGCGTCATGTTGTCAGCCAAAGGAATCCTGAAGAATAACGTTTAACAAATTCAAGACCAAAAATACATGATGGGGATAATGAGCATTGCCCACTAGTTATATTCCAGACTACTTAGAACCTGGTAGCTGAAGCAGGGTTTATTCTCAAAAACGACATGCACTATCTCATACAATATTTTTAATTAATTAAAAAACATTTTTTAATTCACATTTATTATTTTCTTTCTTTTTAAAGAAAAGAAAGAAAAAAAAGAAAGATTACGAAAGAATTCATCGACTTGAGATGCTTACACTAAAATAACCATATGGACATTACTTTATTATTTAGATAAGAAAAATTATTCGTCGAAAGTATGTGTATTATCTCATGCAATATTTTCAGTCAATTAAAAAAGCATTTCTTAATTCACTATAATTATTATTTTCTTTTTTCTATAAAAAATAAAAATAATAAAAAAATAAAAATAAATATAAAAAAAATTTAAAAAAAAACTAGTGCTTTTATTTTGCAAATCAACTGAAACTTCAACATTTAGGAGTTTAAGCCAATGGTATCCACTGTGACAATCTAGTAAGCGTAACTTCCAATCCAAAGTCTCATGGTACGTGACAATGATAAAAAAGTTTCTATAATAACAATGACACATGCCTTTCAGCAAACATTTAATATGTTTGCTGAAAGGATTCTTACATTCTAAATACAGAAACATTATTCAACTGTACTTACCCTGTTGAGAAGCATAACAGTTTCAAAAGGAGTTCGGTGTGAAGTCAAAGGATTTAATCTGAAACCTTCAATATCTACCACAAAAAGCAGTACTTTCGTCCTCACGCAGTGTTTTAGAAATTTGTGCCCCATTCCATAATTCATATGTGCACCCTCAATCAGTCCTGGTAGGTCTGCAGCACTTATCTAAACAATAAAATATTGAAAACTTTCATTGTAATTTTTTTTACACAAATTTTGTTTCATTAAGTTCAACACCTTTCAATAAACTCTTATAAACACATGAAAGGTTCACTTTGAGATAGTAATAATAAATCACATTTTAAATACTCTGATATTAATGGAAAATATTGGTAGAAAATTTTCCTCATTTTTAACCAGTTTTAATTAACATCAGTTTTAAATAACATTTTAGTTAAGTTAACATTAGAAGTATTCATAATGAAGAAACCTATGATACCATACATGTGATGAGGATAAGGGATAAATGATAAAAATCATATTCTTTTGCTATGACTCCTTAAATTCAAAGTGATTGCTAAAACAAGAAACTATCCAATATACTTAATTAGAATTTTTATGTTAAATTTTTTAATGTTTACAATTTTTGATTTATCACTATCTTATAAGCACTTATACAATTAACTTCAATTTTACACATTTTTACTTCTTAATTATTTAAAAACAAACTCCCTTGCCTAAAAATGTTTTTTTTTTCCAAACACAAATTGATATATAATAGTACCTAACCACAGTTTCTGTAAAATAAGATCAATTTTCTACTAGATATTACAGAAAAAAATAAACAATTCTATGCTACATATCTTAAGTACAGTTTTATAAAGGAAAAATTCCTTACCGTTCTAAAATCATCAAAGTTTAAAATTCCAATATTTGGTGCAATAGTTGTGACTAAAAAAAACATTATAAACAAAAATCACTTTTAAAATTTGAATGAATTTTAATAAATTTAAACTTTTTTTTATTGCTCATTTGAATAGTCAACAAATTTAATTATTCAAAATAACAGAAAATGCAACAGTGGAACAACAAACTAAAAAAAGAATATAATAATTTACTCAAAAACATAGTAGAGTAATTGATAATTTATGCTTATTTTAAAACAATTTTTTTTCTATTATATCCCTAAATAAAATAATTTCCATTAAATTATACAAATGTTATGTTATTCAAAGTGCTGACAAATACATAATCATAATTCATACCAATTGAAGATTTGTTTAAAAATTTAGAGTTTTGATTCAAAATGACTTATTGTTGTAGAGTTTTGACTCAGTAAGTAATTATGTAATGCAAACAAAATAAATATAATCTAGAATAACTTTAATTGACTTACAAGGATAACTAGCAATTTTTGGGTGTGCATTTGACAAGGCAGATAGTAATGTTGATTTTCCAGCATTAGGATACCTAATATTGAAAGAAAAAAAAACATTTCCCAAGCAATTTAACAAATTTAATAAAATATTAAACAGTGTTTAAAAAATATTTTTATAAAAATTGCAAACAATTATTGCCTTTATCACAATATCAACATATTTTTAATGAACTATAATTAGGTAATAATAAAGTGTGGTAATGATTTTTTCATGTATACAAAAAAGAAAACTTGATAATTTATAAATCATTAGCAAGTATCAGTTAAAGTAGGAATCTTCAACATTTTGCACCAAAGGACTACAGCAATAAAATTGTGAAACTGTGGAGGGTAACACGAGTGCTAATACAGTCTACACTCCTTCGTACAACCTTTTCATTATACTAACTGATACATAAAGTTCTCCTTGCTATTCCGTAGATACAATGTAAAACATACAAATTGAGCCTTTCATTCCAATTAAGCAACTGAAATCTTGTGCAATTTTTTTTTACTAAAACTTCAATTAACAGATTGCCAGCACAAAAGAAAATTCTTTTTAAAAAAAGAAAAAGAGTTAATTTATTTTGATTGTAAAAAATTGTCTGAAAATAAGTCGCTTCCGGTAAACGGATGCCTGGATATGAGACTGTACTATGATGCAATATTTTAATTTTACTTTCAAACTATTGCTTTTAATTGAATAAGAGATTTCAGCAGCCACTAGTGGCTTGCGTTGGCAATTAAATTCTTGGCAATTTAAGCTTGGCAATTTAATTCTGGGAATATTAGGATTGTTAATGAGCATCTGTACTCTTGTTCTTAGTAATTTTTTGATAAAAATGAGCATTCGTTAGCACTTCACCAAAGAAATACTTCAGTACGTTTTTTTGGATTTTGCTATTATGGCCATTGATGATAAGCATATTAAATATGTCATAAAATAAATCCAAATATATTTACTCTTAAAATTTGCATACAATTTTTGAACTCAAGAGTATTTAAAAATTTGAATTGTATTTCATATAGCTCAATAATTGTCATCCTATATTTGTATACAAGACATTTCAAGCAAAAATTAGTTACAAAACATTTTTCCAAATAATACAATTGTTGATAATTTATATGGAAAAAAGGCAAACTATTGCATTTCAATGTAGCCATTTTTAAATGTAGTCATTAAAAAAATAATTTTGTAATAAATTTTTTAAGTTCACATAAAACAGTAAAGATATGAAATAGAAATAAAATAAACAATTTTGAAAGAAACTGAACAGACAATTAATCTTTTTAGATTTTCAATTTTTTTTCCTCGATATTGGCTAGCTATTGTACTTTATTATTTTAAAGGGTATTTCGACATTTATTATTTTTATTAACACACCAAGTTTCATCCTGTACAGAATTTCTCAAATCATATCCTCTCCTAGTTAATTATGTCATGGATTGCCTGAATACAACAAAATTGAAATTTTTTTAAATTCTTTAAATCCTCCATTAATTAATTTCAGTCATAGACAGATAGCTCTTAAAATAGAGTGTTTACTTAATGATTGGTCACTACAGTTGTTACCAACTTTGATAGAGAAATACAAACAAACAAGGATGAAATAGAATCCTTGCAAATTGGGATCCGTATGATGGCATAGATGATGCATTGGAATTTTTAAATTTATAGCTTTATGGCAATGTGTAAAAGTTTTATTGTGTTATATTTATTGAAATACTCTTCAATTTTCTTATTTTAATTTTTTTCCTGAATGTAGTTTAAAGTATTGTTTCTAGAAGAAAAAAAAAACTTTATGTGTAAAGAAATATGAGAAAAAAGCAAATTTAATTGCAGATAGCATATTAAACAAAATTTTTAAAGCGTAAATTGATACAGAGTTATTCATATCTATNTTAATTATGTCATGGATTGCCTGAATACAACAAAATTGAATTTTTTTTAAATTCTTTAAATCCTCCATTAATTAATTTCAGTCATAGACAGATAGCTCTTAAAATAGAGTGTTTACTTAATGATTGGTCACTACAGTTGTTACCAACTTTGATAGAGAAATACAAACAAACAAGGATGAAATAGAATCCTTGCAAATTGGGATCCGTATGATGGCATAGATGATGCATTGAAATTTTTAAATTTATAGCTTTATGGCAATGTGTAAAAGTTTTAATTGTGTTATATTTATTGAAATACTCTTCAATTCTCTCTTATTCTAATTCTCTTAATTTAATTTTTTTCCTGAATGTAGTTTAAAGTATTGTTTCTGGAATTGCAGATAACATATTAAACAAAATTTTTAAAGCGTAAATTGATACAGAGTTACTCATATCTATTTTATTGTTTATAGCACATCATGGGTGCAAGTTGGAAAAAAGGCCAAGACTGAAAATTTTTTGACTGAAATACCTAACATACGCAATACCCCCTCGACATATGCAAACTGTCTAAGAAAGCTTTACCATAATACATCAAGTTTAAATACTGTACAAAAAATATTTATTCATCTGTCTTTTGATAAAATAACAACAGGACATAAGAAAGTAGACCAATAACGTAGACCTAAAAATACTTTTAAGGACAGAAAAAAAAAATTCCGGTTTCCGTCTTCGAGTCAGTCTTGTTTCCGTCTTACTTCCGTCCGCGGACATTTTCGAAAGACGGAAATTCGTTCTGTAGACGGAAGACTTGCACCCATGTAGCACATCAATATTTCACGATTAACAAACATCCAAATTTATTGCCAGTGTATAAGTCGACCTATTGATTTTCGTACATTTTTTTTCCTTCTGATTTTGAAAAGCCAACTATTACACCTGTACATGCGATACATTGAAATATAAAAGATGAAGTAATAAACTTACCCAACAAAACCTACATCCGCTAGAAGTTTTAGATCCAATGTCAAAGGCATAGCCTGTCCTTTTTGACCTAAAAACCCATTCTGAGGACCTCCCCCACAACCTCCTTTAGCAAGAAGTACTTTATCCCCAATCTTATTTATATCTCCTAAAAACAGATTAACAAATTTATTTAAGTTTGTTAAAATACTTATGATTAAAAAAAAAAAAAAGGCTATTATAACCAAGTACCATAAAATCTAAGTTCTGTTTTTCATTTTACAAGTTAAATTTCAGCTTGTCAAATCTGCTTTTTACCAGTATGAATAATAATTTAAATCAATAGTTGTTGTTCATTTAAATTCACACTAATTGTAATTAAGGAATAAATATATCATAAAAACTATAAAACAAACACAAGAAGTTTAAAAAATTTGCAATATAAAAGAAATATTTTCATATTTATATATTATAAAGAAATATACAATATTATGAGTAGATATAGAGAGGTTGGCAACTTTTTCAGTGAACTGACAATTATTAAAAAAAAAAAAAAATTGTTGGACGAATCAAAAACTACAATTTTGTAATTTCTAAAACTGATGATTCAATGAAAATATATTTATAGGAATATATTTATAGCTTTTTTTTTTTGTTCTAGATAAAAAAAAATAAATAAATAAATAAAGATGTAAAATATTCTCATAACAGCCCAGTGTGACTGGGGGTTCCTGGAAGTTGTGGCTCAATAGTTTCAGGACTCAATAGACTAATGACATGGTTATGGCAATGTGGTCGGTCAAAATAGCGCACGAACTGTCATTACTTTCCTGACCAGCAGTTCATCAATCTGAAGCAAAGTGGGCGTCAAGCTGCCACTGGAAATAGAACTCAAGTCCTTTACAATTCGAGTTCTGTGCCTTAACTGTTATACTATCACAGCTCAAATTAATAAAAATAATCTTCAATTCCAACCTTGTTTTGTAACAAAAAAACTACTATTTCAAAATTCAGCAACGAAAGAAACGGAAGCAACGGAAGAAAAGCTTGGTTCAAATAAAAAAAGATACAAATAAAACTTTTTTAGTGCTGCTGAATTGTATGCCAAAAAATATGAAATAAAAATAAATGTTAAATAATTAAAATACTTAGACAGTGCACGAGCCTTTTCTGCAGGCTGGTAGCAAAATAAAATACAGTACAGAGCCCGTTATCCGGAAATCAAAAACCGGAACGAAATTCGATAAATTTTCCCGCCATTTTTAAAAAAAAAATAATAATTTTTCTCATAAGATTTTAGGATTTTTCTTTCTTTTTTGAAAGATGTTCACCTTACCATAATTTTGGAAATAGTCATTAGTGTATTACTTCTTCGTTTTTTCTTCTTTTTAAGATTATTTCCAAAAAAAATTTATTTTAGTTGGGTTTAAGAATAAAAAAACGGCTTTTTGTAGCGATTCAGAAAACCGGAAAAATCAGTTATCCGGAATAGCGATGGTCCCGATCGTTCCGGATAATCGATTCCCTACTGTACCACAAACAGTCTTAGATCCTCGATTGCACGAGAAAAAGTAACAAAAAAGGCATTAAAAAATTCTAAAAATAGAAAAGGAATTTCAAGAAAAAAATTATTAGCAATTTAGTTTTTTCAAAAAGTACCTATAAAAACATTTCCATAGACTGAGACACCTGGTGGACACTTGACCATGGTATCGGTGCCTGGGCTGCCTAAAATTTGAAATCTCCTAAAAAAATAATGCATGTAAATAATGTGTTATGCGAACAACAAAGATAAAAGACAATTGACCTACGAAAAGTAAGTGATAATCAGCAAACAAAAATTTTAAAACTGTTCAATTTAAACTTCAGCCTTACTAAAACTTCAGCCTTACTACTTCAGCCTACACTAAAAGATACCTTTATCTTCTTTTAAATAATAAATACGAAAAATAAAATAAAAAATAATAAATAAAAAGAAATAAATAAAAATTTAAAATTATAAGTATTAAAAAACTTAAAAATATTTCAATTAATTATGAAAGCAAAGTTAGTCATGAATAAGTCTATAATTACAAGGCCTTCCTTTTAAATAAGGGAAAATAATTTAAGAAACATTCACTGATCTTCTTCGTCTTGGATAACAAAGGAAATTTGGACTAACTTTTAATTTTTCATACAGTTTGCAAGCTTTCCCACACCAGAAAACTTTAAGAATAAGCAAGCATAACTACAGAAATTTATAAAACCTGTTCAAGTGTACTGGCTTAATTCCACCATAAGCAACATTATTACATTATACCATAAATTGATAGCGGACTTTGTGGACCATTGTACCTTATTTTCGTTCAGCACAAGCTGCAGTGTCTTGTATCAATGAGAAACTTATCATTTAGCACACTGCAAGTCCATATATTAGCTTTTAGATAAAGTAAAATGGGAGATGAAGAGAAATAAACAGTGGCAGACAGTAAATATATTCTCCATCTTGCTGTTAAACAGTAATTTTAAATCTCTGAAAAATATCTGAAATTATCTGTTTCCCTTTAGACAAATTAAAATATTTCAGAAGATTAACAGTTCATATATTTTTTAACCTAAACTTTCAAAAATAAATTAATAAGCAAAAATTAAAAATGAATAATGAAGTAAACACAGATAATAACATCTTATAATATATTTTGTATATTCATTTCTTTAATTCTTTTGAACATTCATTTCCTCTACATTCTTTAAAAAGTTTCTCTAAACGTTTTTTAGAATCACACATTTATTTAAAAAAAAGCTACTTCTTAGCTTTAAAAAAATTGACAATAGATAATGATAACTACACAACACAGCTTTATCATTTCTTGGAGTAGAAAAAACCAATCTTATTTTATTAATTTCAATTTATAATTTACATTTTAATTCAATAATTTAATTTTGTTTTTTCTTTTCTTAAAAAATATACTATATTTTCGACAATTTAGATTAATTAAAATTTAGTCTGTATTTAGTATCAAGAATTTAAAACCATTAAAAAAAGGGAAAATATTCCTACACCATGGTGGCGGACATACACATTATTACGACAGACAGATAATTTTTCACTTTAGGTTCATATTATAAAAAATGCCTCAGAAAAAAATGTATAATTAATTCTGCATTATTTAATTGTGAGGTAACAAATAGATTCATTACACAATAGTATATCCACTTGACATTTGATGCAGAATTAAGTGGAATGAAAATAATTTTAGTAAAAGATGCATACTTGCTGTCACCACCAGGGCCTCCAATGAACTTTTTGGTAGGATTGTTCCTCTTTAATTTAGCTAAGGAATACGATTCACAGGCTTCAAGATACACATCACCACCTTTGCCTCCAACTCCACCATATTTTGGAAGACCATTACCTCCTCTACCACCACGTACAGAAATTCTTACACTATCAATAAATGTCTGTCTCTCTCTCTAAAATTAATTTAAATAGCACATTACTCATAAAAAAGTTTAGTTGCAATCAGCACATAGTTATAGTTGACTCTTGATAGAACAACCCCTACAGACCAAATGGAATTAATAACACTACATTGCATTGCAGAGGTTCCAAAAAAGGAAGTTATTTTGATTACTCTTGCTACTTTCCACTCAATATTTAGAAAATGAATTTTAGGGATATTTTTCTCGATTCTCAGTTGAAAAGTTATACTTAGAGGTTGAGCAGCTCCGAAAAGCAAGGCACATCAACCAGAGGTCTACTGAACCCCAAACCCTAAATCATGATCAATAGGAAAGCTTTATAGCTGAAACAAAGTTCAGCTCTAGTGGCAGAATTTTTTCGGGCTTTTTCAGCTGCTATATACCTTTCTAATACTGATATCTTTCTACAAGATATTTAAAAGTAACAAATATGCATGTTAAGTATTAATTTAAAGTAAAAGAAGCGTTAACTTCAAAAAAAATTAAAGAACATAAATAAATAAAAATTGAATCAAATAAAATAATTTTTTTAATTGAATATGTGATTTTTTTATTCTAATATTATGGGTAATATTCTCGCATTTTGTAAAAAGATAACACACGAATTATTTTCCTTTTCAGATAAGACACTAATTATTTCCATTTTTGCATTTTATAATTTATCATCACATTAAAAAAATAAAATCGTAAAATCTGTAGCAGTAACTGCCGAAAAAATAGATAAACCTCAAAATCAAGCAAATCGGACTCTTAAAAAAGGGGTTAATAAATGCGTAATTTCATTTCAAGATTTAGTTGTTGTGATAAATAATTTCGGATTTTAAAAGCTATGTGGAAATCAGTAGTAATAACTGCATGAAAAATTAGAATGAAAATTTCCACAGAAAATAAAACCAAATTTTTTCTTTCTTTATTTCTTCTTCATTATTCTCCAATTAGAATAGAAAAGTCACAAATATTTTTTTTCTTACTCCGATGCACGAGAAAAGCATCTATAATTCAGAAGAACAGATAAAATATCTCAAAATTTTCTGCAGAAAAGAAAAGCAAAATTCTTTATTTCCCAAAGGAAAAATCTTTCTGCAAGAACTCAGTAACGTTCCGTGACAATGTCATCGAGTCGCCACGGGGAGTTCATCAAACATCTGACAAGGAATGTTCTGTAGTTCCCAGGCCCCAATACAATGTTGTCCCAATTTTTTACAATATTTGAGCAGAAAAGACTTCTCACACACAAAGAATATGTTGTGAAGTCTTTGTCCCCAGATGACAACCACAACAAAGAGGATCAGGTGCAATACCCATAATGTAGAGGTGTTTCCATAGGGCGTAGTAACCAGTGAGAAGACCTATGATCTTCCTCAAGCCAGTCCTGTTACACTTGAGAAGCTTTTTCTGACGCACACCAGGGCAGCAGTTACAATTTAACTCCTTGACTTGTCTTGATCAACCAGTGCCATTTCTCATCAGCAATCTCGCCATAAAGCTTTAAAATAGAGGCTCTGAAGGATGTGGGAAATTTTTCAAAAGCTGGTTTGGAGCCACAAAAAAAATGCCCTTTTGGTTATATACCTTGGAAAATTAAAGAATACTGACTTAGGCGAGATTGTATGGGAGGTGGAGGTTTGAGATTTTAATGATGAATAGGACAGTTTTGCAGATCATAAAAATGAGGAGATTGCTTTGGAGGTAGAAATTTGACGTTGTGATGATATGTAATGATAGAGTTCTAATTTCTATGATGGGAGAAAAAGATTATTGGTGCTTTATTTTTCTAAATAACATTTTCTGTGGAAATTAAATTATTAATTTTTGGTTTTAGGGTTAAATTTTGTGCGACTTTCTTTGGCATCAATGTAAGTGCTGTTAGGTTTGTAAACTGATTTAAGGTCAACATTGTATTACATTTAGTTTGAAAGTTGCTTGTGGGATTAACTAGGGCGACAATGATTAAAGGTTTATGACAAAATTTTTAGAAAAAATAGACGGGTAAGGTAACGTTTTGGCTGGTGAACTCATATAAAGCTTTTCTTAATAAATTACGATGAAAAAATTGCCAAAAAATGGGTGTGTGTTCACAACAAATCAATTTCATTAAATTCTTTTCCTACGTACACTAATAAATCCCTCATTAAACATATACACCATTAAAAAGCATGTATTGAATTCATAATGAGTAGAGATAACCATCGATTAACCAGGATTGGATTTTCCAGGATGATCGAAAAAAGGTGTAAATTGCGGGTGTTGAATTATGCGGGAAGACTACATTCTTCTTTTAAACTTCTCTTCTTATCATATTGGATTCATCCAGTCAATTTTGAGTCAGCCAACAAGTTTTGCTCATGCATTCAAATATTGGCAAGGGGACGGGAAAAGACAAGGCAAGATATGATTCAACATTTGTGGTAGTATCAGTGTTTTTTAGATTAAAATTTTTCCACATGCTTCCGATTCTGCATATAGTTAAAGTGCTGAATCACGAAAGAGTAATTTTAGGTATAAATCAAAAGCTGAAAAGAATTTTAAAAAAATTGGAAAATGGACAAATTATTAATATATAAAACTGAGATAGATGATCAAACTGAGCGAGACATAAAAAAATGAAGAAAAAACCACATTTACTAAAGCATAATATGGTCAAAAAGGAATTGAATAATGTTCTACTGTATAATAATTTTACATTTTCTGTCACTTTTTTGTCAAAATTTTTATAAATTGGGTTGTCAGGTATATTTATTTATTCCCGGTTAACACTCCTGGTCCATCCTGGTTAATCGAGAGTCTACTTTAGCATACTAAATTTTTAATCAAAAACTGCTCAGTATGAATAATTAAATCAATTCCTGAATAATATGATCTATAGATTTTTAAAATTCTGTGCATATTGAATCAATTTTCTGAAAGATGAATTTTTTTAAATATTAAATTTAATTCTTTAAATTTCAGACATTCTTTTAATACTTCTAAACATTTGTATCGGTAATTTTCAGTTTCGTCCATTTTGTTCAGTCTTCTGCAATTAACAGGTTTCTTCTGAACAAACTGCCAACTTTTTGCATTAGGTATTTTACAACTACATGAAACAGAATACACCAACTGTTTTTGTTAAATGTCCTATGCTCCATGGGCTAACAAACACTATGGTCATGGAGGCCAAAAAAACTTTTAACGCTTTTGTTATTCAAGTGCTTTATGTGGACAAGGGGAAAATATGAATTGAACTTTGGAAGCTATATTAGAATTAAAGATTTAAAAGAGAAATTATAGTAAAGAGAGGATATACTGTTCAATACTAAGCAAAGATAGATTAATTTTGAGCAATTTTAAAACTGATAATCATAGTAATTATCCCCCTATATGAAAGTTACATAAAATCTGCAAAAAATGTTGTATAAAAAAGTACTATAAACACAAAGCGACATAAAAGTAAATATTAAAAGACAAATGCTTTTCAAATCAGGGATATTTCCGTATCGTGATCTGTCTAGCCAACTACAATCGCCAAGATGCCAAATAGATTTTAATTTTAAATTTTTTTTTTTTTAAAAACATGTAGATGTTTGCACGGCGGTGTCTGCGAGTTATACCTTTCGAGTTGGTCCCTTCCTGTGATGTTTTTTTTTTAATTTCCCGTGGGCCACTGCCCAGAAGTTTCCAAGACTTAGCGATAATTCAGCCACAGATCAGGATACGGAAATCTCCCTTAAAACCTCGATTAAAAAAAAGGGAAAAGGAAGAAAACTACAACACACACTGAATCTTACCAAAAAGATGTTTCCTAATCGTACCATTACGTAATGCAGTCACAACACAAATAATACTTTGTCATAAATATGTATTAAATTATTATTACACAACATTAGTTCTTAAAGAAGACCAGAATTTAAGATTTAAAAGAGAAACTAATTGTTTGTGCACTCCTTGGACATTATATTTAACGTCTTCAACTGTCTATTTTAGCCTCAGTTAGTACCTATTTTCGAGTAAAACAAAACTTATTTCTGCACAACTTTCATATAAGTTCCTAAAGAATACGTAAGTAAGTTTAAAGCTAATTTCCTAAATGTTCTATCATACTAACTGCGGTTACAAGTGTTGTTTGGTTGTTTACAAGCTCCATTGAATTTCTGAATGTATATTACGAAAGTAGATCTCTCTTAAAAAAATTGTGTGTGAAATATTCTTTCATTCTTCTTTTTATTTAATAAATATGTAGCAGAATTTTTTGTTTGTGATAATTATATTGATATTTAGAACTTCCCGATCGAACACATATGTTCGTCGTCGTTAATAAATGAGCCCTAAATTTTCAGATTGAATCGTACAAATAAGAAACATTTTAACTTATTGAAATCTCGAATCATCTAGTAATTTTGTGTAATTAATCATTTCTTAATTCGTTATTTTTTTAAAAGTTTGACAAAAACTAACAATTAATTTAAAATACCTAACTGTATTCTTATATTATTAAATTAACATGTTTTTTTTTTTTTTTAAATTTGCAAGTTTAAGATCTATTTGGCATCTTGGCGAGACAGATCACGATACGGAAATATCCCCTTAGTATTGTTATATTAAGTATTATTTTTGACCTTTATCAAAGCTTTGATTGATAAATAAAGCAAAATTTAAAATTACTGAGAAGATTTCCATATGTGTAGCAGAATAATTACCATGTCTTGGCAGCAGCCTGGAAGAAAAAATAAAATCAGTTATAGCCACCCCTAGGCAATTCTCTACATGATTTTTTAATTTCCACCAAATAATAATTTTTTTTAATTAAAAATTCGAGATTTTTTAAACTTTAACACTTACATTTGTTGATGTTATCTAGCTGTGCTGCTGTTTAAAAATCTTGTTATGTATGTTGTAACAGGTTTCTCTTATTTATATTAAAATATGATTTTATTTTAGCTATTTAATGTATTTCATGTTGATCAACAAGTTTTTATGAGTGACTAAGATAAGTGTTTGAATGTGTCATCTTTTTACCTTTAATCATGCATTAATGCTTGTTAACAGCAAAGGAAAAAATGGAAAAGATATCAATGTTAAAAAAAATCATAATTGTTCTAAGAATTAATTGACTTTTGAAATGTAACTAAGTCAGACTCATTCGTTTGCAACCCCTTTTAGCTACACTAAACAGGCTCTGCAAATTTCAAGAGCATTGATTTGCGGATTTCCGCAAATCAATAATTTATATTTCGACAAAATTTTATCAGAGTTATTCTAATACAAAATTTAATTTTTTTTTTACTTACACAAAATTTCCTTAACGAGACATTTATTTTAGACTTACCAACATCCTCTTTTTTTTCTTCCTAAGATCTTATCCACATTTCATGCAGTTTTATTAGAGAATAATGCAAATTCATATAAATTTTGAGAAAAACAAAATCCATAATAGCTTCAGCTAGAATTAAATAACTACAGAGACACACTCAAAAGTATAAAATTGATCATATTAAAAATAATTCCGAAATGGTAAACATTTAAATGAATTTTAATGAAAAAATGGTGTTTTTTCTCTTTTTTTAAAAAAAATTTAAATGTGTAGCAATTTTGTTACAAATTTGGATTTGTAACAAGAATTATTTAATCAATGAGGTATATTTGCCTCTTCCTTTTATTTGACTGCAATTAAATAAAATAAATTTTTAATATGATATTACGACATGGAAACTTCGAATCGCTCATTCTTTAATTGCCTTTCAACATGCTTGATCTTCTTTTTCAATTAGGGCAATTGATTTTCTCATGTTTTTTGAAACTCTGATATTACTATGACTTGCAAAATTTGAATTGCAATTTTGAATAATCATTTTTAGATGGGCTCGATTAAATCCATATGGTGTTTCAATTATTTTATCGACTATTATTGCTAAAAAAATTTCTTAATGTTTTTTTTTAAATCCCTATATTTTTTATACAATAGTATTGCGACTCAAAAGATTCAATTTGTGCATTTATCTGTAACTTTTTCACTCAATGTGATTAGTTTTTTTATCAACTTTTATCAGAGTTATATCCTCGTAATTTTTTTTTTATTCTCAATATTTTCATACAACATTAAGAAACCATTTGACCTCCCATTTGAATAAATACTTTATAATATGCTAGATTAGCACTAAATTCGTGTGACGTTTTAATCAGGTTTTTTTTCCTTGGTAGTTGTTGTTGATTTTCACATGATTTTTTTTAAAATCCCAATATTATTATGACATGAAAAGTTCAAATCGCTCACCTGCGTATTCACTATTTGACACGATAGTTCTATTATTTTTTTCATTACATTTTCTGGCAATTATCATATTCTGCATATTTTTTAAAATCTCTATATTTTTAATACGATTTTATTTATTTCAACACTTGAATGTCAAAATGTTAATATAATTAACCCTTTTTCGACACCTTCGTTTCTTGAGATTTTGTCGTAAATAGAAGTGGTTTTATTATCAGTCTTCTTTCAGTTATTTCCATACGTCTCAGGGTTTTTAAAAAAAATTCTTAATTTTTATTTTTTAAATACAATGGTCACTATTCAATTGCGGAAAGGGTGTGAAATATGTTTTTCAATATATATATAATATATGTTCTTTTATCATGATAAAATTTTGTTTATTTCTCTCTTTAAATTTTGTAAATTTAATTATTTATTCATTAAAATATAATTTTTTTTAAATATCTTCTATGTACGTTAAAATAACGTAATTTCTTCTTCCAGTTATCACATTTCTGAATAAACCATACAAAAAAAATTTTAATGCAAAAATTAAAATCTTAGTACTAATTAATAAAAAAATATAATTCTAACTTCACCTTTTATGTGTATTTAGGTAATTTTTAAATATTTTATTAAAGATATTTTTTCTAATGTTTTTGTCTTATAAAAATCTATATTTCTGTATAGTTGTTTATAGAAGAAAAAAAAAATTTTTTTTCAATAAAGTATTTATAAGTAATTAAATGGCTTTTGTATTGCTGTAAGTTATGTCTTTTTGTGTCTTATTTTATGGAAAGAAATATTTTTCTCAAAAATAAGTTTGTGCATAAGATTCAATAAGTATTTTTTTAAAATTATTTCTGACTTTTTAATTTTGAATAAAATATCTAAGTTAGCTTCTAGGTCATTGGTTGTAATAGTTTATAAGTTATGTAAAATCTGAATGTAAAATTTACTTTAGCTAATTCAAGAAATGTGAAAATAAAATTTTTAGAACATTACATTACATTAGAAGTTAAAATTCCTTTATTGTGTTTTCAATTATTAAAATTTTTCACATGTTATATTATATATTTGATTGCAATTATATATTTAATTACATTTGTAATAATATACTTTTAGTCATGTTTTCCCTTTTTTAAGCTCTCAAATGTATTTTATTGTTAAAATCCAAATTTTTTTTTTAGATCAGCTCTCAGTGCTGATTGTCACAGATAGACATGCCGAAGCGCAAGCTGTTATCCTTTCAGAGGGGTAGTATCAAGAAAGAAGAGGAAGATACAGATTCGGATTTTAGCGATAGTGAAACACTGACTAAACGTATTAAGCCCGATTTATCTCCTCCTAATTCAGATGAAGAATGTTATAGTTCTGACACCAATCAGGCTAACTTATTATCTAGTGACGTAGATGATGAGCAGAACGATAATGTTTCTGATTCTGCGAAGAATTTACAAAATAATAGTGGGACTGATACTGACACAGAAAAAGTGAATGAAATCGAGTACGATAGTTATCGAAGCTTCATGAAATCTTTCCAGTTTTTCTCTGATCAAGAATCTTCTGAGAGCGATACTCAAGATCAGTTTCTACGAAACTTCACTTTAACCAAGGCGACTGGAAACATTTCTCAGAGGGAAAAGGAACTGAGAGATCAGTCTCAGAAAAAGCAGGCAGCAAATTTGAAAGAACAATCTGAATATGCATTATTTAATGAGGTTGGCTTCCTTTTTTTTCTTCTTATTAATTTTTTTTTACCTTAATTGAATTGTTAATGAAAAAAAGATTTAAACATTATTCATAGATTAAAAATTAATTTAGTTTACGAAAATTTTATAATGTCTTTTGGGTTTATATCTTACACTAAATTATATAAATAGATAATTTATTACATAAAACCAAGTCGAAACACTGATTTCTCCCTGTATTGCAAAGCAACTGTTTAATGACTTTTGATTCAAACTCTTACTTGAGTGGTTGGAAGTGTGAGGCTTTGTACTTTCTTCTTTGTATGGTTGTTAACAGAAAGACTGAGCATTACAGTACGCCTAGGAAGTCTAAAGGGATCAGTTTGGCTCTTCCCAGATTGTTTGTATGTTGATCAATTACACATCCAAAATATTAAATTGTAATCATAATTAATTTAATAAAAATTTATGAGAAATTGGTCATTTCAATTATGGGGTATTTTATTCGATTTGATTAAACAGAACACTGACTTTTCAGTTATATTAATGAGTGTTTTGAAAAGGGCAGCCCGCACCGCTTCCCCTTTGATCTTATAAATGTGTCCTTCTTTCCCTGTATGTAAAAATAAGCTGCCATCTCTTAAAAATACTGCCTCTTTATTTTTTTTTAGGAAAAGGTTGTTTTCTTGATCACTTCTGTTTTATTTAGTTATTGATAATAATTTAATTTTCAATTTCATTCCTTAATTTTAGTAAGAGTTTTTTTAAGTGGTCCAGTTATATAGTTGAAATTTGCATGATATTCCTCCTTCGAGATATTTACATCTTTCGTTAAAAGTTATTTTATTTCATATTTATCGAAATAACTTTTTTAATGTGGATATTTTTGAAGAGAGAGTAATTGAAAAGATTGAGTGATAAAATTGTAAAAGGAATATTCCAATTTTGTACAGGTACACTAGGTTCTGAAAAATAACATTGAATTTTTTTTTTTTTTAATTAAGTTTTATATTGTAATGTGTTTTACTTTTTTCCAATCATAATTGTTTTTTGTTTTTTTTTAACTAACGAACAAATTTATTAATTTTTAGTTTTTGTGTCGAGAATTTTTTTTTAAAGTAGAATTTTTTTTATTACTGTTTAACAGGCATTCTATTGCCTAATAATTCATTACTAACCCTTGTTTGTCTCAGTAAATTACCTCAAAATATCTTATATTCTTGTTTCTTTAGGATAATGTTCGAGTGCAAACAATTTCCGATAGTGTTCGGTGAGTATCTTTCATTATAATGAAGCATTATTTATATTTCTTGATCATAATTCTGTATTATGTGACACTTTGGGTTTAAAAAGATTTCAACTTACTATTTAAATTTTAAAATTGATAAATAGTCTAAGGATCTTTATAAATGTTAGTAATTTTATTTTATTCAATTCGTGTTTGATGCAAAGTATTTCAGGATTAGGCACATTTTTTGCAAAATCTTTCTGTTTCTGAGTGAATCATGGTGCTGTTGGAAAAAAAAATTAAGTTTGTTTGTTGCATTTAAGGGTAAACTGTGCTGTATATATATATATATACATATTTTCATAATCAACGCCCAGAGGTATGATTTGTTATGGGAACATGGAGGACTTTGTGACTCGTCATATTTGACATGAATGAGTCACCATTTACTGCACAGGGAGTCTTCGGCCGGTGGGGATCGAACCGACGACCTCTTGGACATGGGCCCAGTGCCCTACCAACCAGGCTATCCTGGCCCAAACTGTCCTGTTTGCACTTTTGATAAAAAGAAAACTTTCTCTTATGCATTTTAATTCAGGTTGGACATCCCATTTTAAAAAGTACATTGTCTAATCGTGCCAATTTGATTGTAGTTGTCACAGTTATTGATATTTTTTTGGCCATTCCTATTTCATGTTACAGCAAAAAAAAATTTATGATGCTCAAGTAGCCTATTTTGGTAATTAACTCTTTGATATTGCAGCAATTTTATCGTAAATTCACGTTGTTTTGACAATTGCTTTTCTGAAAGTCACCATTTTGGATTTAAACATATTTCCTTAAAACATTTGATTTTTCTATTTTTATTCACTTTTTTTACTTTAGTAGAATCTTTTTCTATGACATGCTAAATTTAAAAGACGGAAGTATGTGTGAATTTATCAAAATGCCTGAGTTTCTTGCGAGACATTCCCTTTTCCTTTAGCAGGGTGTGTAGCGTTTTTAAAAGTGCTTAAAGGTGCTTATTACAATTTTCGTTGTTTAAAAGCCCTTGAAGGTGCTTTTTTCATTGGGTGTTTTTTAAAAGTGCATAATTTTCCTTTTTTCAAAATAAGATTTTTCCTTTACTATGTTGATTTTCGCTTCGAATTATGCAAAAAGACACAGTTCACATTGTTTTATTCAGCATTTTCATAATTAATTCCACCCCAATCTATTTTGGGGTATAGTCTGTCCGTAGCATATGAAAACGCCATTCGTTTTACATGATTCAAAATTTCATGATTTTTGACAATTGTCAAAAACAATGCCAAAGGGGTTTTTTTGACATGAAGGTTAAAACAAGATAAAAGATTGTCAAAACTTTCCAACCCTGCCTAATTATGATATTTTTTAAAGTGCTTAAAAAAAGTTTTTGAGTGCTTAAAAGGTGCTTATTTTTTGTTGAATAATTTAGCTAAGCACCCTGTTTAATTTCCTTTGTTTCTTTTATGCCTAAAATGAATCCTGTAAAAAAAATTAATTAAATTAATTAATAAAATGTTTACAATTTTGTTTGTATTTAGAGTTCTTGGATATTATCTCAAAAATCTTGAAATCATCTTCATGGATCATCCATCATCTGTGCCCATAGTTGGCTATTTGAAGGTAACTCTCATTGCTGGCAAAGCCTCTATTCAAGGTTATAAACTTAAGGTGAACAAGCCAATTATTGTGTTTTCACAAAAGCAAACTGGTATCTTATCTGTTACAAGTCATTCTTGTGATGACGAAACAGCGTGTACTGAGGAGGATAATGTTCGAAATAAATTGTCACACTATTTGCTTGGTGTACCAGCCAGTCATATAAAAGACTACATCAAGAAGAACATGAATTACTCCAGCACTGTTTTTATACTGCAAAGTATTATTTTATCTTCACCTTTACAGTTCCTGCAAGTTTATTCTCCTTGTGCAACATCTTTTGAGAAAAAAAAGAAGAAGAAGCTAAATAATGAAGAATTAAAAACAAAGTTTACAGGTTTTACAGAAAAACAGGAAAACATACTTGAATTTGGATCTGAATATGAAGAAATATTTTCCACAATCCATAAGCATCTTTTAAGAATTAGTAAGTGTTTATTTATTTAATCCTAGAAAAAAAAATTATATTTTTAATATTTGAGCTTGTTTTATGTAATTTATATAAATTGTAAAATTGTTTAAATGTTTTTTAAATGAATTATGTTATTTAATGTTTATTTTTGACATATAATTTAAGGCATATTTTAAGAGCATTCTTTTCTATAAAATTTATTAACTATTAGCTTAATTTACAATTAACAAAATTACTAAAATTTAAATTTACTTCCTTCTTGTGCATTTGTTGCATATTTTTATAAACGGATAATGGACTTAAATGAAATTGTAATGAATAGTGTATAAGAATTTAAAGCTTTCTAAGAAAATGATATTCTGAAATTATATTCTGTTGACCATTTTCGTCAAATATGAAAAAAGTCACCAAAACATTGCCTTTGCTAATATTGGATTACCTTGTATTGCAATGCTACCAGAACTATGCAAACCTTGCTAAATTCATTTATATATGGTAGTGGAAAAATCTGTTTGTCTTATGGAAGTTTTTCATTAATTTGTATAGATGAAAAGATATATGTGATTTAAATATGGATTTTTTTTTTCATCTTAGCTTCTGTAAAGTTTTGTTTTCATTTTGTTTATTTCTTCATAATCAATAACTTATGTAAAATTAAATTCGGATGTCAGCAAAATGAATTGACACAGTGTTGGAGAAGTGGGTTGCCAGGATTATACAACCCCAGAAGCAGAAAGTGCCTAAAACTGTGACGTACGTCGCAAAACAAACGAAGTCCTGCAGAACAATTTGTATCTTGAATAAGTGAGAGCATTTTTTTGTGAACCCCCTCCCACACCCACCTGCCTCCGGTAGTCTTACGGAACGATCTCCAACTCTATGAAGTGTGATAAAGATGAAGAAGTTGTTGGAACAGAGCATCAAATATTTGTGTTTGCAAATGGTGCACCATCTGGGCACTTGTCCCTTCGAAAGATTTATAAGGCAGCCCTTATTTTAATGTTCAGACTTTCTTATATAGGCATTTTATTAATAATTCATCATCGTCATTAACAAAATTTTGTACATTAAAAGTGATTGAAAAAGTAACAAATCAAGAATGATTGCCTTGGTTTAAAAATTAATGCTGTGTATCTGTGTATTTTAATAAATGAAAATATAGTATTTTAATGTAAAGTTGACTTTTTTTGTTGTGAATAGCTTCCAGAACATTTGTATAAATTAATAAGTCCTGTTGCAGAACATTTGAAAATATTCTGCTTATGGGTATACAGCTACCTAGCTTTCTTTCAATTATTTGACGAATTTATGCTTGTTTTTATTTTTATTATACTTCTGCATTTATTTATTTTTGTTTAAATAATTAGTGATAACAAATAAGTATATAAATATATATTTAAACATATGCATTGATTATTATAATATTTTTCTTATAATAAAGACCGACGAAAACCTGGAGAGAGCAGACTAACACCAACAGATTCTGAAGAATCAGAAGATGACTTAAGGAATGAGCCTGACTTTAAAAAAGTTACTGGGTTTCGTATACTTATTTCTGGCCCAAGAAAGGCCGGAAAGTCAACTATGTTGAGGTATTTAGTCAACAGTTTTTTAAACAGGTCAGTGAATTTCAATTTATAATTAATAGCTTTTTCCCACTTTTACCATACTGCTTAATTTTTTAAGCATAGTTTTTAAGGAATCAGCTTATCTAATCAGTTGACTTATTAGTGAATTAATTTAATTAAATATCAATCTATAAATATTAGCATGTGAACTTATTTAATAATAAAAAATTTTTTATTTATTAGTAATGTTACATGGTTATCTATGTGTTTCAATTGTGTCTATGTCTAGTATCTTATTAATATTAATAGATAATTTCTATCTTGCTGTTCATTATAACAAGATATATACGTGATTAAAATTTCCAAATATATAGATTTCCTTTATAACAACCACTTATTAGAAAATGTATCATAGCATAAAATAATAAATTTGTGGGGAAAAAATTTATTTTTTTATTGTGTATTAAAAAGTATTAACCTGCACGAACCAGGATGTTTTGAAGGTCCAGGTGGAAGTAATAATATTAATCACAATATTGATTCTTCCTAAATTATTGGTAATAGATTGGAGAGTGTTTTAATTATAATAAATTTTCATAAATAAAGTAAAATACTTTGTGCTATGATACATGAAGGTTTTAATTCCAGAAACAACAGAGTTCACTAATAAGTTGAAATCTCATTTTTTTTTTTTTTTAAGGTAATGCAAGTGTAAGTAGGATTCATCATAGTGCAATAGGATTCATCATAGTGCAATAGGATTCATCATAGTAAATCTATGTCAATTTAATTAGAAATCTTCTTCTTCTTCAGGAGCGCAACAGTCCTTTGCAGGCCTTGGCTGCCTCAACAGCACGCCTTCTCCAGCTCACTCTGTCCATGGCAACTCCCCTCCAGTTCTTAAGTTTTAGGACTTTGAGATCATTTTCGGTGTCGTTAAGCCATCGAGTAGGTGGTCTACCTCTAGAGCAGGACCCCTGAGGGTTCTTGAAGGTGGCAATTTTTACAGGGCTATCTTCAGAGCCTCTCCATATATGGCCGAGCCATCTTAGTCGGTTGCTTCGGATTATCTGCATAATTTGAGGATGTTTATAGAGCCCATAAAGTTCAAAATTGTACCATGCTCGCCAACATCCCCCCTCTGGTATGGCACCAAAGATAGTTCTAAGTATCTTTCTTTCAAACGTTTCTATCGGGCGTTGGACGTCAAGGTTTAAAGTCCAGGTTTCGTTTCCGTGTAGCAAGACAGGCAGAATGAGTGTCTTATATAATTTTAGTTTTGTTTTTCGGCTATTAAAATTCAATCTTAGTTGGCTTTTTAGTCCAAAAAAACATTTGTTGGCTATATTGATTCTATTGTCAATTTCAGATTTCAGTTTGTTTTGGTCATTGATAATTGTACCAAGATACTTAAATTCTTTAACCTTTTCAAAGGAATGTCCGTTTATCTGCAAAAGTTCACTATAGTTTACAGTTGAGCTTGAAAACTCCGTGAATTTGGTCTTGTCTTCGTTAATGGAAAGGCCCATATTTATAGCAGAGGCTTCAAGGGCTTGAAAGGCATCTTTAACAGCCCGTTCTGATCTTCCTATGATATCAATGTCGTTCGCATAAGCGAGGATTTGGAGAGATCTGTTCCAAATAGATCCTCCTCGGTTTAATCCGCAGGCCCTGACGCAGGCCTCTTTCGGTAATGAAAGGTTCAGATAGATGGCTTTGGATTTTAATCCTGCATCTCACATTGTTGATAGTGGCACGGGTGAGACTTACGAGTTTTGTAGGGATTCCGAACTCGTTCATCGCTTCAAGTAATTTATCTCTTTTAATACTGTCGTAGGCGGCTTTGAAGTCTATAAATAGGTGATAAGTCCTGATATTGAACTCCTTAGTTTTTTCAAGGATCTGTCTTAGAGTATGAATTNTGTCTTCGTTAATGGAAAGGCCCATATTTATAGCAGAGGCCTCAAGGGCTTGAAAGGCATCTTTAACAGCCCGTTCTGATCTTCCAATGATATCAATGTCGTCCGCATAAGCGAGGATTTGGAGAGATCTGTTCCAAATAGATCCTCCTCGGTTTAATCCGCTATCCCGAATGCATTTCTCCAATGCCAGGTTAAAAAGCAGACAAGCAAGAGAGTCTCCCTGGCGCAGGCCTCTTTCGGTAATGAAAGGTTCAGATAGATGGCTTTGGATTTTAATCCTGCATCTCACATTGTTGATAGTGGCACGGGTGAGACTTACGAGTTTTGTAGGGATTCCGAACTCGTTCATCGCTTCAAGTAATTTATCTCTTTTAATACTGTCGTAGGCAGCTTTGAAGTCTATAAATAGGTGATAAGTCCTGATGTTGAACTCCTTAGTTTTTTCAAGGATCTGTCTTAGAGTATGAATTTGGTCAATGGTAGACCTTTGAGGCCTGAATCCACATTGGTAATTTCCGACCGCTTTATCAGCAAAAGGCTGGAGCCTTTTGAAAGGAATATTGGAGAAGATTTTATATGCCGTATTGAGGAATGTTATACCTCTGTAGTTAGGACATTCAAGTTGGTGTCCTTTTTTAAAAATAGGGCAGGTGGAACCTTCTTCCCATTCAATGGATATATTCTCAGTGTCCCAGATTTCAATTAGGAGTTTATGGATAGCATCAATAAACTGGGGTTCGCCGGTTTTAAGAAGCTCAGATGGGATACAATCGGGACCAGCCGATCTGTTGTTTCTGAGTCTTTTAATAGCCATTATCACTTCATCGATTGAAGGTGGGGGGTTATCTGCATCCCTCAGTATGGCTAGATCTACTGGGTTGTTGCGAGGGACAGAAATATCATCCTTGCCTACTAGCAAGTCTTGGAAGTAGCAATTAGAAATCTTACTCAAATAAAATCATTTTAATTCAATTTTAATGTTAATGTAACCATGTTTAAAGTGTCCTTTTTATTGATTGCTTGATGAAAAAATTCCTTCTCAAAGATTTTTTTTATTCTTAATGAAAAGAAAATTTTCATTATTTAACAGAAAGTTAAACAAAGGGAGCATTTCTTATTTTTGTTACAAATACCCTTTTTCCTCTCACTCTTGTGAGTGATGACAATTTTGCAATCTTACAGATGCTATCTCCTTATTAATTAGTAATTTCAGTAAAGGTTAAATAGGACCTGATAACTTGAGAATACAACTTGTAAGAATGAACAGTTTTTTTTTTTCGAAAATAATTCGCATACCACTTAATGGCTCTATTTTACTTTAACAAATTCCCACAAGAGATCAAAGAGTTTTGATTCTAATATCCAGTAATCGTGAGTCTGATAGCCAAAGAATTTTCTATACTATCATAAATAAATGTTTCTGTTCTTTGAAGTTTGATGACAATAAGTGGGTGATTCCACTAACCAGTAGGTTTACTGAATGGTAAATACAATATTCTATTTCCCAAAATTAAAATAAGTGAAGTAAAGTTTTAAATCTTACTGTTAAAATAATCAATCAATGACATAATGGCAATGATTTTGATTTAAGGTCCTTCAAACTTCATTCTTACTATATTCAGAGACCTGATTCTTTTTCTGGTATTCTTTTATTTTCTTGCGGGACGCACTCGTTTCATTCAACTTTATCCAAATCTTTTTTAAAGAAAAATTTTCTTTTTAAAATGTATTTTTTAACTACAAATTTTTAATTTATTGCGATATTTTAATTTAAACCATTCTGGGTAAAATAACTTATGTATAATCCTAGCTGTATAATTTTTGGAGTCTAGTTGGTCTGTCCTTGCAAAAATCAAGAATGGCTAGAAAAGGCTTGTGGTTTGTGTAGCAGTTAAGGATTGAATTGGTATTTCAAGGGTATTTGTGTTCCAAAATTCTTAAGGCAAATTTTTAAAAGAAAAAAAAATTGAACATTAAAAAAATATATGTATTAAAAGCCAGTTTTTTTTTCTATTTCTTAAGAATTAGGCAAGGGAAAATATTTGACTCTTTTGATGTTGTTAAAATTTTCTGACTATGTTCTTTATGTTCAAACATTTAAGCATGTGTTGCGGTCAAAACTGAGGATCATCTTCTATTTTATAAAAAACATATAGAATTATACATTGACAATAAGTACAGTAGCCATGGCATTGATATTTATTTTAACTGATAATTTTTAGACACTCTTTCGTTGTTTTCAAAAGGTGTTAGTTACATGACATTTTAAAAACATGTGTAACCTCTCCTATTTCTGTGAATTGCTATTTTTTGTGTTATAATAGTAATATAAATTATTATATAGAAACTATTTGTTATTTTTTTAGATATCCAGAAGTATATTACTTAGATACTGATCCTGGTCAATCAGAATTCACCCCTCCTGGTGGTATCAGTTTAGTGAAAGTAACACAGCCTTTATTTGGTAATTCGATTATCCTATTTAAAAGAATTAAATGATTTTTTTTTTTTTTTTTTACTGTTAGAAAATTGTTTTAATTTAAAGTAAGTCTTCAAATAATCTGCCTAAAAATTGCTTATGTTGTCATTGAAAAAACAAATTTTGTTTGTTAAGTATTATAATTGCAAATAAAAAGTAAATCAATGTACAAAACTCGTTGTTTTTTCACAATATAAAAAATTTTCTTACAAATTTTCAATTTAAAATAAAAGAAAACAAATCATACATAATGAATATATACAAAGAGTAAAATTAAACCAATGTGTACGCAGCTCTAATTCTTCATTTGTTAATGAAAAATTTGGTTATACTGTGAACACAATTATTCAAAATGTCTCAAATCTTTTCATTCAAGATTCAAATCTCTTTTATTCAAATAAATTAAGTTTTATTTTATTAAATTTAATTTTAACTGAACAATAATTTTAACTGAAAAATATGGAATGTGTTCTTTGGAAATTTCTGCCTGAATTATTTCAGAAAATTAATCTATTTTTTTCTAATGTTTTGAACCATTTTATTGTATGTTATGATTTAAAAAGTAAATAAAATGTTTCAGTTTTTTTGTTATTTTCCTTTTTTGAGTTTTAATTAATGTGGGAAAACTTCAAGCTATTTATTTCCATTAAAAATATTCAGTTAAAAACATTGAAAAAAATGTACTTTAAAACCTGTTTTTGTGCGATATATAAGGACCGCATAAAAGAAATCGCACAAAAAAAATTTCGAACATTTTATCATATCTTACATATAATAAACAACTTTGTACAATATACTACCTAAATTTTATTTTATGCGGTGGATGGGGACCGCATAAAATATTAAATTCATAGGCATAACTGTTATGTCACAATGACTTACACATTTTTTGATATTGCCTTTTAAGATGATGCTTTAGCAATACCTCTTGAAAGTTATCTAAATATTTTTTTTAATATGATCAAAATATTGAAGTTTCTTATGCTTGTTTAAATATGGAATATGTCATTGAAATGGACCTGTAGGTATTTCAGATTGTGTATGTAATTACATGCACGACATTAGTGCAGGTGACAGTGGCGTATAATTAAAAATCAGAAAATCTTTCCCAAATATTTCGGACAAATAAAACAAAGTTTCTAGTACCATCATCTATTTAAATTTACCTAAATTAAAATAAGCCTAAGAAATTTTAAAAAAATTAATCAATTTACAGACATTTAGCAAATAAAAATAAAAAAAAATTATTTTTTCTTGTGAGAAATTTTGAGAGCTGTCCCTCTCAAAAAAAGACTGTCCATGCATTAAAAATTGCATGGGACTGCAGACCTTAATCAGTAAAAATAAAAATAGTTTAATTGAATTTATATATATAGAAGTTAGTCTATCCCAAAAATTACTAATTTGTTTAATTTTCTCATATTTTGCTTGTGTCTTATAAAAAATATGAATCAATGTTTATTTATACTTTAATATATTGAAAACAATATTAAATTATAGAATTTGAATAATTTTCCCACTTGTTTAATGTAAGTTTCATAACTAATAATTACATTTTATATTTATCTTTTTATTATTTCAGGTCCTGCTTACTCTCATATAAAAAAGCCTGTAAAGTATGTATCAATCAATTTGTATTTTACACTGTGACTAAAAATTTCTCATATAACTTTTAAAGCACATTGAAAAATTATATAAGTGTAGTCCTAATTCCTTTCAGACGATTTAGAGTAAGTTATATATTAGCTACTGCAGAGTTCTCTCTAGGAATGAAAAAGGGCAGGGTGCTTCTTCATGGAGATGCATGCTTTGAGTTTTAAAAGGCACTCACTTTTCACTCTTAAAATTTATCAAAATATGTAATTATTATGTAGTAACTGAATTTGATCCTCAACAATTTTAAATTGTCCTCCTATACTATTTTATGTGTGTATTTCAAAAAGTAATTTTCACTCCTTATCAAAATAAGAGAATAATTTGTAGTTTATAAAAAATAACTAAAGGCGTGCTTAAAGACAATCACTGTGCCCAAATTTCTTTTTAAAAGAAGTGAACTGAAAAAAGTGATTAATTGATAAACAATTTAAAAGCGTTTTTCTATAATCTAAATTGAAAATTATGAGAAGTGAACATTTAAAGGTGCATTTCTTTAAAAAAAGAAAAGGTATTTATTTAAAAAATAATTTTAAAATTTAAAATCGCTTAAAAAATATGTTAATATACCTCCTCCGAAAAAAAATAGAAATTTATAAGTGTGTAATTATTCAAACAACAAATTTTTTTTTATTATTATTACTATTTTTTGGAATATGAAAAAAAGGCAGTGTTTTTAAAGGATGGCTGCTTATTTTTATGAAAATGGCGCATCAAAGGGCAAGCCGCCCTTCTAAAAATGCTTAGGGAGAACACATGATTTATTTTGCATTACTGTAATAAAAATTTTAGAGTGTATGAGAACTTATTTGTCACTGTTTATTTTATTGTTTCAATTTAATTTTTACATGATCAACATTGGATTACCAAAATAATTAAGTTTAAAATATTTATAAACTAATTGCATTCAGTATATATTAAAAAAAATTATTTATTTAATGTTGTATACTATAGAAGTAAAAATGATCAATAATTTTAGTTTGAAAACTAATTTTGTATTAAATAGGTACACCGAAATATGTATAAATACCCACAAAATGAAACAAAAATTATCAATAGTACATAAAATTTTCATTATGTCTTAGAATGGTTTCTGCTAATCTGGAAAGTCATGAATTTCAGTATTGAACAAAATTTGTCATGATTTTTACTATTTTTTAAACAAAATCATGGAAAGTCATGGATTTAGGTCGCCGAAAAATCTAATTTTTAAAATGAAATCCCCCTCCCAATTTCATCCTGTTCTAAATATCTGAATCCCTGACAAAATCACTACTCACAATCATATTTTATTAGAATATTAAATCTCTTTATCATGTTCTTTAGAAATTATGGTGTTCTTTCAAAAAATGAAAGAAAAAACATTTCTAGAGCGAATTATCTTTTAAACTTCTGTGATTTAAGAATTTTTATTAATTTAAATTTCAAGCCGAAGCAATTTACTTTAATTTAGACTACTGCTGGTACTATTCAAAGAACACTATAAGAATATCTTATGCTCATCAAGTAAGCTGCAATTGTAAACATAAAATGTGTCAATTATTTGTTAGAAATTAGCAAACATTTAATTGAAATATTACTTAAACAATATAGTAGATGATGCATAATTCTAAGCATCATTGTTTTTTATTTAATGTTATTTTTCTATTTTTTAACTCTTTCTGCTATTTAATTCATAAACCTATTTTGCTCTAACTTTCATTTTTGATACTAAAAGCTGCATATAATCGTTAAGCTTTTATTTAGGAAAATTTCAATCGATTCAAATTTAATGAGCATTCTCATTTATATTTTTTAATCAAGCAGTTCTCTCATATAAATGCAGTTGAATAATGTAAAAAAAAACAGTTGCAAACAAGTCCTCAGATTATCATTTTAAAATTTTCTAAATATGGAATTCTTAATTAAATTAAAATTATTCTTAAAAGATTTAATTTCATCTTGGTACTAAATAAATATATGACCCCCAATTTACCCTTTTAAAATGCATTCGAAAGTTCTGTCGCAGAATTTATGCCACACAAAGGCGGGTACTAGAGATATATTTTTGCCTTTCAGACGAAAATGAGTTAATACATTGCAGATAAATCTCAAGAGTTTTTTCATGGTGTTGCAGATCATTACAGAGACTTTTACTATAGGGTTAAAAAGCTTTTAATCATTCTGAAATAAAATAACAAACTGAGTAGTAGATAAGGTACTACAACCACTTATCTACTTTTTATAGATGTTAAAACTATCAAATTTTAAGATTGAAAATTTAGTCTTTTTGCAGAAATTAAAAAAAAAGGGAAATTTTGCAAACCCACAGAAGAGTAGCATGTCTCCTATTCAAAATTCGTATCTATAGATGAAATCTGATTCTTTACAGAATGATATTTACTGGCACTATCACTCCTGAAACTTCACCTCCAATGCACATGAGAAGCATTACCAGGATGATAAAAACTTTCAACTCTCATTTTCCTGATAAAATCTTAGTAGTGAATACTATAGGGTGGCTGACAGGTAAGTTTGTTTTGAATTTTTTGTAAGTATAAAGCTATGCAACTTAAAAAGTGCACACATATCATCGATACAAAGTTTTGGTTCTGTAATGAAGAACCTTTTTTGGTGTCGAAACACTGAATTAAAGAAGGAAACATGGACTTGTTAAAAAAATTTCAACTAGTAAATCAACTTGTTTATATCTATTTATATATCTATATCTAATTTAGTTTGCAATTTTCTATGTTTAGAGCTGAAATTATATAGTAGGTTTGTTTATATACATTATTTTAACTCTTTGCGTGTTGTTTAGCTTTATATATTGTCCCTTCTTTAGTTGAATGATATAAGTGTTTTTAATTTTATTGTTATTCAGAATGTAAGTTCCACTGACGATCATTTCTACAATGTTTTTCTTGGAATGTTAGTAATTACTATTTCAAAAGTTGCTAATAATTAGAGTTATTATTTCAATGTAAAGAAAGTGAGGAAGAGCTGGAACAAGATAATTAGATAGACTAGAGAAGTGAATTAAGCGCTTGGGAGTTAATAGATGGAGAAATATAGTATCTAAAAGATCTAGATAGATTAAACTAAATGGGACTGCCTTGGCCGGTAACCGGCTGTGCTGGGTAAGAAGAAGAAAATTATTTTAATGTAACTTTATCTTTATAAGTTATTTAATCTTTTCTTTAGTTATCTAAATAAGCTATAAATTTAATAGGCTATAAATATAAATGTTGCTAAAGTAGAATAAATTTTATCAATCAGTTAAGGAAAATTTGAATCATAGTTTTAATCATTGTTTTATCCATAAGGTAGATAAAACCAAGTATTTATCATTAAACTAATTAATACTCAGTCATCGTATTTGGTTTTGTTAAACAAAATAATCACCTTCTGAAGAAATAGAATTATTTAAAAATTCTAAACAAGCTTATATATATGCATCAATAATTTCACATACATAACACATCAATGTATTTTTTTATTATTGAAATGCATTCTTATTTTTAACACAAGGGTGGCATTAGGGAATGATATTGTCAACTTTTTAAAAATGCGTATATTTTTATAAAATCAAATCTACAATCTTATTGTTTATTATTAGTATTATGTATAGATGTATACACAATGTGCATCCCTCTCTCTGTCTGCTAATCAAAAATTAGCTAAAAAAAACTACATAATTAGCCTGAAGAATTTTCCCCAAAAACTATACATTAGCTTTGGTGATTGTAACAAGTATTACTACTTTTGTTTCTACACTGAGAGAATAACACTTTTCCTCACTGTAGTAGATCCTAACTATTCACATATTACGTTATAAAAAAAAAACTTTTAAGTAATTAATTTTTAGTAAAAGGGCATTTTCTTACTCGTAAATAATTTTATATTGATTTATCAGTGAATTGAATTTTCATCAGAAAGCCCTAGTTATCAATAGTTATTATGGGTCCTTGGCTAATTGCAAGTATTTAAATTTTTAAAACGTTCCTAATTAATAGAAATCAAAGCAGTCGAATTTAGATTTTTTCTTTCTTTAATTTAACATTTTTGATATTTTCTCTTACTTTGCTCTTGCCAATGTTTTACTTATAAGCACTTACAATGGCATCTAATTAATCCAGAACTTGAAACTTTTATTTATGCAAACTCTATTTAAAATAATAATAATAATGAAGACCAAAACAATTTCCTATTCTGAAAAAAAATCAGTGAAATATTCAGTTCTATCCTGTGTGCAATTTTGGGTTTATTTAAGGCAATCCATTGCTACAGATCCAAATGTTTCAACTTAATCTCATACTGAATATTCCGATGTATTGTTTGACTTTTTTAACCCCTAAATTACAATAAGAATTTGGGGGACTTTATTAGCACTACATTTGAACTCTACTTTTTTTTTCCAGTAGCATAGCGAATGACGCATAGCAAAGGTAAAAATTAAGAAAATTTAGTCACTTGTCCAAAGGACCAGTTACTTTAGTAGTCTATACTATGCACATTTTCACTAGACCAAAATATTACTAGTCTATATCATGAACATTTTCACAGGGTGCGTACAGACTCCTTATACTCCTAGGAAATAAAAAAGTCTCCAAGGAGTACTTGGAACTACTTAGATTTCTAAATTAGTCCTTAGAAACTCCTTAGATTATTGTGTTGTATAGATGTGAAGTTTGACTAGGTCAAAATTTATTTCAAAAGGGCTAGAAAAAAATATGCAAACTATACATTTTTACGAGTTCTTTATAACTGCTTTTTAATTTTTGATAAGTCCTTAAAATTTTGGACTCCTTGGATACTCCCTTGATTTCTTCTTCTGATCTCTGTATGAACCCTGTTTTCACTAGACCAAAATATTGCTAGTCTATACCATGTTAACTTTTACTAGACCAAAATACTACTAGTCTTTACCTCGCACATTTTCGCTAGATCGAAATACTACTAGTCTATACCATACACATTTTCACTATACGAATATTTTACTACTCTATGCCATGCACATTTTCACTAGACCAAGATACTACTTGTCTATACCGTGCACATTTTCACTAGACCAAAATACTACTACTCTATACCATGCACATTTTCACTGACCATTTAAGTGTCCCAATTAGATTTTTTTTTAATTAAGTGAGTTTAGTTATAAAATTACAATTGTGAGGAAATATACTGTTTTGTGACAAAAACACAGACTTAAACATTAAACAGAAAAATTGCTGCTAATTTATATTATAGTGGCCTGAGTCAAACTTGGCATTCCTTGATCATTGTTAATTTTTAACCCAATGTAGCCTATAAGTTTTGTTTGATCAATAAGATAAAAGACATAAAAAATATTGCAATTATAACACATTTAAAACTTTTATGTGATAAAAATCAAACTCTTAAGAACAAACCTTAGTTCAATTGAGTTGGTACTATAGGTGTGAGAAATCACAAATTTCTCACACCTATGTGTCGACTGTGCCAGAGTAAGACACATCATCGTAATTGGTTCAAACTTTGTTTTTCGACATGCAGAGACATTTTTAACTCCTCTACAAGCATGTTGCGCAGATTGAAAATCAGAAATAATTTTTTTAAAAACTAGTCAGGTATGTTCTCACGCTGTGAATTAATTTGCGTTTTGCATTTTAAATAATAATTAAAAAAAGTTTAAAAAGCTGCATTCTTGAAATTTTTTCTTGAATTTTTTTTCTCTGTTTCCCACTACATCAAGAGTCTGCTGTAGCAATACCCTTGCAAAAAAACTTAATGTAGAAGAGGAATTATAATCCTAAGCGGAATAAAACTTATAAAGGAAATCGATTGACAAATGATTAAAAATAATAGCATGACTATCAAAGCAAGGGCCAGAATTTAATTAACAGAATGGAAATATTTCTAGTTTTAAATTTAATAATGTTGTAAAATCATAGGAAGTGCTAAAATAAAAAAAATTATTTTAATTTTTATGAAATTGAAAGAATTTATTTATTTTTATATAATAGTTTATCGAAAAAGTCAGTTTCTGTAATTTAAAATGTAATTATTTTTTACTCCTCTGAAGTGAATTTCACTCTTCCCCAAAAAGTGTAGTATTTTCATTTCGTAGGAAAAAAAGAAAGAAAAATTCTAGCTATCTCTTTGTCAGCAAGTGTGAATTAAAAGATTAACTTATACAACAAGTGCATGCAAAATCTTCCATCTGGTTTGAATAGAAGGTTCACTTATACGCAGGAAAATACCATATCAAAANAAAAAAAAAAAAAAAAAAAAAAAAAAAAAAAAAAAAAAAAAAAAAAAAAAAAAAAAAAAAAATACTTCTAGAGAAAAACTAAACAGAAATTGATTTTAGGTCAAAATGACTCATCCTGCTGTTCCAACATTATCCTTGATTGTTTTTTTTTTTTTTTTTAAATCTAAACTAAGAATAAACAAAAATATTTTTCTTATGATCTTTTTCTTTAAAAATGTAAATCAATACTGAGGTTGATTAATTGTTTTATGCTTATTGTAGGTGTTGGTAATTTAATTCATGAACACATCAAGAAAACTTTATTGCCTGTGGTTGAAATTGAACTGAGTTCTTCTTTGAGTGATCTAGAAATGACTTTAGAAGGAAGGTTACTCAGATGTTCTGTTGGCTTTGAAAGAGATGCAGCAACTTCCACTAAGCAGTAATTATCTTTCCATTTAAAACCTCTGTTTTTATATTTTAGTGTGTGTGTATATATATGTATATGAGTCAGAGCCTCTGCTCTCCAATAAGCTTAGATCTAAGATAAGAATTACAGCTGGATTCAAAAGTTCCTTAGCCTAAAAGCTAAATTCAGGAAAAGCTTTAGCAAAATTCTAAAATGCCACTACAGTTTGTATACCATTCTAGAAGTGTGGATGCATTTCCTTTTCATGTGTAAATAAATTTTAAAAAGTTCACTTAATAACTCGATTTTTGTGTGTAAAACTAAGTTTTATATCCAGTCCTCTATTGCTGCAATGCAGAAAATTTGTACAGGGTGCGTAGCGTTTTTAAAAAGTGCTTAAAGGTGCTTATTTTCGTTTTTAGAAGCCCTTAAAGGTGCTTTTTTCATTGGGTGTTTTTAAAAAGTGCTTAATTTTCCCTTTTCCGAAATGTGATATTTTTCTTTACCATGTTGATTTTTGCTACAAATATAGCAAAAAGACATTGTCCTAATCAACGTTTTCACAATTAATTCAACCCCAATCTATTTTGGCGTACCGCCAGTCTGTAGTGTATGAAAACACCATTTGTTTTACATGTTTGATGAAATACTTGCAGGTCCACACTTGTGTACACTGAGCTGGATTCAGTGGTAAGGAGTTTTGACTCTCATGTGCAACCCTGCTGCATTTTGCAAGAGATTTTCAATTTCAGACTTCATTTTCCGCCCTTTGCATTGGAATCGAGAAATCTCTCGAATTTTTGCTGATTACGGGGACCAACTAAACATTGACAGTTTTTTTTTCTCTATTGGTGATAGACAATTTCATTTCTCTGTTTAATTTCATCATTTGTGACGCGCCATCTTCTTCGTCACTGTAAATAAAACCGGATAAAACCATCAGTTGTCAAAAACTTGCCAACTCTGTCTAATTATGATATTTTTCAAAGTGCTTAAAAAGATTTTTGAGTGCTTGAAAAGCGCTTAAAGGGTGCTTATTTTTTGTTGAAAGATTTTGTAGACCCTCAAAATTAGTAGAAGAAAAGGAAGTTATGTTTGTTTATCATTAAAAAGTTTGCTATTAACATTACATTAGTTTGCTATTTTAACTAATTTACAAATCAGAGCTTTTTTTTTAAATTGGTTTAATTGCTAACTACACTGCTTGTTGGCAGATATTTACTAGATTAAAATAGTCTTTTGGTTCAGAAATTCAATGTGCTATGGAGTAGATGTAAATTTTCTTCTTAACATTGAAGTGCTTAAATGTAAGTAAAATACAGTAAATACATTTATTTTCCTATGTTTCTCATAAATTGAAAATGATCCATCTACAGTCAAACCATGACGTTGCAAACTTTTCACCATCATGAAAAATCTAAGTTTTCGATTCTAATAATTTTAAAAAAGAGATTTTCAATCAAACTTATTTTTTGCTGATCCTTAATTTTATGGAATATTTGTTGCTATGGTGCAAATAAAAGAAAATGTTTTTTTTTTGTTTTTGTTTTTTTTAATTTCTGAAAATTTAAAAATGGTTTTAATTTTTTAAAGGCTTTTCTTGATTTATTTTTCAATTTTTTATTGCTTCTGCAATAAGAGAATATGTACTTTTGTAAAAAAATCATTCATTTTAAGTATCCTACGAAGCCAAAATTGTGAGATGCGTACATAACAGTGTATAATGTGGTGTAGTTTCAGGTAACTTTACTATTATCATGAATATTGCAAGGATATTTATTAAATCTAGTATTGGAATAACTGAATAGAACATGAAACATTTAAAGCTATGTCAAATTAGGATGATGGAAATAAATAAAAAAAAGCACACAGTAAATAATATTGAGCTAGAAAATACAATTTTCACAATTAATTAATAATGTTGTTGTTACTCTAACTGGTCTAACCCTGTGGTTCCCAATTTTTTACAAATGCTGAACCCAAAATGATCAAACATTTTTTGCGCGGGTTTCAAATATATGAATAAAATTTATTAGCAGCTGTTATACATAATGACAAAAGAAGGACTGCTAATTATTTTGAAGAGCATTGGCAGGGTTCGTGCAATTACCTCCCAATAAGTTGACCAAGGTTCAAATCCTAACTTTGGCTGGTCAATAAGAATTTTTCTCCTGACTCACACAGTACTGACTTAAAATATCCTCAGTGTTAGACGGAATATGAGTTAAAATTCCATTACTGTCGAGCTAAACCTGCCTGGTTTTCGTGGTTCTCCACTCCCGAAAACGCAAAAGCGGGATAATTTCATTAAAAATTTCTTCACAAGGCTAGTTTGTCCCAATAGTTGATCTAGGAGTTCCCTTTTCCTCTGGATTGGGTACAAAATTGCAAGGCTACGGAGTTAACCATTCGTAAACTCAAATTTGGATTAGCCGTTCACCATCCATTACAGAATAAAATAAAATTTAGAAAGGAAATTTTTTTCAACAATCGTTTTATTAATAAAACTCTTAAAATAATAGGTTTTATGTCAAACAGTTGAATAATTCTGGACTGGAGTTGCATTAAGTCTGGTTTTGAATTTGTTTTAGCGGAAAACATTTACTGAAAAAAAAATAAGCTTGTGGGGAGAGTAATTATCGATAATGTCAGCCTTCATCTATGAAAGGGTACCCCAACATAGAATCGAGTTAACATGTCTTATATGCTAGGGAATTGGAAGTGTATTTTTGTAGTGTTAGATATACACTACAAGCTCAATGATTTTTATAACAGAACTGTTGTAAACTTTGAGAATGGTTATCAGGGAAATAGTATTCATTATTCTTGAATTGGGACATTTAATATTGAATTGAAAAGTTTGACAAGAAATACTAATAAAATTTATCATACATTTTGCTTCTTTTTTTTTTTTTTACTGGAATTTTACTTTATAATAACACTTAATACATATTTTAATATAATTACAGTTTTCAAAAATAATTATTGATTTTAAAGATTTAAATTCTTGGAACCCTTGTCACAGAGAAATAGGGTACTGTGGAACACTATTCAGGAACCATTGGTCTAGCCCAGTGGTCGGCAAAGTGCGGCTCCAGAGCCGCATGTGGCTCTTTGGCTCCTTAAGTGCGGCTCTGGTATAAATATCCACGGAAGGCGCAATAATATTTTCATTTAAAAAAAAACTTGGTTAGAAAAAAATTACTTCTTATTTTGATAAATTTAACTTCTTCTATAAATCGAGAACATGCATAATTCTTTGTTAAAGTTAAAAGATAGATAGGTAATTAAAATTTTATATTGTTGTAAAAATACGTGACGAACATCGAATTTAATTTTATTAATTTTCGTAAACGTAAACACAAACCGTGTACAAGCAACCGGCTGAAATTGTTCGTACGTTTTCGGCTTACTCCGGTGTGATACAAAGGTACCACAAGCATGTGCGCGCATACTTTTTCTAAAGTAGTGGGGGTACAAATTGGCATCACAGACCAGCAGTTGCAGTGTGAACACTTTTTGTCTTATCTACCGTGTCTGCCGTTGTCCTGTCTTATTAAAAAGTTGTTGTATTTTTCAATCTAGCTGCAGATCTTACAGGTATTTTTATACAATTTTATTACACCTGCTATGTATGTTTGTGGTTCCGGTACAAAATTTGTAATCAATTTTTCTATAACTTCTATTTTTCTATTTATACTAAGGAAACTTAATTTTTTCGATGTTAGAAGAAGTAATAACATTCGAAAACAAATTATCCATTTTTGCTCAGGATTTCGAAAGGGAAACATTGTTTCACTTTCCGAGCCAGCTGAAGCATCGCCAAGAAAATAATTCCTCTATTGATAAACACCATTTCAAAACAATAATTTTAAATATGAGGGAAGCATTTCTCAGCAGGTTTCAGGAATTTAAAAACATCAGAGCAACTTTAGCATTTGTCAAAAATCCTCTTAATGCTATGATAACCGAGTTGAAATTTTCCCCTTTTGAAATTGACATTGGTAGCTTTGAAATACAACAGCTGGATTTAGAAAACAAAGATATATGGCGCTCTAAATTCGAAAGTCTTTGTGTTGAATTGGAAATATTGGAGAATAAAAAATTTGATCTTAGTTCACAACACAAGTGGTCTGCTTTGAATGACCTGGAGAAGGAAGACATGATCATTTTCAACGCTTGGAATAGTATTTCTGACTCTCACGACCAGCTGAAAAAGCTCGCCGTTGCTGTTCTTTCCCTTTTCGGTTCTACATGTATATGCGAACAATCGTTTTCAAGCATGAACATTATCAAGAGTAAACTTACAAGTCGTCTTATTGATGAGAACTTGGAATCATGCCTAAAATTAAAAACAACAACATACAAACCGATTTACTCAAACTTTCCAAGGAGATGCAAGCACATTGTTCGCATTAATAAATATTTATTAAGTATGAAATTTAGTTTTATTTAGTGTACTACTTATTTAATGTAATAAAAGTTTACTAAACAAGCAGATTTGGCTCCCAATTTTTTAAAAAAATTGCTGTAATGTTCATATTTGGCTCTTTGGCTAATAAGTTTGCCGACCACTGGTCTAGCCAATAGGCTAGGCCAGTTCAATCATGACTGATGGGAGATTTTATGATTTCTATTTGCAAAGTGGCGTTGAACACCATAAGATAGAAAACTGACTCCTTTCAAATTTCACCTGCTAGTTTTAGCTGTGGCCTAGGATGACCCAACAAGGGAAAAGATTCCCATCATACATTCTGCTTATGGTCACCCCTATTGTCAGACAACTAGTGGGATTTAATAAGGATTAATAATAGATAGTTTGATTCATTTTTTTTTTTTTACCTTTAACATGCCATCTTTTTTTAAAGTTTTTAATACATTTAGAAAAAATGTATGATTATTGGTATAGTGACTTTTCATCTTTTTGTTAATGTCACGATAGTATAGTTTACTGTATAGGTTATGAAAAGTTTTCAAAATTGTTTGAATGTTAAGAAGATGTAAAGCATTCCCTGAATGAAGAAACTTATTTTGTTATCTAAGTTTGAAATACACTCATTTGTTTCTTTTCCATGTTTATAATAAGTACATTATTTCATAAAACTTAGTAATTATATAGAGGGGAAATTTATATTAACTCTTTTGTCCTTACGCTTGATGTGCTTAGTGCACTTGATTTATAATATCAAGGTTTAAAGGAAACCAGTTGAATTTATGACTTAATTTTAAAATATAAATTGGAAAAAAAACTAATACAGGAATTTTTCCTCTAATTTTTTGAAAAATAAATTTAAACAGCAAATTAAAAATAATAAATTTTTATTTTTCACTGTTTTATATTTAATTTAATTTCACTTTGAATTCTTTTGTTCTGCTATGATTTTATATGCTGTAGCAAATGGTTGCAATAATATTAAAAAAAAGTTATTTATAATATTTATTTGAAGTTGCGTCTCTTTACTGATTACAACAATACTCTTAGTATTAATATTATTCTACTTTTGTTATTTTAGGGGCGACAATCGTCCTCAAGATTTGAGAGATTGGGCACTCTTATCATATATTGGCCAGTGTCAAACTTATTTTTTACAACCACATACCCTGAATGAATTCAGACCTGCCTGGTATGTAAATTTTGTACATGTGTTTTTGTTTTTTGTAATTTTTTTTCCCTTAATGAGCCTTAGCCAACAGTGTCTGATGCAATCTGCTGTTTCAAAAAGCTTTGCAGTGATGGTTGACATTCTGGAATTGGATGGAAACATATGTTGAACTCTTCCGACCGTCGTAAGATTATCAAAAAGCAATTTCAATCTGGCAGAGGCAGTTTCCATAAGAAAGTTGGCTCGTGTAATGGGAATAAGTGACCAATCATTGCGGTGAATGACAAAAACAGATTTTTGCGGCCTGTTGCTAAAAATTTTAATGTGCAATTGAGCTTCAGACATCGCTGCAAAATGCTGCCACTTTTCATAATTAAAGTTATTTATTAGTAAAAGTCTATGTTCGATACCAATTGATTGATTTCTATGCTGGTTCGTTTGTTAACAAATGATTAAAATAGAATGGACTGTATTAAAGATTTTTATTATGATTGGTGCTACGAGCACGCTCATGCTGTAAGATCAACAACTAATTTTCAACTGATTAGGGTTACAACAAACGGTGGCGAGGATGCTGAGACAAAGATGCCAAGTTGGCGCTATATTTCTGAGATATTGAACAGTCTACTCTTATTATTATTTGTTATATTTTGTTCATTTATTTACTTTTAAAAAAGTTACATTAGAATGTGTAACTTTTACCTGTAAGTTAATTTTTAAAAAAAATTCTGTCTGGTAGAAGAAGCATAGGTTTCTATCAATAAATTGTTAGTGTCTAATAATTCTTCTTTATTTCAGCATTTGTTGGGACAACATTGCAGTTTATAATTTCAACAAAAGATTGATGCATAACAGATATTATGAGGCTCTTAATGCCAGTGTTGTGGCTCTCTGTCATGTTAAAGAATCTTGTGTGAGTGTTTATTCCATAATACATTTATTTCTTTTATTGGTGTTTAACAATTAATCAAGGTTGATTTTCTCAAATAAAACTATTATTTGAATAAAGTTATTAATTCGCTAATTTTTTATTTATTTATTTAATATTACTTCTATCATTAACTCTTCTAAAGTACAATTATTTCATCAATATTTTAAGTTTTAAATATAATCTTTATGATTACATGTTTACAATTTTTTAATACATTGTTCTTACAACTTTTGGTAAAGTTTTGGTACGTGTTTGATTACCAAAAAATTATCTTAATTTTATTTTTTTAATTTGATTAGAATAAAAAAAATATGAAGAAAAATTCAAGTGTTTGGATTTTTATGTATGCATTTATTTATTTTCGCAAATTATTTACGTGTTTGTTTATTTTTAAACAATCGAAAAATTATATATATTAAATTATTTTACATTAATCTCTTCTCCTCTATTTAATAAGTAAACGAAAAAAGTTTTTTCGAGAGTTTTGAATAAACCAGCATTCTTTACTTTGTTTCTGAGGATAAATTTAAATATTAGATGTTTCTGATTATCATTTGTATGCCTTGTATAATTTTCTTTTCTCTTTCAAATTTTATTTAGATATTGACTCCTACAAGTCCTGATTATCCTCTTACTTTAGAAGAGGAGCCTGACAATGACTGCTTAGGCTATGGTAAGCTACTTTAAACCATTTAACAAATAGTTTGAAGATTTAGGAACGTTTATGTGTATAACCTTGATCCAAGGTTCCACTGGTCAGGAATTGTTGGGAAATATGATTTTTGCACTAAATGTTAAGGAATAGATAGGAAAAATCATATGTTTTTACAAAAACTGTAAAATTCTTCAGTATATCTGAAGAATGATCACTCTTTGAATTGTCAGAAATTGTAATCAGTTATTTCGATTCAAATTATAGAATTCTTACATCTATTACAATTATTTCTTATAAAAATTCCATATCTCAGAAAGTGTTTTACTCAGCATTGTCATTTAAGGAAAAAAAAATTCCTCAAAAAATCTTAGATTTGGCGATTTTTAGACGAACACACAAGCCAGGTAGACAATTTTTTGCTTCATTTTAATGTAATTTTATATACTGATAAAGAAAATTGTATGAAATTGGTCGAATAGTTCCAGAGAAATACTATTCCAATGATTTTATTTAAATTTTGGCATATAAAACATTCTTTAAAATGATGTAAAAAATTGTATAACTTTCAATTCACAATTCTTTGGATTATTTTTAAATAATCGAAAAATAGTCGAATAAATTATTATTCGAGCTTATTTTTTGCATAAATTTATCGTTAAGTTAATTTTATAATTGTGTGTAAAAATGTTTTGATTTGCTAAAAAAATTCATCTAAAATATGACGAAATGCACAAAAGGCAAAATTAACATTGAGGGCTTCAAACTTTGGACCACTCCCTGGACTTGACAACTTATCAGAAATTCAAATCCAGCGAAAAAAAAATAATTTTTTTTCTGAGAAAGTATTGTATTTGATTTTGTAATTTAAAATATGGTCTATACTAATTATTTTGCATATTTGATGGCACTCTTTTGAATCATTATCATTGAGTCCTAGTACCTAATTATTAGATCATTTAGTTATTCAGGGAAGTTTTTTTTTCTCTGCATTATACCCGTATGCCCTATAGTTCAGGGATAGAAGAGAGTTGTTATAGATACATAGTTAATAAACACTAACTATAGTAAAAAAAAAATTCTATTGTAAATTTTAAGATTGTAACATAGAGCATTTTTTCAAATAATTGTTTTACTTTAAAAATCAAATTATTGTTCCTTATTCGCAAAATGATTTATCTCAGTTAAATAAATATAATTATAATGAGTTATGCTTTTATAGTCTTTTTAAAGAAAGAAGTCTGTTTATAAATTGTTGGCAATAATATTGCTAGATTTGAAGCATTTTATAGTAATTGTTCAAATGATTGGTCTTCTGCATATTTAAATAGGTATTTATTCATTCTTATACTCACTGTTTTAATTGGTTCTCTTATTTTAAAGGTTTTGTGCGAGCTGTTGATGAAGAACAACATTTGCTTTATATAGTCACTCCACTTAGTTGCAATACATTGAATGACAGAGTGAACGCTATATTAAGCGGAAACATTCTTATCCCTCGTGATGTCATATATAAACAGGTATGTTAAGAATTTTGAAATAATAATTATTCATTCTTTAAGTTCATAAATATGCTTATTAATATACATTTTCATAAATATTTGAAAATGAAATTAACCATATTAAGTGATTAATATTTTAAACATTACTTAAGCATTCTTTGATGGCAACATTAATATATATATGTGTGTAGATATACATATGTGTGTGTGTGTGTATATATATATATAAAATAAATTTAAATATAAAAAAAAATTCATTTCTGAGTAATATTAACTTTTTAATCACTTTTTTAAAATGTTCCTAATTGCTCAGATAAATCTAGTTCATTTTAAGTTTATATTTTTTTAAAACTGTGAAATATAATCATGCTCAATTTTCTATCCAAAAATTTTTTTGTTTTAATATAATGAAAATATATATATACATACATTATCTTCCTGCCATATAAACGTGCATAAAAATTTTCCGTTCCCCTCTCAACCAAAAATAAAGATCTGTAAAAATAGTGAATGACTTTCGTTGTTATTTTGCAAAAAAATTATTTTATAGTATTTAAAAAACAAACAAACAATGAAAACATACATGTAGCATTAACTTAGAAATTGATTAATTAGAGTTTAGTATTTTTAGGCCTACAAAGTTGAAGGAGCAGAATATTTAACCAATATATTGGTCATTTTAGTACAGTAGAGCAGTGTTCCCCAACCTTTTTATCACCACGGACCTGTCAACGTTTGATAATTTTGCAGCGGCCCGCTGGGGGGGGGGGTGTTGATGGTCTATATTTTTGATTATTTTGATTTATTAATTTCGATTTAATTTTATTTAAACATGATTTCAAAATAAAATACTGTTACACCGAAAAAAAAATATAAAGTGATTTAACATTTTAACTTACTAGAACGTCAAATCAATGAGAACCCTGAGCTTTCTTTGCAATGAGACAGTTCCATCTGGGGGTAATCGGAGACAATGACAGCCGAAGTGTGTTGCTTACATCCAGTTTATTCTGTTGCTTTGTTTTGGTTAATGTCCCCCTTTTTTAAATAAATAAAATTTTAATGGAACACAGATATTTTTAATTTATGGATAAACCTAGGAATTTAAATTCAGTTTCAATGAAATGGGCTGCCCGGTACCATTTGATCCACGGACTGGTACCAATCCGCGGATCAATATAGATATACATATATATACACACATATGTTGGGGAACACTGCAGTAGAGAACCAATTATCCGGGATGCTCGTGACCATCGCTATTCCGGATATCTGAATTACTTGGAACCCTTGTCCACACCAAAGGATGTATCCAATGTGAACAAGATGTTTTCCACCTTTATTATTTCTCACACATTGTATTGCCATATTATATTTTGGAAATATAACTAGTGCAGGATATGCAGTGATTGATTTAAAAATAATGACTTTTATACCATCAACTCCACTCAAATTGGGTTTGAATGCAAAAGTGTATGTCTGTAGAATAAAAAAATAATAATAATTTAATTTATATTCTTCATACCTATTTCGATTAGTTTAAGTTTTCAGCTATAAAACTGTGAACAAACCTATCTCAAAATTTCTTTTCAATTACCTTTGTTAAAAACATATGTTTAAAAATAAAGAGATTTGGCACTGCTCTCAATCGAAGTTTTTTTCCCTTCACTAATTCTAATCAGCATTTTACAAGAACTCCTACTGTTTTGTGAATTGAATTATGCAAAAGAAAGCAGTGAATAGTCAGTATATGGTAGACACAGCCGCTTGACTGTTCAATTTTTTAATGTGAATAAACTACAGTAAAGAATGCCTTCAACTGCCAGTTATCAGTTATGGAGGTTAAAAATCCAAGGCATGTTTCAGTATCGTCATATCATTCAGCATTGACAACTCATATTTCTCAAATAGGTACCCATCAATCTGATGCTAACCCTTCATTATGACATCTCAGTACCTAAACCCTGTGGCAGAATTTTATCGGGCTTTCTGCTACATACCTCTCTAATACTGTTTCTTCAAGATACTTAAAAATAACAAACATACATGTTTCTAATTTAAAGTAACAGAAACATTAACTTCAAAAAATAAATTGGATCAAATAAAATTATTTTTTAATTGGATATGTAATATTTTTTATACTAATATTATGGGCGATATTCTCACATTTTGTAATCACATTTAAAAAAATCGTGAAATCTGTAGCAGTAACTACCGAAAAAAGAGATCGACAGCGAAATCACGCGAATCGTGCTCTTCGAAAAGGGGTTACTAAATCCGTATTTTCATTTTGAGATACGGTTGTTCTAATAAATAATAATATCACATTAAAAATATCAGATTTTAAAAGCTTTGTGGAAATCAGTAGTAATAGAACTGCAAAAATAAAATAAACATTTCTACAGAAAAGAAAAGCAAATTTTTTACTTCATTATTCTTTATTTTTCATTATTCTCAAATGAGAATAGAAAAATCATAAGCATTTTTTTCCACTCTGATGCGCGAGAAAGACATCTTTTGAATATAATTCTGAAGAAAATATAAAATCTTTCGAAAATTTCTGCATAAAAGAAATATAAAATTCTTTACTTCCCAAATGAAAAATCTTTCTGCAACAACTCAGTAACATTCTGCGACAATGTCACTGTGTCATCACGATTCTGCCACAGGGTACATTAAACTCTGAGCTATCATGTCTTTTTTAATGTAAATATCAATTTCAAACTTTGTAGCAAGGAAGGAGGTTTAACCTGTTAGGTTAGATAATGTGTTATGTTGATACATGTGTGAGGAAGAAACTCTCAGCCCTGATTAATATGTGAAAAGCAATTTTTTTTCGCTAAAACTTTTTTAAACAGGTTTTAAGGTAATATTTATGTACTGGCTATATGGTTGGTTAACAGTACATCACAAAATGAAAGATTCAAATGTAGTCTATTCGGAAGAGAGAAATGCATTACTGTTTTTGAAACTCCGTTTCCATTCTCTTTTTCTACAAGCATGTGGGCAAAAAAGTTTAAAATAAGAATATAGAAAGCATTTTTTTTCTGCAATAACTAATTATTGATAAAATTACTTTCTTAGAAAATACTAAATGTGGAACTGGACTATACTGATGGATCTACAGAAGGAAGAACTGAATTACGAAAAGCAATCAGAAAGAGATCAAGGGGGCATTCATCAAAAGACAGGCGTTTTTAATTCTTTTATACTTTTTATTGCTATCATTCTTAAGATGTAAAATTTGGAAATCTCGTGCAATTCATCTGAGTTTTACCTATGTTTAAGCATTTTTGAAAAATAAACATTTTCATTTGCTTGTTTTCCACCCCATCTGTATTCTTATTGTTAATACAATAAAAGTTCATAAAAATTATTGTTATACTTTTTATTTATGCGTCATGTAATGAAATACTAAAAATACTTCATCTTATTTTATTGAACATTTCTTTACTTAAAAGTTTTCCTGCTATAAAAACAACTAGACTAGTCCAACATAGAAAATTAATTCTTGAATACTTATAATTAGTAATAACATGGGTTTAATTGGAATAGTTTTGTTTTATTGAACCTATACAGCAAAACTAAATGTAGGCAATTTAAGTTATATTGTCGAATGAACTATGTATTTGCCTTATAACAAAAGAGTTTTACAACTTATTTTAAATATTTGGTTTTCAAACTAATTGCCACAATAGACAGTAGGAAAAATATATTGACCGAATTGTGATAGAATGGACTATACTTTCTTCAGACATAAAAATATTCTTGTCACTGTAAACTTTACTTTACATTCATGTAATAAAAGTTGTATTCCTTTGTAACTTATTTGTGTTTGAAAAAAAATTTAAAAACTGATTATAAAATTGAGCATGAATAATATGTTCTACCTTGGATCAGAAGTGTAAATGACTATTTCTTTTTCACTCAAAACTACCAAGTGAATTACAATATATTTTTTTACTATATGTTATTTACTTGTGGAACAGTTTGTCCCATAGGTACATTGGAACCTATAACTAAAATGATTCATAGTAATGAGTATGATGAAATGAAAATTAGTGATAAAGTAAAATCAATTATTTTAAGCAAATTTTACTGTTCTATACCTATTCTACTGACTTATTTGCTGATCAGTCTTAATGAATGTAATTAGCAAGATTTTCAAATAAACATCATTTAGATTGTTATTTTAGCAATAAATATAAAGTACAATAGTGATGTACACAAGATTAAAATTTTTTAACTGACAAAGTACTATATGGTTGCTAGAGAAAGTCCGATTTGGATCATGCTTGTTTCCATTATTAAAGATTAAACTGCAAATAATATCTTTTAAACATCATTGCCGATTGGTGCATTTTTTTTTTTGTCTTAGTGCTGATATATTTATTTTGTTATATTTTACATCATTCTATGCTTATTCGTTTACATGCAATATTGTTTTTTCATTGTTTCAAAGTCTGTCATCCAAAACGGCATCGTTGCAAAAATATTTAAAAAAAATAGAAGCAGACAAAATCTTAAGAAAATCAAATACCTAATTTCACTAAGCTCATAGTTTAAATACTGAAGCAAAAACGTTATCAAAAATAATAGAAAGAATATAATTTAGCATCACAGATAATTTTAAATATAAATATGCTTATTCTTATTTGATCAAACAGCATTTCAACTCTAAATAAAAAGTATTCAACTCTTAATTTTAAAGACATTTAAAAGTACTTAACTCTAATACTAAAATTTTTGCTTCCAAATATTAATAACAATTATTTAACATCTTTTTATATTTTCCCAAACAGTACATTATTATTCTTTAAATAAAAATATCATAAAATGTATAAAATAATTCAAATTTTAAAATCGAGAGGTTGAGCGCCAACAGTATATAAATGCACTAAACATACATAAATTAGATGTTTGTGTATTCACATTTAAGACATCAAAAAGTAAAAACACTGCTGTTACAGATGAATCCTAACCCTGAGTCTAAAAAATTTTTATGGATAAAGATGTTTTTAATTCTTTAAAGAATATTCACCTTTTATAATAAATACAAGAAAGAATGAATCAAAAAAACACTTTTATTTACATATGCTTTACAGAAACATTATCAGCTATAAATACTATATGTTTTAATTTTACAGACATAAAAAGTTAATATACTTAACTTTTTTATTCATCAAAATCATATAACTAATAAATTTATTTAAAAATTTTATTGATGTTTTGATTTTTTTTAAATTTGATATTTCTGTTACATAAAGTAATATTTTAAAAACATAACAAATTTCAGTAACCCAATGTACATAAATAAGAAAAAAATGGCAAACAAGCAGGGGAATTGAATTATCTAGTTCAGTGTTTCCCAAACTTTTGACTTTTGTGTACCCTTTCTAAATTTTTCGTAAAGCTGTGTACCACTACGTAATAAAAATTTCATAAAAGTTAAAAATCACAACTGGCTGTTCCTACCACTAATTATTAACTGTCAACTGCAAAAAGTGGCCAATAGAAAAATACGTAATCGTAAATTTTCATGGCTAGCTTTGTTTTTTAATAAATTTTTTTTGAAATTTTCGTTTGTTGCAAGATATTTCGCATAAGAAAGCGTACCCCCGCTAAAATTTTCCCATATCCCAGGGGGTACGCGTACAACACTTAGGGAAACACTGATCTAGTTGATATGTTTATAGGAAGGTTAAGAAGAAAATAAACTATAAAATAACACTGCTTATTTAAAAAAAAAAAATAGGGAAATAAGCTTCACATAAAAAAAATTAAATGCTAAATCACAGGCAAAGATATATTGAGTTTTTATAAATTATTTTCAAATTTTATGTATTCAGATAAACTTTTTCATTTATCTATGAATAAAGTCCTTTTTAATTTGTTGAAAATTTCACCACTTTTAATACTCATGTCACAACAAACAGTTAGGTAATGTGATAAAAACACAAAGATAAATATTTACATAAAATTAAAAAAATTAAGTCATAACTTACAGCATATTGTCTAGGTAACTTCGTATATCTAGAGAACATAATCAAATGGGAAAAAAAAAGAGTTTTATATATATATATATAGTATATGATAATTAATATCAATTTCATAGATTTTTTATAGGTTAAAAAACAAGCAGCAAGATAGGGTTGTTGTTGTTAATTTACGTCGCACTAGAGCTGCACAATGGGCTATTGGCGAGCAGCAAGATAGGGAAAAAAATGTTTTTTATTAATATCTTCTTTAAAAAGATCGCAAATAAAAAAAATACATTTTGAAAAGGGGAAACTGATTTGTTTATTTTGAATGTAAATAAAAACATGTTACTAAACGAGAAACTAAACGAACAACCTGATATAGGAATTCGTACAATGTATATATTTATATATAAATCTGAATGCATTATAAAAAAAAATTCATATCAAAACATGAACATAAATTAGAATTATCAGCAATAAGCAATTGATAATTGCTTTTGAATTCATAAATAAGTATAAATATTGAATGGCACTAGCTAAACATAAATTAATTTCTAATACAAAATATCACAATTTGGAAGAAAAGATTTAAATTGAGATTTGTTGCAGAGTTAATATTTACTAACGGATCATTAAAATTAATTCATGGCAATAATTTATAATTCATTAAAACATGCTGTAGTTAATCACATTATAGTTTTATCTCTATCCTTATAAACTGTAATCCTAATTGAATACAAATAAAGTATCAATACTAATACCAATAACTATAAAACCAGCACTGTACAAGTGAAGTATTTATATTTGTACTATATAGAAAGAGTTTGTGCATTGTCGACAGAGTTGAATAAAATAAAAACAATTTAGAAACTGACATCCTTGCAACAGGAAATTAAACAATGATATTTTATTATTAACAATGGACAAGTTCAGTGACAAAGAGCGGATGGAACGTGCTAAAAATATTGCTACATATAAAAAGCTGAACATTTTTTTTTGTTTTAACGTTAAAGATTGAATATCCTGATCCTGCCTTTTTTTCTAGTTAAATGATTTAAACTTAGATAAAATGTTTACATAACTAACTTTTAATTATTAAAAAAAATATTACACTTGTACCCACTGAACTTTCAATTTCATTCAAAATAAAACTTTTTATTTAAATAAAAATTTATATCTTTAGAAAAAAATTTAAGTCTCTGATTTTAAAAGACTTTTTTTCCTACTATTCCAATCGTTAAAAAGATCTACAGTCAAGTGAATTTTTTCAGAAGTTGTAAACATTCACTTTCAATGTAAACATCAAGTTAATGAAGACATTTCTAAGCAGGCTCCTCTGGCTCAATGTCATAGAACTATAGTTACATACTTATTTACATACATAATGAAATCTTGTTAAAATATATTTTCACTCATTTACTCTACATTATGACATGCAGGAAAGACACTCCTTTTGAATCTTTTACCTAGACTGTCATCAACCTCTTGTTCCGTACTTAATTCCGATGATTCAGTACTGGCATACAAAGATTGATTTCTTCTTTTAAATACAAATGAAGAGCTTATTTGCTCCGAGGAAGTCGCATCACCTTTCAAATTCTCTGTTTTTATTTCTGGAAATGACTCCAATTTTGTTTGTTTGATGAGAATCTCAGGGTTGTCAGGCTGGTCTTGCAAAAATTTCTGTACATTTTTGCTTTCTGTTGAACAAACTCTGTTTTCTGTCTTAATATCTGGAAATAATTCTAAATTTGATAGTTCCGTCGAGACATCGGATTGATTCTTCGGAGATGTCCGCTTACTTTTATTTCCCAATGAGCCAATTCTGTCAATAAAGAAGCCAAGAAATTCTTGATTATCATCATCTTGTGAACAATCCACGGTCTCTTCATCGCTACTAGATCTAGATAGTTCATCAGGATCAAACGAAGTGGGGTTAGAACTATTGAATTCAGTGCCTGAAAAATCACTGATTGTAAAACTATCAGGTGAAGAAACAGCTTGTTGAGGATCAGTTAAGTTAAAAAGCTTACAAAAAGTTTGAGTCTGTGGATTCAAATACTTCTTCATCAAACTACTAGTTGGAGATGAACCACCAGCCAAAAATGTTGGTGCTGTCACTACAAAATTGCAAGGTACTTTCAAGTCATCATTTAAAATACCTTTAATACTATCTAGCTCTTCATCATTTGGAGTAAAATCCCAACGCTCTGTACCACCAGCACCAGGCATAAACGAACTTCTCCTGGAAACATTTAAAAGATGATTTGTGCTGCGCAAAATACACAACCATTCCGGGTCATATTCAATTTGTGGAAAGTCCACTGCTTTACCAATGTCTAAAACCTGGAGAAATCTCCGCCTCGGCAAACACTTATCTAAAGCCAGGAACTTAGTGAAAGCTCCTTTTTCATCATCATGTGGCACAAGTGCAGAAAATTTACAGTGTAAATGCGCAGCAAACCAATAGGAAGGCTTTAATTTTTTCAGCAACTCTTCCCCTGGTTGACTACCTAGTTTATCTGATTCCATTTCTTCCCGAAAGAAGGGTTTAAAACGTAATAGTTGCTCCATATCACCATGTTTATACACAGACCTGGGCCAGTCATGAGATATGCAGATGTCTATGGGCCTTTTAAGTTGTTTAAGCCTAAAGACATCGACATTCCTTACGTGGTAAATACTTTTAACAGTGGACTTATCGTAGGGTGGTGTCTCAAAATGTCCTTTCAGATAATCCTGACCTTTATAAATACCGGACAGTCCAGCGATCCTTAATCCTCCAATGTTTATGACATTGGCATAACCCATATAATATATATTTGGGCAAACCCAACCACCATAAGAAAGCTCTGATAGGTAGTTAGATGCTTCGTGATTCCCGCCGATAAATATTGTCAATATAGGTGCTTTTTTCTCACCAGAGTAGTATTTATAAAATGTATTCAATTTTCGATACTTAGGAGGAACTGCCATACCTTCAAGATCTGCTGGATTTCTTACTGACTGAAAATCTCCACAAATAATCAACAAGTCAATTTTTATTCTGTGTCTATTCTCCAATGCTTGAATAGACTCATAGATTTTATCAAGTTCGCCATGGGCACATCCTTCTACAGCAATCTTCATTGTCAAACTCTGTTATTATTTTACTTATTATAACAAATCAACAGAAAATAGTTAACTTTGGTAAAATCAACGAGTCGATAAAAACAACATATAAGTAAAAACAACACTCTGTCGGCAACACGATGTATGAAACGTATTCAACGGTGAAATGATTTTTCAGACTGAAAAGAACTGAAAAGTAGATAATAAACACAAATTAAACGAATCAAAACTGAAAAAACTCATAGCACATGGAATTTCAAGTTTAATTTACAAATATGAATAAAGTATTTTACGGTTGCAGTTAAGTTTGTTACTTTTTTCACAAAGAAAAACCGAGAGATTAAAATATTAATCCACAAGAATGTTAAGAGCTTAATATAACAGAAGTAGACAACTAGATGCGTCAAAGTGCTCATCCGTTCTCTCTATCGGTGTCTGTTCTGTCAATTTTTAAAATTGAAGTACTAATTATTTTATTTATATCTCTATTTATTTAAAATTAAGTAATTTTTTTTATTATTCTGAACCTCTTTTGAATATTTTGTAAATTTTTTCCATAGAGAAAAGCTTAAAGATTAGTTCCGTAATCGCTATTTGAGGGTGTTTACTGTCTATCTTGTGTTTTGTATTTTTATCAAAAATAAGTTGTTTTTTTATGATTATCCGCTATATTGTTACTTTACTGTTCTGTTTAGTAACAACCCCTAATTAATGGATATTCCCATTATGTTTTGTATAAAATATCACTATGACTTCCCATTTTATAAATAAAAATGAGAACACAGAAAAAATAAAAGATAATACACTATTCTCTCACTATTTAAAAGTTAAAGGAATGCTAAAAAAATTTCGAGATTACAAGTTCACAATTAAATATGTTCTAAAAAGTAGGGAAATATATTCTAAAATATTACTCTAAAAAGTAGAGTCATAAAACATAAGAATAACTGCTATTAAATGTGTATATAATGATAGATGACTATAAGTCTAAATACATTAATTATATTTTTAAAGTAAGAAAAAAAGAAATTATGCATTAAGTAGAAAAAATCTGGTTTTCAATGAACTTATGTTTTGATTTTTCTGGAAAAATTCATTTTCTGTTTCGTAAAAAAATCGATATAGCAAAATTTTGAGAGGAAACCCTTTGACATAGGAATTCAAATTAACATTAGGTGGGTGGATATGTAATTTCAAAGAGAAAAATATTTTTTTGACATAAAAAGTTTTTCGAGAAATCAAGAGTATACTGTACTACAAATAAAGAAAAAAAATCAAAAGTAATTACCATACTCAAAACTAAAGAGTAATTTGTAATGACCATCTTAACGAATAAATACAAGTGGGTAATAATAATATTTTTTAATTAACAAAAATTGTATACTGAAATTCTAAATCATTCATCAACACTTTTTGTTAAGGACATGAATGTATAAATTATGAGGCAACCAATAAAACTACAATTAATGCAGTTTTTCTTCGGTTATTAAAAAAAATTAATAAAAGATTTTTTTAAATTAACACAGCTGTTAGTTTTTTTTGTATCTGTGTTATAATCATCACAATTTTACCAACTTTTCAAAGATGTAGTTTTAATTGATACAAAATATGTGCTTTTTGTCATCATATTGTAAAAACATTTTTCCACTTTTTTCTTATATTATTCAATTGAGAAAATGTATGACATTGAAATATCTTTAAACTTTGCCGAAAAAACAATCACAACACAAGTGAATGTTGTTTGTTTCCCTTAATAGAAAATGTATACTTGAGAATCATATCACTGAGCCAGGATGGCTCAGGAGATAGAGCGATCACCTTCCAATCAGATGAACTGGGTTTGAATCCCAGCGATGGCTGGTCAATACGAATTTCGCATACTACTCGCACCAACCACAGTACTGAGGTGAAATATCCACAGTGGTAGACAGATCATGGGTTAGGGTTCCTTGCCATCAGGCTACCCGTGGGAGGTTTTTGTGGTTTTCCTCTCCATGTAATGCAAAAGTGGGTTAGTTCCATCAAAAAGTCCTTCATGAAGACAAAATTTCTACTAATACTTGATCCAGGACTTTCCTTGTCTTCTGGATTGGGTTCAAAATTACAAGGCTACAGAGTTGAACATTGGTAGTCGTAAACCCAAAAAGTTGGGTTGGCTGTTCCACGACAGAAATAAAATCATATCACTTTTTGGGGAATTGTAAAAGATTTTTTCAATTTCACTAAAATATTTTCTATCAGTTACTATTATATATCTTGTTTTCCTTTCGTAATTACTTATTTGCAATAATATTTATCTATTATAGGTACTCTACTAATATCAATATGCCTGAACTTAGTGTGTTTCAGAAAATAAACGATGAAGTATGATTAATTTTTTTATATGTATATATTTATTATTGTTTTGAATGAAATTATATGCTCTGCCAACTGTACTAAATTTTAAAAAGATTATATCAACTTTCAATTTTTTTTAAAAACTGTATAATATAAACTGTGTTCATATTTTTTATCTATATTTTAATTGTATAAATATTAAATATATGTTATTTAAAAAAATTAAACTTATGATCAAGAAAGTTATTTACTATAATGAATTTATAGAATTTAGTGTTGATATCTTATTGACAAATTATCTATAATGAATGTAAATTATAATTCCCAAATAAAAATTTTATTAGAAAAAAGTTTTCGTCAATGACACAATAATTTTTTCACCTTAATAAAATCTACATTCTTTCCAATAAAATTAGAGAACGTTAAATTCTGGTTCTTTAATCGTTTTGAAGCACGAAATAAGCTTAAAATTGGATTTCTTACAGGTTTTTAAATATATTTAAAAAAGTATAAAAACTGCTTTATTTTGACTTTTTGAATTTAAAAAAAATTCTGCTAAACTGAGGCACATTTCTTGATTTAAAAAAATATACAAAATACCATTGTATAATCAAGAAATTAAGAATAAGTTTAAAAATACTTAATTGAAAGTCAATATCCATAATAAATCCAAAAAAAATTATTACATCATTTTAACAAAATATTTTCCATTGTTAAAAGTAGTCTTGACCCAAATAAAAAGACATTGCAATCAATATTCATTAAACTTTCAACATTTCTTGTGTAGGATTTTTAATTCAAAAAATACATTGTTTGTTTAGGAATTTTAGTAGTGACTGTTAAATACGAGGAGATGATCCCGGGGTTCAAATCATTACCAAACGGCTTTAACAGGATATATTTAATAACAAAACACGGATGATGCTCATGATACAGTGGCATGGAGGAAACTAATTACAATTAATGATTTTACATTACTGTGCAGAGCGTCATCTATTGAGTTTTAGAAATCATTATTTATATGGAGAAATATTAACTCTTCCCCCCGATTAACTCTTAGCTCATAACAAAATCATTACAAAATATTAACCAAAAAGAAATATATAATCCTACCTTTATACAATAGTTTTTGGAAAACCTTGGGAGAGCCTTCTGGCATCCTGTCTTTCGAAAAATCGTCCTAGAGCTATCGGTGTTTCATCTTTCCGATTGTTGATGGGGCATGATTACTTACTCTCCTAACTGTACTCTATGTGCAAATAGGGTCCATATGAATGGCGGGCATCCTGCTCTGTCTTCCAGGAGGTACATAATTCTTCTAGTTTCAAGATTTTCTCCGCCCCTAGAGATATTTCTTTGTTATATTGGACTGCAAGACTTCTCATGCCTGGGAGAGCAAATGATGGGCGTAATTAAAAAAGAAAAGAAAGAAAAACCTTTTTATAATATAAGCCATTCTTAATTATATAAAGATTATAATTTAATAATATTAATCGAACTCATAAAATAATATGTTTTATCAGTATTAGTTCAAACCTTTAACAAATTATTGCCTTATAAATGAAATTATTGAAATTTAAATAAATATCAATTGATAAAATTAAATTACCATGCCATGAATAATAAATCAAACAAGTTTCATATGCAAAATATTTCCATTTTAAACAAACAAGTATTTAAACAAGAAAAATATGTATGTATGCATATTTTCTTTAAATCAAAAAATTCAAATAATATCTTAGAATAAACTTAATTCGTAAATTTAATGTTTATCTTAAGCAATATTGTAAAATAAAATGTTCAAATAATATTAAATATGTATTACTGTTGTAAAAGCAAATATACCTCAAGCAATACCTGATAATTTTTCTGACCTGAAAGTGAGAATATTAAGCGCCCACTTAATGATTGATGAAGGCAACCAACGTCTCATAACGAAAATGCGTGATAGAAATTGAAGCAGCTCATGATCTGAAAGATGAATTATTAAAAAATTATGCATGGAGCGATATTTTTATTTGTCCCTTTTTTTTTCTTCCTTTTTTTTGTAAATTGTTATTTTTCTTCCTACATATCAGTAATAAGTGTACTCTCATCATATTCAACAAATCTAAATAAAAAGTCTAATTATTGTATCAGAGGATACCTGATAAAATAAATTTTGGAAATAGAATGTTAGCATATTTATTATAACCAGTTATCCATATTATATTATATTGATCTCCAATTGTTTTCATCATGTACTTATTTTCACTGAATAAAATTTTCTTTCATGTAATTTTAGATGTATTCTCAACTGGTCTCCATTTGCTTTGACTCACTTTCTCAAAAAATACAGGTAAATTTTTTTTTACATATAAATATAGTTATACTTGTTTGTAAGGTATTTTCATAAAAAAAGAAAGAAATAGTCTTAAATTGTAAAACTTTTTCAGTAGGTATTCTAGATTTTGTTAAAAACAAATTTAATAAGTGTATTACAGTTGACATGCAGATGTTTCTATTTGTTATATCATTCAGTTGTTTAGTTATACTTGTTGAAATTTAGCTCAGATATTAATAGACTTAAACATTAATCAAGTTAAATCTAATTTATCTTTAAAAAAAAAAAGACTTTTTTTTTCAGAAGGCTTATTTTCTAAAAAAAGTGTAGCATATTTCATGTCTGATGAAAGTTATTTCTAAGCGAATGAGTTTGATGTTTAAGAACTCTTGTAAACTTTTTTTTTTAGAAGAGGGAAGTTGGCAATCTTGTAAACTTTTTTAATTGGAGAAAAGTTGAAACCTAAATGTCTTAAAAGCGTTAGTTTTAATAGTATTGAAATGAGTGACAAAATGGTAATGAGAATATAAACTACTTTCACGGGAAAACTTTTTCAATAGGGGATATCTTAAACAAGTTTCACTATATTTCATTGTTTGCATTTATAGTTTCTCATGAAATAATTTAATCTTTCTCGTGAAATAAGTTATGTGATTACTTTGTGTTTTATCTCATTTTTTTTTTTATTTTTTTAGTTATGGTATTAAGAATTTCTTGACATTTATTTTTAATTGACGATTTCTAAATTCATAGATTCTCTTAACTTTCTAATAAATTCGTCTAAATTCATAGATTTTCCTTTCTTTTTATGTTCATAAGGTTTCATAAATATATTCACTTTTATTATTGTTTATTTCCTCTTTCTCTTTCTTTTTGTCTATTTAAGTTAAATTAAGTATGAATTTTCTCTTAAGTTTGGTGCAGTATATTTGAAGTGTACTAGTTTTTTCTCCTAAAAATATGTTATACCTAAAATTTCAATGCATATTATTTAAAATCTATTAAACATCTTTTAGTATATTGTACCCAAAATGAAATATATACAGTTTTTTTAATCCGCATAAAAAACTTTTTTTATAGAGAAAAAAAATTTCTTTCTCTTAAAAATTGAGTTAATAAACTATGGTGCAGTCAGCCTTGGTTAAAAGAATACTATTTTTCCAGCCAATTGTATTAAGTAATAAGAGTACATTCAAACATAAATTTGATATTTTAAAGAATTTTACTTGTGTGAACTTTTAACTATAATAGTTTTATTTAAAAAACAAATGCTGTAAATGTAAAAAATTGTAAGCGAAGTGTTTTTACTTATCAATATTAATGTAAATTATTTTAATTTTTGCAAACCTATTTAATGTGATTTAACTAAGAAATAAAGACAAGGCAAATGTATAAAACAATTTTTTTTTTCTAGTTTTGTAAGTGTTATGTTTGAAGTTATAGAATTCTTTAGTTGTTCATTTTCTGTTGATTTTATATTTATTTAAAATTAATATTGGACATAAGTATTCACTTGCAAAACTAGAATTTGTTAGAAAAATAATATTTAAGCAAATGGTTGGAGTGATATTTTTCTTAGCTCCAAATTCAGTTTTCATTCGCTCAATGGGGTAACGAAACCATAGTTATTACAGTCTGTAATACGTATTCGTATCACATTTTGATCCATTTGTTGTGTTTCTTCTGAACATCGAGACATTTTGCATATTGGCTATTAAAGTGTTAAATTCACGTGGGTATTACATATTTACCTCAAGTAGCATTACATATAACTGTTCTTAATAATTTTAAATGAAATTGTATTGAATTAGTGTCTCTTATAAAAGTTTCTCTTGTTTCTTTTAGCCATCAGAGGTTTTCTCTCGTTACAAGACAGTCTGTAAAAATTCAGATATAGAGTTTTCAGATTTGGAACCTTCCTTGAAATCATTTTTACATCTTTGTAAAGGTATTATTGTATAATTTTTACTCAGTTTGCTTTCTCAAGTATATGTTATTTATTTGTTAACAATTTAAAATAACTAAATTTTTCTAGTGCTAATAAAGTTTTTTTTTTAAATAGAGAAGCAAGTGAATTTTAATTTTGTAGTAATTTAGTGAATAAAAGAAAGTATTATGTTTAAAATGAATGTTTTTCCATGTTTATCTAATCTTTATTTTGTAAACTATCAGTTTTGTAAGTAATCAGTTTTTGAAATTAACACACAAAGCCGACTCTCTCTTTAGCTCTTGCATTTGGACTGACTTTTTTTTTAACTGAATAATGTTATGTGCATACTTAATATGTACTTATACTTAATTATGTATTTAATAATACATTAAAATAACTAATTAAAATAACTAATATTAAAATTTTATATTTAGTATTAAGTTCAATTTCTAACATATTTTCCTTTTAATTATGTATCTCTATTGAGCTTCGATNTTATAGCTGACACAAGAGCACAGTAATTGTTGTTTCCTCTTAGTATATTGCGTATAACATGTACAGGGAATTTTTTTTCCAGATTTGAGTGGCAACCCTGAATATGTACTTATACTTAATTATGTATTTAATAATACATAATATTTAAAATAACTGCTATTTAAATTTTATATTTAGTATTAAGTTCAATTTCTAACGTATTTTCCTTTTAATTATGTATCTCTATTGAGCTTTGATTTGTTTAGTAATGTGAGAAAAATTGTATTTACATTCTTTAGATGCTCTCAAAAGTGGAAAATCTGCTGCTCAAATGCATGATGACCTCCAAAATCTAGGTAAAGCTACCATATTTATGTTATGTTGCATATTAATGTAACTAACTATATTATATAATGTGTGTACTACTTTCTGTTCTGCTAATTTTGTAAATTTGAAACTCTTTGAGAGGTATAACTATAACTAATATTTACATGATTAAGAAATTAATACATTAATTATGCCTATTGTATGTGACGGAAGTCATAAATCAGCCTGCATAAACCCTTTAAATTGTTTTATGCATTAATTAAGAAAAGTTTTTTCTTTTTTAATTTGATTTAATTTAATTTTTAATAATATTTAAAGGCATATAAATTAATGTCTTTTCATTTTTCTTCAAAACTACATTGGAACATTAAAATGTTACAAAATTAAAACTATGTACAATGCCAGGTAAAACTTAATTGTTATTTTCATAACTAGTTATTTTCATGTTCTGTTGTCATCTTTCCTAGCTTAGATGTTCTAAGTTAAAGTCCTCATAATTTAATATTTTGTGTTGTTATGTTTACAGTAATTCAGTAATTTTAAGGTACAGTTATATAATGTTGCTATATTAAGTTATATTTACAAAGAATAGTTTTCTTTTATTCAGAGCTTTCTTTTGTTTCAGGCATGAATAATGAACAAATTGAAATCTTTGTCAAACAGGTAATTATTAAAAAAAAAATTAAACATTATCATATATTAGTTCACCTGCTGTCTTCAAATATTAGAAAATACTGTTATTGTGAGTTTATTTTATTTATTTCATTTTATTTTTTTCAGTGGGATGATGTACGTTCCTCTTTAATACATTCTTCAACAGCTGAAACAATACCCATTAATCCTTTAGTTGATATGGAATGGAAATTTGGAGGTAAGTTATTTTATCTGCAATACAGAGTGGTAAATGTCGCGTTCATAAACTGTATAACTCTCCTTATCTTCGTCTCATAACTCTCCAATAATTTTCATTAATAGCCAAAATGACCGAATTATTTCTTCTTTTGCTTACAGATAGCATAATTATAATATATGCCTTACATAATATGTTCACAAAATCTATGACATTTCTTTTCCCATTTTGACATTGAAGAGTTGAAACAAACAGAACTATGAGCTGGACAGAAATGAAAATTAAAAATGAACTGTTTTAACTACTCTTTTTAATATATGCAGTTTGCATAAAAAAATATGTGCCTGATGGACACAATCAACAAAGAAGAGTATTATATGTTACTCTTTCTTCGAGGAAGTTGTTTTATCCTGTTTGTGCTGTATCTTCAAACTCTCAATTTTATTAAGACAAGAGAGCTTTATAAATTTTCTTGATAGCTTACTGTTATGCTCTACAAGTCAACGTTAAATTTTGTTTTAACCCAAGAATACTACCACCACTTTTTCCTGATTTGTTACTTTATTTATTTCATTCCCTTACATTTTTGTTTGGTTTTAAAAATGCTGTTTCCAAGCACAAGATTTTAAAATTGTAAATTATCTGTTGCATATTTGAAACCTTATTTTTTTACAGTGCCAACATTTATACAAAAGTAGATAAAAGTAAATTATCCATTAAGAAGAGCAGAATGTGAGGAGCGTGATCCCTTATCTCTTTTATTATGTTTACTCTCTTATTTGAATGGTTCTGTAATTTGTTGCTTTCAAAATTAGATCTTTCCATTTTTAGTTACTTCTGCAAGTAGCCAAGTCAATTCAATTGGTAATGTCTACCTTCAGATGAAGCTAGAAGTTGATCAAGGAAATGGCAGAACCAAATCTGTTTTCTTTGGTGAGATTAGTTTTGTGCTTTTAAAGTCTAATGCTGTTTTTTTTTTATTTTTAATTTTCTTTTTTGTTGCAATCTTTTATAGTTTCTGAAAGTATTGATATTTTTTTAATCTAAGTGAGGCCATAAATGTTAAAGGTAGTTAAAACTTATAATAATATAGTTTTAATAATGCAATTGTCAAGCATCAGATAAATATACATTCTATTTAAAGAAATTTTGGTTATTACTAGCTAGATTAAAAAAAAAAAATAGAAGAAAAGAAATATTTAAGCAAGTATTTTCAAAATATTAAACATTTCTTTAGTTTTTTTTTTTCCTTGTTCTTTTTTTTCCTGTTGTATATGATTTTATCTGATCATTGATCTTATTTTCTATTTTAAAAAAAATGATATCCAAGAAGATAATTTCCATTTAAAGGCTGATCCCGTGGAATCAGAAATCAAATCTTTAAGGAAAAGGGTTATGAGTTAAAGGAAATATTTTGGAAAATTTAGTAAAGTAAAAGAGTGTTTATCTAATTTTGTTTTATGATTCCAGTTTTAATAAATTTGTTAAATAAAAATCTTGTTTTTGAATTCTTTAATTTTATTGTATTGTTATAATTTTCATCTTTTTTCAGAACTGCAACTTTCAGAATTTTATGCATTTTTGCATGAGATGGAGAGAGCAAGAGCCAGTTTAGATTACTTGAGCTAATGTTTGAAGATGCATTTTTATATTTGAAAAAAATAATAATTTAAAATGTGTATAATTGATGTTGTTATAGTTTTTGTATGTGATTGATTTGTTGATAGTTTGTAAATAAATTTTTGATTATATTTTATAAGTAAAATTTATATTTCTATTTTCTTTTAATCATTATCAAATAAAAGATAACTTAAAATTTCTGTCATTTAATATTCTTGAAGAAAAAAAAAGGGAGGGAAACATTCCGTATCATTTAGCAACAAAAAAAAAATCTTACTATCTCAAGAACTTCTCCAGACTGAAAGTCTGAGGTCATCTACCCGTTTGTAATGGGAGCAAAGAGAAATGGCATATATGTTTTCTAGTTATTTAATTTACACACAGTATGGGGTTGTTACTATTTGTTTATCTTGTACTGTTTTTAAGGACCAATATAATAATAATTTAAGTATTGTATACTTTTCATTTTCTCTGTTAATCTACATCAAAAACTCCACTTCCCTAATTAAAAGTGGCTTGCCCTCATAAACACCAGCGTACACTTGAGCTGTCTATTGAAGTTCTTGTGATAGCAAGACAGTACATTATTACAAAATTAATTCAATGCACTCATATTGTTTACAAAAAAAAAAGGGTTGTGCGTATACAGTTCTGTTGTCTAAAGGAGCTCTTGTGATAGCAGAACATATTGTTACGAAATATATTCAATACATATACAGTGAAGCCTCCTGGAAAGACCACCTCTGTGTGGCGACCTCTATTTGTGACCATTTTTGGGAGGCACAGAATTTTTTTCACTGACTTCGTCTTGAAGAAAACCTTCAGGAGGGACCATCAAAACCTCCCTCAGCGACCTGGTAATCCTCTGCACCAAATGTGGAGAAGGTCAAATAATAAAAAACGAAAAATATTAACAATACAATTAACTAGATTGAAATGTATTCCAAATAATTTAGAAACCTCTTTTGACGATTTCTGATGGAGATAGACAACCTCATGTTGCAGTCATAGTGTTATCTATAATTTATTACTGGAGTGTTATTAATAATTAAAGACGATGTTATCTATAATTTATTTTTGTAGTTGAAAAAACTGAGCATCTCAAACAAACACACCTCTTCTCATTTTTTAAAGCTAACTAATGTTTGTGATATAAAACTAAATGCAAACTGAAGAAACATAATTGTTTATTTATTTAAAATAATTCTATTATTAATAGGTGTTAAATTTGTTTTTACTCATAATTATATCATTTTTATTGACGCTAAATTCTACTAATCGATTCGGTTTTCGTGACGCCATAACACAGGGATTCTCAACCTTTTTTTTGTTGCGGCACACTTTTAACGATTTCAAAATTTGACGGCACACAATGAAATTAGATTAAAAGTTGTTTAATTACCTATTTTACACTGTGTTAAATAGTTTGTGATAATAATTTTGAATGTGAAATAAAATAATATGTACTACAAAAGCACATTTATTAAGGGATTAATTATTTCTTTCGATCAACTTTTTATTAGTTAGTAACAGTTATTTATTTTTTTGCTAATTATTAATTGTTAGCTTAATTTTTGCTAGTTATCCTTTGTTAATTTGTTTTTAATATATTTGTTTTTTTTAGTTATCCTTCGTTAATTTGTTTATTAATTGCATAACTTACTTTAATGATTAGCTCTTACAACAGATTAAGATTGTCAGAGACAAGACAATCACCGACAAAGATGTTCACACGGTTAAAGCGTGGAAAAATTATAAAAAATAAATATATAATATGTACACTTTTCTTTAATTTAAACTTTACTCATAATGAAAAAAAAGCATTATAATTTTTATTGTATCATTTCTAATATTTGGCGGCTCATTTTAAGAATTTGGCGGCACATTGGTTGAGAATCACTGCCATAACAAGTGGCATTTCTGCACTAAGAAAATGACATTGAGTAATATTAAAATTGCTTGCGAAAAACCATGCACCTTCAATAACATTTTGAAGGCAGTGAACGTAACCCCTAAGAATGATTAACCTACATTAACGACCATTTTACCTATGGAGCAGAGATTGATTTCTCGTCTTGAGGTTTCACAGTATATTGTTTCAAAAAAGGTGCATACGTAATTTGTGAAGAATAGAAATAAGTCAAAAATATTTCATAGTTATAATTTAAACAATGTTTTCTTCCTGCTGAAAAAGGAACTGGAAAAACAGCTTATCTAATTGATTACTTGTAATTTAAATATTTCATTACATTACTTAATTTTTAACGTATTCTGAATAGTTTGATAGCTATATTGTAAGTTTTTTTTATTATTTAGTTTACTAAACATTTTAATATGAAAAAATAGTAAAAATACGGTAGTTTCTTATTTTTTTTTTTTTTTTTAAGTACTTGATCTTCCTGACATTCTAAATTTTTTTTTTATCATTTCCTAGACAGTTGTGTGTGTTATTTTCAGGACTGCAGTCCATTCTAGGCATCAGCCCTGAAAGGGTAGCAGAAAATATTATATTTTGTTGTAAATAAATAGAATTTTTTTACCTAAAATACATCAAATTTTCATTTACGCACTAAGTTAAATTTAATTATAATTTATTCTTAAATACCAATTCTTAAGAGGTAAGAAGCGACCCATACGTTAATGCTTTGTTGTGCATAATTTGTATTTATTACTTAATTTATATAAACTTAAACCAAGGCTGATGGGAGAGAATGTTGTAAGGATGTAGAAAAAGGTCTGCCAATTTGTAATGTATGTGATACAGCTAGAAATTCATTGTTATGGGAGTCCTTTAAAGTAGTTTCTTTTTATTACAGACATTTCGTTTTGATGCTTTTAAGAAATTTTAAAAAGTTCACGACGTGGCCATACTCCTGTTTCTTTAATATGAACGCAGAAAATCTCGTGTTTTTGGCAAATAAATGCTATTTTGAAAATAATCTTCAAATAGTACTTCTCGTCATATATATTAATTTTTAAAAATATGAGGCTCAAATTCTAATATGAAACCAGTTTTAAAAGAATCCCGTTATTTTACTCAGAAACACATAAATTAAAACTATTATTAAAACAAACACTTTGGGAAATCTTTAAATTGTTTTGAATTACGAGAATCTTTTAAAGCTTGTTTTACATTAAAATTTCCGCGTCATATTTCCTGTAAATGCCCATATATGATGAGAAGTATTTAAAGATTATTTTTAAAATAGTATTACTTTGTTCAAAACAAACAATTTCCAGACTACATATTGAAGAAAAAGTAAGGTCACTTAGCGAATTTTTTGAAAAGCGTTATTCTTTTAAAACCTGTTTCATGTTAAAATATGGGTGCCATAATTTTTTTTAAATACTCATTCATATTTAAAAATACTTACAATAATATTTTTAAAATAAATTTATTTTCTCTGAAACTTATAATCTCCAAAATTTTTAAAACGGACACTTTACGAAATTGTTTTTGAACAACGGTATTCTTTTAAAACTGATTTCATATTAAAATTTGAGCGTCATATTTTTTGGAAATGCACATATGTTACGCAAAGTATTTCAAGGTGATTTTTAAAATAGTATTAATTGCCCAAAAGAAACAATTTCCAGCATGCATGTTAAAGAAACAGTAGTAAGGAGAAATCAATAATTTTTAAAAATTTCTTGTAAAGCTTTTTTATTATTAAAAAATTGGTAAACATATGATGCTCAAATTTTAATGGGAAACCAGCTTTAAAAGAATCGTTATTTACTCCGAAACGCATAATTGCCATCTATTATTTTTAAACTGACGCTTTAGGAAATTTTTCAATTTTTTTTAATAGCGGGAATCTTTTAAAATTGGTTTCATATTTAAAATTTGCGTGTCATATTTTCTGAAAATACCCGTATATGACGAGAAGTATTTAAAGATTATTTTTAAAGCAGTATTCATTTGTCCGAAAACAGTTAAAAACGACAGTCTGCGAATTTTTAAAAATGTGTTGGAGCGCGTCATTAAGTTGTTTCTTGTTAAAACATGGGTGTCGTAATTTATTTAAATACCCATTGATATTTAAAAATACTTCAAATAATATTTTTTTAAATAGATTTATTTACTCCGAAACGGGTGCGGGTGGCGGGTCCAGTGTGCGGGTGGGTGACCACTTGGATCAGCCTGCGTAGGGACCGAGGGTGAGCGGTATTGGTCCTCGTTAAACTGTTCTACCGTAAAGTGCTCGACTTCGCGTGCAGGTCGNCTATAATTTTGTAACGTAAAATTTTCGGTAAAACGCTAGCATGTGAACTGAAAACATATCAAATACAATAGTTTAAAAGACCGTCGCCAATAGCCCATTGTGCAGCTCTAGTGCGACGTAAATGAACAACAACGAAACAAGTAGTTTCCAACTATTTTTTAAGCGGACTGTTTCTGAAATTTGTAATTTTTTTTGAATATCGGGATTCTTTTAACACTGATTTAATAATAAAATTTGAGTGTCATATTTTCTGGAAATGCTCATATGTTACGAGAAGTATTTAAAGATTATTTTTAAAATAGTATTAATTTGTCCAAAACACCCAGTTTCCAGCTTACATATTGAAGAAACGTATGGACAATTTGCGAATTTTTTAAAATTTCTTGAAAAGCGTCATTTTTTCAAAACTTGTTTTGCACAAAAACAGGGCTGTCCGATAATTTTTTAAATATTTAAATAGACATACTATTTCTTCATTGTGTAAGCTGCGTATTGTGGACAAAATAATTGCATATTTTGGACAAAATAATCATGTAATAAGTCTTCTCATATATGGGCTTTTCGAGAAAATATGACAATCATATTTTAACATGAAACCAGCTTTAAAAGAATCCTGCTATTCAAAGAATTTTAAAGTTTTCGTTTTAATAATACTTGAAAATTATGTGTTTTGGGAGAAAATAAATCTGTTTTAAAAATATTTAAATTATTTTTGACCATGAAGGATGTTTAAATAAAATACGACACCCTTGTTTTAACATAGAGCGAGTTTAAAAAAGAAAGACGCTTTTAAGAAATTAAAAATAATAATAATAATCCTTACTACTTGTTTCTTCAATATGCACCCTAAAAATCGTGTGTGTTCGGACAAATGAAACTATTTTAAAATTAATCTTGAAATACTTCTCCTCATAGGTAGGCTTTTTAAGAAAATATGACGTTCAAATTTGAATATAAAACCAGTATTAAGAAAATCCAGCTTTTCAAAACAATTTAAAAATTTCATAAAGTGTCCTTTTAATAATAGCTGCATGGACATGGTTTATTTGGAGTAAATAAATCAATTTCAAAAATATTCTTTTAAATATTTTTACACGTAATTGGTCATTTTAAGAAAATTTGAATACATCTTCTCATGAAACCAGTTTTAAAAGAATATCGTTTTTTTAATAAATTCTAAAAAATATTCGCAAATCGACCTTACTACTGTTTCTTTAGTGTGTACGCTGGAAATTGTTTGATTTGGACAAAGTAATATAATTTTAAAAGTAATCTTGAAATACTTCCCATCACTTTTTGGCATTTCCAGAAAATATGATACCCAAATTTTAATGTGAAACCAGTTTTAATAGAATCCACTTCTCAAAAAATTTCACAAATTATACGTTATAATAATTTACTTGGAAATTGTTTGTTTCGGAGTAATTAAACCAATTTTAAAAATATTATTTTGAGTATTTTTAAATACGATTGTGCCTTGAAGTAAAATACAACACCCATGTTCTAACATGAAACCAGCTGTAAAAGAATCACTCTTTTCAAGAAATTTTAAAAATTTGCTAAGTGTAATTCCTATCGTTTCTTTAATACTTAATATAATATTTGATAATCTTTAATAATTTCATTAATTTATGCCCAGATGGGTTTTATATGGATTTGCTCGTTTTGAAAAAATTAATACCCATTTTCGCAATAATCTTGAAATGCTTCTTACATAAAGGGGAACTGAAGCAGGCGGATCACTTATTTAATGCCCCATTATGAAATAAGATTTGCTTGAGTTAGTATGCCTGCGTAGCGTATCCAATATTCAAAAAACTAAAGGTTCCAAAAATAATAATAAATAAATAAATTAAAATTACGAAATAACTCGAAGGTAGATAGTGACCAGATGGGTTGAATTTTAATTTTATAGTATTTTGACATTTTTAATTTTGAAAATGTTTCGAGTTTTGCTTTCTTTTTCGACAATAACATCTAACGTTAAAAATAAGTATTCAAGAACAACACAATTTTTCTTTCAAATTGAAGCTTCTAATTTTTTTAGGGAGATTTTTCTATATCTGGTAAAATTATTTAAAAAAACGCACTTTTACTTTTTATCTTTTGAAAAATAAACGTGATTGGCAGCTTCTTTTAATTTCATTTTTATTCTGGGATAATGATTTCATTTTCCTTTTGTTCCTGGGAACTATGTTATGGATTTCGCTTTTACCACACATGAAAAGTGTAATCCCGTACTTTTTTCGACAAGTTTTTTAGTTGATGAACAGTTAATTGTGGAAGCGGTGAGTGCTAGTTAAATCTTCCGAAGCAATTTGGAGCTGCATTAATTAATTTGTGAAAGCAAGGATTTTTTTTTCCTTCCCAAATTTGCATAAAATACATAATGCCATTTATTTTATAATCAATTGTATGAGATTGATGAAAAAGAGAGCCACACAGTGGAGATTGAAAAGTCTATTATGTTAGGCAGATCTGAAGTAGGAGCACCGTCAATGCAAAGGCCTTGAGGCACATTAATTAGTTTCCGCACGTGGATCGTGTAAAATAAATTTTCTAGAACAGAAATATTTTTTTCCTCATCGTTATTTATTATAGTAATTTAAAGAAAGAAAGACGGTTAGGACGCAAATATAAGTTGAAAATATAGAGAAAACAGGCAAAATATCTAAGATTAATGAAAAGAGAAGAAGAAAAATTATTATTAAACTAAAGTATTATATTTTAAAGAATATATATTGAAAAGAATGAAAACAAAAAAATTAAGAGATATAATCTCTTCATCAGCTCATACTATTATATCAGCAAAAAGGAGTGCTTTCTAATATTTTATCAATACAGCCAAAGCAAAATATATCAGTACAATAGTGATTATCTTAATTTTATTACTTATTAATTTTTCTCGTTTTTCTCCATCCTTTTTGTAATGTATGTATGTAAGTGTGTGTGTGTGATGTTAGCAATCATGGTCGAATGTTTAGCCAAGCAGACAACAGTTGGAAGGAAGAAATATTTTTATTGAGCTTCACATCGTGTATTCAGATCACTTTCTAGCATTGGCGGAACTCAAATGGCGCTCCAAAATCTGTGTGCTTTAGTTTTTATCCTAGGGAAAGTGGCATGTGTATTTCCCTCTATTTTATTAGATCTTAGGGGAAAAGGGAAACATTAATAATTACAATTGGTTTATTAAATACGTCGTGCGATTCCCTCAAAGAGCAAAGGGGAAAATGTTTTACTTTAATTAATGCATACTTGAACAAAAAAATAGATTAATAGACAGGATGCGAATTTTAAAGTGTGAGAAAGAGTGTTTCGTTTTGAATAATAAATTAGGAAAAGGATTTACAGAAAAGGAATAACATAAAAAGATCCATATACTTTAAGAATTAGGTTCTGACTCTAAAGTTAAAATAATAAAAATATAATGTAACCGATAAAACCACACAAAAATTTTAATTCTTTAAAATAATTGATTTTAACGTTTTTTTTTTCCATTCCTTCTTTTATTTATTTATTTTTTTTTCCCAGTTTGATATTTATAGTATAGCGGATTTCAAATCTACATTGGTCAAAAACAAAGTTGCTTCGGGGATTTTAAATTTGTTAGTTAATGTTAATAGAATAAGAAAATATTTTTATTATTAATAAAAAATTGTTATTTAAAAATTTCATTACATTATTCAATTTTATTAAATTTTTATGCTTTTATATTATTTGTAGAATTTAATATTTTTTCATTGTCTCTAACTTCGATAAATATTAAAAACTAAATACATTTTCTCAATTGATATATCTAATTTTTGCGTATCTTTCTGGAATTTTCGAATTGAAAAAACAATTATTTTTCTTATTTATTGCAAACAAAATAATTTTATATTTTTAAATACACTTGCAAGGAAACTATTGATAATTTAAATCAAGTTATGTGAAATTGATTCTGTGGAAATAGAATGCCAAGAAAACGAACACAGGAATGCGCAAAACAAGGGGGGGGGGAGTAAACATATAGATTTTTTCCCCTTGAAGAGTCATGTGATATTTGACATCATTTCCGTTTCTTCACCAACTTCCTCTTTCTCTCCTGTCTGTTTTGTTTGTAAATAAAGAAAGCAACTAAGCGAGAGGGGTTTTTTCTTCTAAAATGAATTAAATTACAATATATTTGCTTAAGGGGATATATTTGAAATTAAAGAGTGATTGAATTTAGGTATTTTTTTAGTTTGCATAATTGTCAATCTTCCTATATTAGAATTTCCTTTTTTAATTCGTATTTCCTCTCTGATAGTTCGTAACTTAGTAAAACTCTAGCACTATTGAAACCTTTGTCATGTACTGTATGTGTTTAAATTGGGGGCTTATAGATTTAAAATTAGTTTTTTTTTCTTCTTAAAATGAATGCAATAAAAAAATTAAACATTTTCATATTTTTTTTATAGTAAACTTTGAAAACTACCGACAATACTGTGAAAAATTAAGTTTAAAAATTAATTTTAGCTTAAAACGGATTTAAACGTGTAAATAAAAAAATTTGTAATACTGTATTTATTCATCTGATATTAATTTTTCGACTTAAATATTAATTACTAATAAATAGTAACAAATTTTTGACATACATTCAAAAGCACATGTTGCTTTTCTAGCAATAGCTATTAAATGAAATACTTCTTTGAATAGAAACAGAAATTTATGCTAGAATTATATGAGAAGGAAATAGAAAGCTATTAAAACATTTAAAGTACATGATAAAGCACTTTAAATGTTTCTGTTTTCCTTTTTCATATAATTGCCAAAAATAATTCATTTAAGTTAGTAAAAATAATTTCTTTTATAAATTTATATGTTACTTATATTTAAAAAACTAAATTTCAGGTTATAATATATTTTTTTCAATAACTACATGCAAGAATGTTGAAGCATCTACTTAAAGTGAGTAAAATATCTATTATTTCATTAAATTTTTATAAAACAAATTAAGAAGTGATCACTTATTTAATGNAAAAAAAAAAGTTATGTGGCTGAGAGGATATTAATATCAATATTGTTGGCACATTATTTTAGGCTATTAATGTCTACATCATAGGCACATCATTATTTTAAGTTGCTGTAATGCATAAAAGCAAAGGAGGAGTAAAATAATCTAACTGTTCAAGATTTTTCATCACTTTTGGATGGACTTTACAGAAATCTTATAATTTTCAGTGTATGCCAAAAAAAATTTATTCTTTAATACAGTAGATAGAAATTATTTTTTACTTAATTTGTTAAGACTTCTCTCAACTCAATCCAATATTATTCCAAAATAATGCTATAATTGTTTCCACAATATAAGTAAAATTGTTTCTTTTTTTCTTTTATTAGCCTCACACTTATATTTGAAAGTTAAAATTTTGTTTTAAAAAAATGAATTCTTGTTAAAAGGATAATTTTATTCACTGTTTCCCAAAAATATTTTTTAGAGAGTAATTCCATTCAATTAATTTTTTAGAAGTTAATTTTAAAATAAAGAATCAAATCAAATTTTAGAATAGAGATAAATACATTTGTGAAATACCACCATTTTATAACGTAGATTATATTATAACTAACATCGATAATTCAAAGTAAACACTATAAAATTATTGATTGAATATTTAAGCAAGAAATGTTCCACCTTATTTCCAGTTTTTTTTTCATTTTTTTTATACTATATTGTCAAATTTATTAGAAACAAAAATTAGTTATGAAAAGTATTGAATTATAAGTTTAATGCATATACTTATAATTCAATATCTTATAATTACAATTCAATTTTCAATCATTCAATTTACAATTCAATTCAATTTTACAATCATAATACTTATAATTACAATTCAATTTTCAAAAATTTACAGAATGTTCAAAACAATCTGAAAAGGACAACCCAAGTGCTTGTTCCTTAACAAAGTTTACTCTTCTAAATTTTATTCTACTTTTTAACCTCTTTTGCAACCTGCTGTAATTATTGGCAATGTTAGGGCAATATCAATTAATTTCCTGAATTTAAGATGCATCAGAGTTATATCATTGTCTTTACACTTACTAATATTAACAGAATTCTATTATCTTATACATTTGTGTTTATATTAATTAAATCTATAGACTTTTGAAGTGATAATTTTTCTTCAATGATACCAAAACACTTAGCTAGTAATTTTCCAAGGAATATTTTTACTTTTGGCAAAGTTTTTGAGAACTGAAACTCAAATCCAATGACTCAAGGTGTGGATTGGCGAATTCTGATTTTAAGGTTAAATCTTAATTACTTAAATGTAAAAAAATTGATATTTCAATTAATTATGATAAACTTACAGCGAAATCAAGTTTAAAAACTGAATGGTATATAAAAAATGCTTTTAAAAAGTAAAGAAAAATGTTCTTATATTTTTTCTCATTTTTTTAAGATATCTGATCTGTTATCTTGTATCTTATTGAATACTTTGAAAAGGTCTGATATGCTATCTATCTTCTCTTTTTTTTTTCACTGATTATTTATATAATTTTTTTCTTATGTTAATTTTGCTTTTAAGTGTATTCATATGTATTATCTTTATCAAATGTGCATATCCTGTTGAAAATAAGTATATTTTTATTAATTAAAAAGTGAATATTTTTATGAATTAAAAACAATTAGGTATAATTCTTACAATTACAGTCTAATTACACTTGGGGTATTTTCAGTTTCCATTGTCTTTTTGTAACTTAGCTTATTATTTCCATTATTTTTTTTTTTTCTTGTCTGAAAAATTGCACTTTTTTCTTTTATATTGGTTACTTCTTGTTTTTCCCACTAAAAAGTAGTCTCACTTTTTTTAAATCATAAAAATGAGAAAAACTTTTTTTTTTTTGGTGTAGTTTAGTTTTTTTATAATAACTAATAATCATAAAATGAATATAGACATCAATATAGTAGGTAAATTGAAAACTGCCAGAGCTAGGAAAAAATATTTTCAGTGAGTCTTTCTAATAATAAAATATTTGGAAAAATAAGAATTTACTCATTGTACATTGCATGTATTTTTAGATTTGCCTAGTAAGTTTGCTTACACCTGTTTATCAATAAATGTTGCTCTGGAAACAGGTGGCAAATGTTTAAAGATGATTTATGTTTATTGAGTATTTTCTGTTTCCTCTTTGCATTTGTTTCTTCTGAGAAAAATCTTTTTTTTTTTTTTGTTTTGTTTTTCCAAGCTAAATTTCTGTTTTTGATAAAATTTAACATTAATTTTGTCCATTAAATTGCAACAAAAGTCACCAATTTTGTTCACTATATCAGAGATAAATATTTTTTAAGCAATTTTGCAGTAAAGGTAAGACTTGAATTTATATGCTATATGCGAAATATCTTATTAAAAACAAGCGTGGATAATTTTATTTTTGTTGTAAGGAAAGCTGCAAAAACTTTTCTTATTGAAGAATTAATTTTTTAATATTGAAAAAATGAAATTTAATTTTAGTTATTCTTAGAATAATATTTTTAATATATTATCCATGTACTAGTTACGTTTGTAAGATTGAATATAATTCTTAGAGAATTAAAAATTTGTATTTAGATTCAAATATAATACTGTAGGAAATTTTTATAATGTAAATCCTGAAATATGAGCTTTTGCATTGTAAAGAATTTTGTGTTATGTAGATCATTTCTTTTATCATTAGGTAAACTTATTTTCCTAGCATGGCATTTGTGAAATAGATCAAAAATTTTGTTTTAAAATAATTTTTATTTTGCAGTCACTTTAAAACACAAAAATATGCACTACCTAATTTTATTTATTTTACATAAATTTAAATTATTAAGAAGATTGGAAACAAAATTCCACAAATTGATCAATTCGGTTGGCTTCAGAGATTAAGTCAATGTGGTTTGTGAAGAATTGTGGCTTATAGTTACATTATATAGATCTTCTATTCTATGATATTTCCTTAATGTTCAAGATATGTCATTGTCATATTCTCAATATTTTATTTCTCTCACAGAGAAAGTTAGACGTTATTGGCCGCAATATGTTACATACATTTACTATCCCAGAAGGAAAAACATTTATCAATGGCAAATGGGTATCAGCTAAATCTGGAAAGGAATTTGATGTTAGTATTATTTGTATTTTTTAATTTACACATTTTTAAGAAACTGAATAATGTGACTTATATTATATGTGCTCTAATATTAGCAAAATAAAAGGTTTATTAATATTTATTAAAAAAAGTATTGCTTAAAAGTTTGTTAATATGTATTATTTTGTAATAAATATTAATACGTTTTGTTAATTTTACTTTTTTTCACTCTTGTATAAATTGATCAAATGTATTATAACTTTAGAATGCTGTATTTTGTGGTAATTATCTAAAAATTTGCCATTTGACCTATTTAAAAATTTTCATACTGAAAATATTAATAAGTAAGTTAAAAGGCACACTTATACTCAAATTGCTAATCAATTTTCTGCCTACATTTTTAAAAATAATTATATGTAATAATGGTTATCAGAAAAATCTTTTAAGAGTATATTTTTTGAACAATACTTTTTATAAGTTTATTTTTCACTCATCTAATTTTACAGTACAGTACAAAGCAAAAGGAGAATTAATAATTAAGGATTTGAAATATGGAATTAAGGATTGTAATTTATTGATATTGTAATTTTCGAAATTTGATGTTGTTGTTTCTAATGACACTTGGATAAGTCTAGCTTGCCAGCCATTGGCCTTTTGCGAATTAACTCAGGAAGGTGCTCTTTTCGTTTGAAAAGAGTGCACCGCAAAGGTGAAAGTACATCTTAGTTCAAAACCCCATGCAGCATCACCTATTCATGTGGTTACTTCCTCAATTTAGACATTTCTGAAGGGGAAAGAAATTTTCTCCAAAAGTTTCGGCTCAGTGACTAACCACAAGACTTCGATTCCATGTATTTTACTGGCACAAATATCACATTCAAAATTTGTTACAAGCTTATATTTTATGGACTCATCTAATCAATATTAGTTTAAATTTCTTTATTACCACATATTAAAAATAGCAATTTAAAATATTTGAATTGAATATCTAATTTGAAGTTTTTGGATATATAAAAAAATTTATTCAGTAAAATATTAACTTTATTACTTTATTTAATACATTTAAACAGTTGTTTGTATAATTTAATTATGTTATTTATTTCATGTTTAATGTGAAAAAGTTTTGGATATAACTATTTTTCCATTCCTATTGATTGACCTAGTTAATTTACTTAATGCAAATGCCCTTGTTAATTTTAAAACAAAATAGGTTTTTAATCCTGCGAACGGAGAAGTTATTGCAAAGGTTCCTGATTGCAACACTTCTGATTTGGATGATGCAATTCATGGTGCTTCAGAAGCCTTCAAAACATGGAGCAACACTACTGCAAAGGTATTTTGTCATGCATTAATACAGTCAATTCAGTATAATTTGAAGTCAAATAACCCGATTTAATATAATAACTTCAGCTTTTAATCAAATTCTTTTCAACCTTTTATTTTTAATTCCAACCTATTCTCAATTACTCGAAGATAACCCTTTAGAACTCAGTATTTTTTTAAACACAGTAAGAATATTTCAAATATAATATATCATGCAGACCACAAGATGTCTAATTTATGCCGCACCTGTGTTGCCATACCTAATTATAGCGAATAAAATTTTAAATCTGTTTATTGTTGTAAGTGAAATGTGAAAATAGACTGTTCAATTTTTTTTTCTATATATAAATCTTCAGTCCCCATAAAACATATAAATCCTCTTCTTATAAATACCATATAAATTTTCAAGAATTAAGTTTTTGTCAATTAAGATCATTTGCTCAACTGTGCATCTTAGGATTTGTAGTGGTTGGAAGTAGCACTCTACAAGTAGCAAAACTATTGCTACTTTTTTGCAGTTTGTTGAATAGTATGCTACATTAAAAAAAAAGAAGCAGTGCAGTGAGTAGTGCAATACAAAAGAACAATAGCTTGTATCAATTCCTAGCAACTACTTTTAACAATTGGTAAAGAAACAAGGTTTAAATGGAGCTAGTTTTTTTAAAATCTTGTTGGTGCAAATCTTATGTAGATCTGTCAACAGATGTGATGAGAATGGCTACATTAATAAAAATTATGCATGATGCTCCAGAATAGCAAATCACATGTATAATTAGTTTAATACATGTTTCTGTTTTCATTATTGAAGATGGCAGCTGCTTTAAAGGTTCATGATGATAGTATTCTGCCTTGGCCAGTGTATAATACTTAGTTTGGTACAATCAAGAAATATGAAAATAAGATTTTTTTTAGCTGCATGTAAATTTTTCCCATGAAGTAAAAAACTGTTGGTTTCAAAGTCGCCAACCTCTGATTTGTTGTTGTTTATTTACGTCGCACTAGAGTTGCACAATGGAATATTGGCAACGGTCTGGTAAGCATCTCTGAGAATGATCCGAAGACAACACAATTTTGATCCTCTACTGAGGCGTGGCAACCCCGCTTCGGGAGCCCGACAATCTGTGCGCAAAGTCAAGCACTTTAGGGTAGAACAGTTTTACAAGGACAAATACTGCACACCCTCGGTCCCTTCGTAGACCGATCCAAGTGGTCACCTACCGCTTGACTTCTGTGTTATACTGGGAACCTTGTCTTAATGATCAGTTTACTACGGGACCAACCTCTAATTTGAATTACACCTTTTGAATTGCAATGTCTTCAAATGTGAATGTAGTACACTCATGAAATATTAAAAGAATATATGCATGTTATTACAATGGAGAAGAACATATTTTTCTTCATTAAAATTGTTGTAATTTATTTCTCATCTGGTTTATGTAAACATGAATCAATATATCTTAATTATTCAGCATGTTTGAATAATCTAATTTATTATTCAAAACCATTTCAAACATTAGTCTAAATTAAGTTCAACAGCAAAGTTTGTTTTCTAAAAGTAATTTGTAGTAACTGCATTTTTTTTAGAAAAAGGTGCTGTAGTTAACACATGTATTAAAGTAGTTCTTCTGATGCCAGGAGATTTGATATAATAGACAAAAATATGTCTTATTTTGTGTTATGGTATGAAATTCATACTTTATGTTGCACTTTTGTTGTGATACCCTTTTTCTGTATTAAGTTGTATTTATTGATTGATTAGAATGAAACAATAATAAAAATATTGTTTAATAATATATACTGGCACCATATAACTATATTGATGTATTACAGCTGCAAAATGTAGTTTCATTTAGTTTCTATGGCAAATTATAAAAAATATGAAGTCTATAAAATAATTATTGATATAAAATTTTAAAATATATGTTCAGACACACTGTAATATTATGCTAAAAATAGTATTGGTAAAAAAACATTAAAAAAAAACTGCTTGAACTCAAAAACAAATGTTACTCAATATTTATTGTTTTTATGTGCATTACATTAAAAAGTGATACCAATAATTTATAAATATTATTTATAAATATAACATCAAATAAAATTAATTTATCAATCAAATGTAAAATTGGTAATGAAAACATAATTACTTCATTATGATTTTCTACTGTTAACTAAAGAAAAAATATGTTAATTCAGCATAAAATACTCTTTTTATCTTGCAACATATAATGTTTATTTATGTCTTAATAGGAAAGGTCAGATGCTTTGAGAAGAATGTTTGATATTCTGAAAAAACATACTGACAGTTTAGCTAAATTGATGACTTTAGAGATGGTGAGTTTCCATTGTAATGAAAATTATTAACATGTTTGTTGAGTGTCTAAAGTCAGCCAGGCAAAAAATATGTATTCCTTAGTTCTAAGATTAACAAATTATTTTACTTAAAATGTTTTCAATGTATAATGTTATAGTTAAAACAGCTAAAAAAAGCAATGCATTAAAAAATTAGCTTACTTGCATAGATTTTCTGTGACTGTGATATTTATTTACTATTGATATTTAAATTGATGTATAATTATCATTGATATTTAAATAAATATAAATTATAAAAACTAAAACCGTTAACATTGTTGACCTGAGGGGTTAAGAAGGTTAAAGCTCCTCAATTTCATGACCAATTGCACAAGGGTAAGAAATGGTTGGCATTGCTGACCGACAGCCTTTACTTTCAAGACAATCTCTTACCTATCGATCTGGAGCTAGTGGGCTTCAAGCTGCCAGTGGAGATAGAACCATGGTTCTTCACACTGGCAGCTCAGTGCCTTAACAACTGTTCCATCCTGCCTCAATGTAAACTATTGTTGATACTAAGTTAATTAACATAACTTGCTCTTTTGTATTGTCTAATATTAGGTAATTCTTACTATTTCTGTTTTATTATTCTATTGTAAATACTATTATGCCTGACATTCTTTGAGCAATGAAATTTAAATGAAAATTTACTCATGGATTATTAATAGTGATATGTTACAGAGCCTAGAATGTTTATGACTATTGGAACTTTCCAAATATTTAAATCATACTTTGAATATTGACCAAGTGTTTGCTGGGTATAGACTTCCTTGGGTATTGCTCTAAGAAGCAAAAACTGATATAAGTTTATTTTATACAAATGCTACCCAGTAAATGAATATTGTTGATGCTAGACCGTCATGAAATCTATTTTAAATAAATAAAAATAATTAATTGTTCCAGTTTCTTTATTTTTAATGAAATAAAGGTAAAATATTGTATAAACTATAATATCTTTTATATCACTTCAGAGTAAGACTTATTTACAAATTGAATCACACAAAAAAATAACTACTGCTGTTAACACAAATCTTTCTGATATTTTACAACTGGAAGTTATTTAATGTGCCACAAATATATTTAATTCTATCTTCACCTATATAAATTGATGCAGTTATATTGTTGATTTTTACTCAATCTAGTTTTGTCTATCTAGTTTTGTCTACTGAATCTATTTTCTATCTTACATATTTGAATTCAAAAATTTCTAATGACCAAAAGTAGATAAATAAATTAAGTAAGGATTACAATAAAGACATTTTTCATTTGAATTTGCATGTAAGTTTATAATAATTCATATAGTAATGTTTTTTTCTGATCAATTGTCTGATTTAATTTAAAAAAATTTACTATCTGATTTAAAAAAAAAAAACAACAACTCAAANTCATTTGAATTTGCATGTAAGTTTATAATAATTCATATAGTAATGTTTTTTTCTGATCAATTGTCTGATTTAATTTTAAAAAATTTACTATCTGATTTCAAAAAAAAAAAAAAAAGCAACTCAAATACTACAATGTAGTAATTGAAAATTTTAACCCTCTGAACATGAAGCCCTAAATTATTTCGATGGAAGATATTAAAATTTGATTTAATTACATATTTTTTATAGCCTAAAATAATGATCATAGTCATAGTTTTATGGTATAAAAATAAATAAATAATTGAACTTTGTTTAAACAATAATCTACATTCTACTTATTAATATTTTTTTGTCTGAATTCATTTAGCTTTTATGTTTTAATAATATTTAGTAATGAGAATGTTATTAATTATAACTTATAAATATGAACAAGCTTATAAAACTATTGGCCCAGCTCTTATGCTTTCATAAACCACTTGTTAAAGTTTTTAATTATGTGTCGATGCTTTGGTATTACTTAATTGACCTAAGTTAATTATTAAAGGGCAAATCTATTAAGGAGGCAACAGGAGAAATTGGTTATGGAGCATCTTTTTTGGAATGGTTTTCAGAAGAAGCTAGACGTATTAATGGAGAAATTCTTCAATCGCCAGCTAAAAGTAAACAGCTGATGATAATAAGGCAACCAATTGGTGTAGCTGGTATTATAACACCTGTGAGTACTTTTCTTTGTGGCTATTTAATAATATTCATCTGTAAAATTTAGTTTTCAATAAAAAATTCAAAACTAAGTATACTCTAAGTATAAATCTAATAATTTTAAAAACATTGTACTAAAATAATTTTAATGAATTAAAATTTTTTTTATTCATAGATTTATTTTAAAATGGACTTCAATGCTGTTTGAATGTAAAAATCTTTATGGTATATATATATTTTTTGTGTGTATGATTTAAACTTGTTTACTATAATACCACCTTCTGCTCAAAAATAATAGAAACTATTTTGCTATAAAATTAATTAAAATTTGTAATATTATACTATTTTTAAGCAGTAATCAATAAACGTTTTCTACTCTAGACTATAATGTTAAATACGTTTATGAAAATTATTTTTACAACGGTGTTACTAAACATAATGGCTAAATAGTTGATTGATACAATCAATAAATGATACGATTGATAAATTTTATGTCAAATAAAATGTGTGAAATATCAAGACGAGCGCATTTCGTAACATTTTGCGATCAAAATATTCAAATGGGCCAATATTAAATGGGTTACTACACAAATATTAAATGGGTTGCTACACAATTTACACTTTAGTCACTTTGAGAATTATCTTTGATTAGCTTTTTGTGGTAACCTTATAGCTGCTATAATATAGCATGTTGCCAGAAGATGGAGTCACTAGCTATCCTACTAGCTATTTACTAGTCCGACCTCTTAATATCTATTAATTTACATTTCTTTGAAGTTTAAAGAAATTATCCCCTGTTTATTTTAACATAATTTCTGTGTCAACGATATTATGTAAATTATTCTTTGATATAAATATTGTGGGCAAACGAACCAGCTCTCTCATTTTTGTTTTATTCTTTCTCTTGTATTGGCAGCTTGTGTCATAGAGGAAACCATTGAACACATGTATATAAGTGATTCGCTGCTATGCCTGCTGTAAGATATATGTGCTTTGGTTAAGATGAAAAGAGCTAATGTGGTCAATTAACTTTCTAATGGGTGATTGAGCAGTGATGAAATTCTTTTAGCCATGTCTTACCACTCAGTGACTGTGAACTGTTTGGTAAAATTTAATGTTACTTATTCTTATTTCTGAAATTAATGATATTGGTTGCTGTCTTAGATTATTGTGTCTGCAAAATTAATATCATCTGCGGTTTCTACTACTAATAAATGCAAATCTTAAGTCTCAGAAGTTCCTTATTTTTTCTTATGTTATACTTTAACGTTTTCATCAGTGAAACTTACTAGAGTTCCTGTATCTAAAGAAAGTTATGACAAACATCTTCAAAATGGTCCAGATTAGAGTTGCAGAAGAGAAATGATAGTGGAATAAATTACCACACTTGTCGACGTTTCTTTTAAATTGACGTCTAATGCAGTTTCAAAATCATTTTAGCTGTATTGAGCTACATTTCGATTAAATTTCTTACCAGTCAAGAGACACGTAACTACAGCATAATTGTGCATTGATTAGTTGAGTTGATTCAGCTCTTCAAAAATAAAAATATAAACTTTATTTTTAGTTCTTTCAGCTAGCAAACTTATGTTTTTTTTTTGTTTAATTGTAACTATTTAGTTGACATATAATATTGTGAATAACTTGGTGAAATGTTAAGTTTAACTATCATACTCTTTAAAAGGCAATAATTTTGCAAAATATATGGATATTTAATGCTAATTTTTAATATGATATATATTAAACTCGTAGATATATATAATAAATTGATACTCTGAAGTTTGATTTTAATCAATAAACAAATCAACAAGCAAAGATTTATTTTAAAAGAAGGAAAAAGAATTTTAAAGATTTCATGTTGATTTTATACAGAAAGTTTTTGTTTCGTTTCTTTTTGATAAATTTTGGATCTCAGACAACCACAGATTGCTAACTTTATGTCCGAACTCTTTAAAGTGTGGGTAGACATAGGAACTCTTGTATAAGTTCTCTTATCTAAAAAATAAAACACGTTTAAATGCAATCCTGAATCTTTTTTTACTAATTAATAATCCAGGAATAGTTTAAAAATTTCCTTTTTATTTTGTTTCCTAGCATCAAAAGTTTTCTTAAGTAAGTTGCATTTCGCTTATTTCATTCATGTAAAATGCTAGTAAATGAACTTTGCGATTAATCATATTATTTTAATTAATCATATTATAGCTTATATTAGTTGGACAATAGTTTCCTTACTTTCATTTTCCCCACTTCTACAAAATAGTGTTTCATAATGTATCAAAACTTTTCACATTTATAATTTATTGATACCCATTTCCGAGTTTTAGAAAAAATTATTTTTATTATTCTGTGTTGTTTTTGCCATTGATAAACATCTTTCTGTTGTTGAGTGGAACACAGTCTCCATATTTTAATTGATTGAAAAGTAACGATTAATAATGTAATAACAATATTCAAAATTAAATCCATGCTTCAGTTCTTTAAGCTGCATAAAAATTTTTTTAAATTTTTATCATATCGTATTTTATTTTTTATTTATTTATTTTTTTGTTGTTGCAGCATTTAAAATTTTTTTGTTGTGTTGCTTTATTCCTCCTTAACTCCCTATTTTCTGTATTAAACACTTTTATATTAACTTTTTTTGCATAATATTTTACATAGAAATACCATGCATTACTTCAATATTTAAATCAATTACTTTAACCTTACAAAAATCCACTTATGACAAAAAGTTTTTACTTTGCTTTTAAATTCAATTGTTATTAATAGTAAGCTAACAAATGCTCAGTCAATTTAAATTAAATTTTACTAATTGAAGAATCTTGTAAAAAAATAGCTTATTATGTTTCTCTGTACATATTATGTATTAAAGAAAACAAAAATATTATTAACAAAACAAAAAGATAATTAACAAAACAGAGAGTGTGAGAGAGAAAACTAAACAAGAAGACTATATATTATTTACATATCATTCATGTTGTACCAAAGAAGAAATGAAAAATTTATTGATAACATATTTTTCATTATTGTGTATTCTTAAGTATGCGTATTAGAAATATTTCACTAAAATTTCAACCATCAGGGGACAAACGATTCTAGAACAATTTCATTTTTAGTAGTTCATATAAGTTTGTTCAATTGTTTGCAAAAAGATAATATAGATCTCTACAATTTTGTTTTACAATTTTAGGTAAAAAATAAAATATAAGCAAAGCATTTTAGGCAACTTTTGATAACTTTTTTTTAGTAAATTCTTATATTTTATATTAATTATTTCCATTTGAAACATTTCAAGTTATTCTATTTTTCAGTGGAATTTTCCGAATGCTATGATTACTCGCAAAGTTGGAGCTGCTTTAGCTGCTGGATGCACATGTGTAATTAAACCTGCAGAAGATACCCCATTATCTGCTTTGGCAATTGCTCAGATTGCTGAAGAAGCAAAAATACCTTCTGGTGTGATAAATGTTGTAACTTGTTCAAGAATTCACACTAAAGATATAGGAAAAAAATTATGTGAAGATTCAAAAGTGGCTACTATTTCATTTACTGGATCAACTGCTGTTGGTAAAGTAAGATATTTATTTAATCATACCCATAAATGTAAAAGGTTTTTGGCATTACCAGGAGATTTGTAAAAAATTATCCCATTAGCTGTATTTTTTTAAAAATATACGTAATGTAAATTTTTATTTAAATATACTTTAATATTTATCTGAGGTATCTTTGCCTGTTACGCAAGTTTTTAATCTGAAAATGTTTAGTTTTCTGTTAAGAAAATTGAATCCTTAATATGTATAAACATTTTCTGTTCCATTTTTTCCTATAATATTTTTTTTCATTCTGATATATAGTGTTCGATATAGTTCAGATTAAATTGTTACATTTCTTTGTTTTCCTACCTGAAATCTTTGTTAAAAGTTTACTTGTGATTTTTTTTTCACTGCATCATTTGTAAAGTAATTTTTGCATTTCATGTAAAAGATTAAATCCAGTAATCCATATAAAAGATTCGATCCAGTACTGTGAAATATTGGCGATCTGGATTTTTATTTGAATGAAATACATCAACAGCAAACAGTGTTAATTAATATTCTCAGAAAAATTCATTGAATTCTTGTGATAAATTTTTTTTCACTGCATCATAATTTGTAAAGTAATTTTTGAATTTTTCAGTAATTCTTTTAAAAGATTAAAACCAATACTGTGAAATATAGGTGTTCTGGATTTTCATTTGAATGAAATACATCAATAGTAAACAGTATTAATTAATATTTTCAGTAAAATTATTGAATCAAAACTTTGTAATGTAAGTTAAGTTTTGCTTAGATGTCAGCTTTAAGGCTAATTCAGAAATTGCTTGCAACCCAACTATGATGTAGCAAGGTTTAATTAGGCTTAAACTGATAGAAAATGAAGTTTATCAATTTTAATGTTTAATAATCATGAGACAAATAATTATTAAATATTATTTATGGGAGAAACACTTCTACAACTTTATAAAGTTTGCTTTTCTAAGTAAATTTATTGATAATGTAAATGGTAAAAAAAAAATCTATTTTTTTTTTCATTCTACATATTTAAATTATAATTAAAAAAAAATTTTTTTTAAATAATTTGAAATAAATTTTGTATATCTCCTTTCTAGAAACATTTGTTAACTGTAACCTTGGTAACTTAAAATGTATGGTTTATGTATTATAGATGTATTTTTTGTTGTGCATACGATTATTTAAAAAAAAGAAGTTATTTTTTAGCAAAATGTCGGCACCTGAAATGAAACTTGAGTTAAACGTAAATATTCCTCTTTATAGGCTGTAAAATCCTTGTCAAATGCAATGGAAATCTTATATTTTTCATTTGAATGTTCAAAAGGAAATTAATAAATAAATTCATTGTCGTTTGATTATTCATGTTGAAAATGTCTCAAATGTGCATATTTTTTTAATTACATTACTATAAAAAAATAATAGTTTGAAATTTTTGATGGTATTAAAAATAAATTTCATTGTGGTGCAGAAGTTTTGTTAATTGTTACTACTATAACGTGACTAATGTATAAGTTATAAATTATTGTCAAATACTTTAGAACTTTTTTTTTTAATTTAATTATCTTATAGCTTTTGCTTCAAGATTGTGCTCCGTATGTGAAGAGAGTGTCGCTTGAGTTGGGTGGAAATGCTCCATTTATTGTATTTAATTCAGCAAATGTATCAGCTGCTGCTGATGGTGCCATAGCTTCCAAGTTTCGAAACTCTGGGCAGGTATATTATAACTTTCTTTTTTGTTTTAAAAGAATGGACCAAAATATCTATTTAAATGCATTAATTTGTTTTATTTAAACAATGAAGAGCTCATTTAAATTAGTATGATATTATTACAATTATATTATAAAATTTTCCTTTTGAAATTTGAGGATTGATGTTATGATTTTTTTTTTGGTCATTTATTTATTCAAAGAGAAACTTTCATTAGATGTCATTTTTTATTTGTTACCAATTTTATTATTTCTGATAGTTGTAATAGATGAAGGTCGCAGGCATTTTTGTGACCTTAAAAATATCAAAACTCATAGCTATTAATCTAAATAATTTTGTAGTTTTCATTTGAAAACTTCACTTAATTTGTTCTATCATTTCTCATGTTTTAATCAAATAAAAAAAGAAAAACATTTAAGCTCAATGCGAATGATCGAAACATGGCAAAATCAAAGAAGGATAGAACATGAGGGGAAATGCTGTCAATAGAGTAGATATGAAAAAATTAAAAAAAATTATTAATTTATATTATTTTGTTATTAATTATTTTATTGTGACCTTAAAAACATCAAAAATCATAGCAATTGCTCTAAATAATTTTGTAGCTTTCATTTGAAAACTTCACTCAATTGATTCTATCACTTCTCAAGTTTTAATCAAATAAGAAAGAAAAACATTTAAACTCAATGTGAATAATAAAGACATGGTAAAATCAAAGAAGATAAAACGTGGGGGAAATGCTATCAATAGAATAGATAGGAAAAAAGTAAGAAAAATGTAATAGTCAAGAAAGATGAAAGGACAGTTGAATCAGAATTATTTTTCATTTCTTGTGCTGTAAAGATACAGCAATGATATAATCCAGTGGTGCGCAAACTAGGGGTCGCGACCCCTGTGGGGGTCGCCTGAAGTTTTTTGGGGGTCGCCAAATTTTTATGAAATGCATTATCCCTGCATGCTGCATACCAAACAGTGTACATATAATGAGTGAAGCGCCGCCACTCCCTGTTTAATTGCAATTTCATGCTGTCCACTCTTTCTGATGGTGCTGCAGCATTAACAGTGTTGTGTCACAACAACCAGAAATAAGACGTGAGTTGTACCAAATAATTTATTTAAACATTCACACGAACAATCACAAAATATTACCCAAAGAAATATCTCTTCTTAGAAAAAAACTCTCTTTTCAACTACACAAAAAAAAGAACATCACTTCTCGTGTGTGTCTCTCAAGCAACATCATTTTAGCATTACCTCTCGAGGAATTGATGCTTTTAGCTCAGTTGTCACACNCTTTTTATTTATCAAATGTTTTGACTTTATTAAAATCTTGGCATATTAAGTAGAATCTATTAAATATTGCTTTCATATTTAGTTTTTATTTTATTTTTCAAGTTGAAACAGGGTATCTAGCAAACTGAATAACCTAGAAAAGCTGGGAAAATTTTCAGATCCCCTGAAAAAGTGAGAAAATTATTTTTTTCTAAAAAAAAGTAAGGGAAATTTTTAACTTCCAACTCAAAGAAACTTTACATTCCTGAACAGAATATGGAATATTTTCATGACACTGTATTTTAATTTTGTCTTGTCAGGAAAAATGTGTTCCACTCTTTTTCCTCTTGTGCTTTTTTTTTTGTCTCCCATAATATTTCTTTGTAATCAAAGAGTTATAAGGTATTATTCAGTAATTACAAACTAACTGAATTTGTAATTACCAACTTATTTGAATAACTGTTTCTTTGTAAAACAATTAATTTGGTGTGTAATAAGAAAAATGAATTTCATAAAATTTCTATTCCATTGAATTATGTAGCTATAGTAAAAAAGAGTATTATGTATTCTAAGTTATTAATGTGCTTTAAAAAGTAAGAAAAATTATTTATATAAAAAAAGTATTTAAATACTTGTAAAAATAAAATAGCCTACTACTTTATTTTAGTATTTATTTTATGTTAAGTTTAATAATATTTATTTAAAATTAAATCTTTAGTTTAAAATTTTCTTTTTTAGTTAAAGCCTGATAAAAAAAACTAATATGCTTGCATATGCTATTAAAATTTTATTTAAAATTGTGTGATAGCTTTTTTTTTTAAAAAAAAATTTTTACTGTTTAATATTTTATTAACTTCAAGATGTAAAAGTCTGGGAAGTAATATGGTTAACTTTGCCAGACACCCTGATTAAATTTTATTGAAGTTAATATGAATGTAATTCTTATAATTAGGCGGATAGACATGTAAAAGATGCTGTAAACAAAGGTGCAGAACTAGTTACAGGAGGTAAAGTGCATTCCAGTGGGAAATGTTTCTATGAGCCCACTCTGCTGAAAAATGTTAAGACTGACATGTTAATTTGTCAGGAGGAAACTTTTGGACCAGTAGCTGGAGTTATGAAGTTTGTATATGAAAAAAATTCAATTTTTTTTCAAAAAAATTATTAAATAATTTGATATTTAAAAAATTAGAATATTTATTATTCTATAAGATTGTAAACCTTTAAAATTGTTTCTGCATTATTCTTTTAAAACTTTTAAGATTTCTTTTTATTCTTAACATTTTTCTTTTCGTTTATAAAATTCGAAAATATGAATATTTGGCATCATAAAAATATATAGTTAAGTTTTTATAAACCTATTTTGCAATTGGATTTTATATAGAATATTTTTTATTTGTCAGAAATTAGTTTAGTCAATTATTTTATATGATGCATAAACTTTAGTCTAGAAATCATAAAATCTTATCATTTCTATAACTCAAAACTTCCTTTAAAGAAAAAAAAAATATGGTATGAAAAATGTTGGCAATACAAATCAAGCCTAAAGAAATAATAACAACTAATATTACTTATTTTCAATACAAGACATTGTCAAGTCATTTGTTTAATAAAATTTGAAACTTATTTTTTATAACCATGGGCCATCTGTTTTTTTGTTCTTAAACATTTTGAAGACTATAGAACGAGAAATTGTATTAAGATATGAAACAATGAAATGTATTTTTTTCAAAAATTTAAACTGTAAATTACTATTTTGTTTTGTTTAAGAGCAAGAGATGGAAAAAAGGTACTTTAAAATTAATAATATTTCAGTAGAATATTTTGAAATAATACTTCTCTTTATATGAATGTCTACTGTAACAGCCAAACCTCATTGACGTCAACTCAAAGGGGAACAGAAAATTTTTGGACATTAAAAGTAGTTCATGTTGTCATTTCAGAAAGATAAAGGTATGAAGGAAGAAAAAAAATATTATAGAAATTCAAAAAAGTGTACTTTCATTTGGTGCTAAAAATTGTCCCAAAAGAAATTAGGTTATACAATTAAAGAAAAATTACAAAGTTATTATTGTATAAAGAATTAGTATCTTTCTAATATATTTATAAATTTCCTATAAAAAAATATATTAAAATGTTAATTATGATATATTTCTAAAATTCTACTTTAATTTTAATCAATAATATTATGTACTGTTTCTGAAGTTTATAAATAAAAATTATTTAATTTAATATAGATTTAAATCTGAAGAAGAAGCTATAGAAATAGCAAATACTGCCAAGACTGGACTGGCAGGTAAGAATTTAAATTTTATATCTAAATTTCACTACTTTGTAGTTTTTGGCACCTTTGTAAAATAAATATTATAGCTCAGAAAGTTTTCCAAAAGGAACTGAAAACTAAAAAGTATTATTACATAATGATTTGAAGGTTTCAATTGTTTTAATGTGTACTTCTAACTAACTTTCATTGACTATTCCTAGTAAATCACGTGCAATATTTCAGGTTATTTTTACTCTCAAGATATTTCTCAGATATGGAGAGTCGCTAAAGCTCTTGAAGTTGGGATGGTAGGAGTAAATGAAGGAATTATATCTACGGCAGAAGCTCCATTTGGCGGTATCAAAGAATCCGGGATCGGAAGAGAAGGATCACATTATGGAATTGACGAATATGTGAACATGAAGTACATCTGCCTCGGTGGGCTGAACTAATGCATTTTGTAAGTTGCTGTATCTCTCATGTTAATCTATAATTTTATTTATTCTTATTCAAAGGTACTAATCCTACATAAAATCTGTTTAATATGCCAATGTAAACTTGATCAGTGCTCAACTTTTCTTCACTTTCATGATTTTCTATATCCTGTCATTGATATAGGAAAGTTTTACCCATTATAGAAAATGTTAAGTTTTAATTTCTGGTTTTTGCTTCAATAAGTTTGATTCCAAAGAGATTTAATCGCCACAACATAACTTATTTACTGAGATTTATCAAGTGTCACATAATCAATTGGTTGTATGCTTAAGTGCCGACAAAATTTTTAAAAAGTTATGTATTAGTGGAAAATATCCTCCACTAAAAGTGTATGTGTTAGTACTTTTAGCATACTTTTATTCAATTATGAAAACTTAGTGAATTTCGCACCTTAAAAGTTATTGCCCATCTGTTGTACGAACATTATAAGTTATTTGAAAAGAAGGGAGTATTTTATATAAATACCCAAAATATTTGTTGCTGCTTTTATTGAATATTTTAAAAAGATTGAATTTGGTTTTCAATTTTCAAACACACAAGAAAAAAATTCCTTTTGATTGAAAGAGAAATAGTAAATTTAAAATTGATTTTAAGGAAATCGCTAAACCAAACGCTAACAGAATGCAGTAAAATATAGATAGTTCAAGGTGGACAGGACCAGGCACTGAATCTTGAACTGTTGAATTCATAAAGTTGAATGTAAAAAATTAAAGCAATTCTTAAATTTAAGTGCACTTTATATTGTAGTTCCAAGATTCAGCCACTTAATACATTTAATCCTTACCTGTGGTCTGCGCAAATATAAAATTTTTAATAGTCAGAACCAATTTTTGGAACAAATGTTATGGAATTTGAAGTAACATTAGAGTTTTCTGCTTATATGTTAAATTATACTAAAATATTGGATGTTAGCTACGATATTTATCCTAGTTTCTTAGTTCATGTAGTAATTATTTCATATGATGTGTATATTTTGGTTTTTGTTTTGACATTTAAATGATTTTTCCACTAACTCAGATTTATGGGAAGCTCGAATTATCAAGACTAAACTTTAAGCTGTACAGAAGGTAGCATAATAAGCACAAAAGAAATTAGTTATGAGACATATACACTGTACCTGTTTCAATACTATAAGCAAATTCAATGTTGGGTGCTGAAAATGATAAACGTCATATTTTTAAAGTTCATATTTCTGAAATACTGAAATACTTGATTTTGCAACTGTGTTCAATAAAGCACATTTCATTGAATAAAATTAAACAAAAAATGTTCAAAAATATTTATTAGTTAATTAATAATGAAAGATAGGAATAGAGTAGGATGGAAAGTTCATGTAATTCTTCATACATTAACGTGGAGAATGTAGAATAAATCTTTTGTCCGATTAAGTGATTTAAATGTTTGGAATATACCAATTTATTTGATTAAGCTATGTAAGAAAATAACATTACTATACTAAGGAGACTAATGCAAGTATGATATTAATTTTAAGTCTAGTTGCTTGAAGTTATGAAAATTAAACTATGCAAAATATACTTCAGTAAAAATATTACAGTATAAAATGCAAATTTATTTTAAACACGTATGAAATTACACGTATAATAACCCAAATATCAATAATACCGAATATCAACACAAAAAATTAGGAAGATAAAAACTTTAATTTAAAAATTCTATAATTATTATAATTATACATATTCACTTTTTTTTAGGAAATAATAATACAGCTAGCAAAATAATAAAATTTTTTTGAAAGTGAAGTATAACTGAATTTCTCTATACTGACATTACAAAAATTGTATAATTCTAAAATTTTCACTATCGCAAACATATATTTCTTTTAACTCCATATTTTATTTTATGAATTTCTGAGTTATGCATATATGTTTCAAATAAATTAAGTCGTTTGAATTTATATTTAGTTATATTGCTTTTTTTTAGGTTATTAAAATCTCCTGTCTTCCACATTTCTGCAGATAGGACCAAGATTTATTTAGTGTCATAATTTTTTTATATACATTCGTTGATTTCTTGTTTTGTTTTAAAGTCTATATTTTTACTTGTTATGAAGTACTTGTACAACTATTTTTTACTGTATGAAATAAAAATTTCAGCTATTATAAAATATTGCTTTATAATTACATGTTTTATATTATTTTGATGTTTTTGTTTCAAGATTGACATATTATTTTACTATATTTATTTTGTACAACATATTGCAATTATGTAGGATTTTCTTTTTAAAAATGTTTTAATGTACATTCAAGTAATTTTAACAATAAAATGTTTAAATCTATCTGAACATTTACTTTAAAAAAGTAATAATTATTAATATTGTTATTTAAAAGTTTATTTTATAATTTTTACATTAAAAAAATTCATTAACTATAGCTTAAAAAATAGTTCAATTTTCAATTAAAATATTTATTTTTGGTATTCAGTTTTTGCTCAAGATAATTTGAGTTAGTTCTTGAAAAGTAATATTCTGCAATATTTAGAAATAAATACAGTTTATTAAATATTTTTATAATTGCAATATCAATAATGGAATACTTTTGAAAAGTCTCATTACCATTACGATATTTTTTTCCGTCAAGTTTCTATGAAACAGCTAAGTAATATTCACATTTATTGCCTATAAAAGAGTTTTTATAGGTATGTAACAATAGATTCTTAACTAGCCATTGTTGTAATATTTATTCAGTTTATTCTCTAAATGCTAACAATGTCATGTATTTCATAATCCTTCTTGTAAATAAATTAATATTATATGCATAGTGTAGGACACAAAAGAAACAGTCATAATAAAATCTAAAATTTGAAGTAAAAAAATGCAAACTGCAACTAACTTGAAGTGCATGAAATTTTCAACTCATTAGCAATGATTATTGCTTTTATTTTTAATGAATTTAAAGACCCTTCTACTAAAAGTTTTAGAGTTAGAAGTATGAAGGCTTTTTAAATTCATACAAGAGCACTGGTTTTGGCAATTTTAATTTCACTTTTAGAATGGTCTATCGTGACTGATTCATCAGATTTGTTTTTAAAAAAATTTCACTTAAATTGCCACTATTGTTATTTAAGTTGTTTTTAACTCTTTATAGAAATACATTCCCGAAATATATAGGAAGAATGGTGATTAAGGAACACCTTATATATCTTTTGGTGTTCAAAATCTACATATTTTAAACAGAATTTAAATAATGAAATTATTTTTTGCTGACAAGATTGTTAGCTGCATTTCGAAACCCACAAAAAAGAAATTTTATGTAAAGCTACACTCATTTGATCTAATATAGTACACAAATTTCCAAAGCTTTTTCACATCATAATTTTCTGCATATATCTTTAGATTATTTAAATCTGATATATTATTTTATGTATGAGTAGTCAAGTTGCAATTTTATTTAAACACTATGCAAATTTTTTTTATAACTTTTGTGAAAAAAGCTATTGTAGCTTAATAAAAGTGACTGATGTCTATAATTTATTTTTACCAAAAATTAACAAAAACAAATTATTCTTGCTGCTGCTATCATAAGCTTTGCAAATAGAGAACTTATTTGTTACCTCATACATTATAATTTTTCTACTTCATGCATTGAATAACTATTTTTTATAAAACTTGTTAAGCATTAAGTACCTGGAAAAGTTCAAGAGATCTCAGTTTATGACTTGTTTTATTTTAAAAAAATTCTATTAATAATATTGCACAGCCTTAGTTAAGAGGAGGAAGACCACAAAAAACAAGTTGACTTTTGGAAGCCATAAGAAATTTAATTTTAAGGAATTAATAATTACTTAATTTTTCCTAAGTGTAATAATAACAAATATTTCTATAAGTAAAAGACTAGATCTGCTTTTGAAGTTTTGCACAGGTAGTCTTTTTATTTTTTATAAAATCAAGTTATTACATATTTTTAATTTTATCAGAGGAATTTTTTATTCTATAACATTAATTACTTTCATTTCTTTTTTCCTAAAAATAATTTTTTTAATATTTTTTTGAACAAAGTTAAAAAGCATTTTTTTTTTGAAGTTCAGGTTTCCTTTTATGTTATTTATAAACTCTTCAATATAATTGCCTTCTATTCAAGGCCTGAGACAAAGTTTCTTTTGATTATGATGAATATGTCCTTGTAATCAGCTCTGTCTATAGAGTACTTACTGAATATAACATCCTTTAACAAGTTTAAGAATCAGTAAACCTCCTCAGAGCTGAAATCAATTTTTACGTTTTTGAAGAATTACAGATGGAATCATTCATGTTCACATCCAGAATTTTTCTACTGTCTTTATCTGAAAGGTTTTTCGCAATATTTTCAATAACTTCTTGGATGATGTTATTTTCAGTAATCTTCATATACTTATCATAATTAAAAGAAAATTCATTCCATTGCTCAGATAAACTAGGACATTTACTAAGATTTTTTGAATACTAAAATTTTGATTTATGGAATGAGTTTAGAATTATAGTGTAGACTACTTTTTTCCATGTTTGCATGCTTTGCTTAGTATTTTACTAGCATCTAACTCTTTTATTTTCACCACAATTATTCTACATTAAATTAAATGTGAACTGTTTGCCCATTTACTAGAAGTTTATCTATTTAAAGTGTGCTTACATATTAATTTTTTTACAAGTTCAGAAAGCAATCAGTTTTCCCCTGGAAAACATTGAACTAACCAAAATTGCGGGGAAATTATTGAACTTGGCCATAACTAGAAATTTTTTTGAAGAATTACAGCCACTTAAAATTATCCATATTCAAATTAATAAAAGGTCACAATTGTGATATCAAATATCTAATTTTTAATTATACGTAAGCTGAAGATTGTTAAGTTGAATCACACTGCACTTTTAATAAAAGTTATAAAATTTATTTTTCTTTTTTTAAAGTTTTAAAAGTTAATTTTCTAGGGAACAAAACTATGTATTTAAATTCTTTTTTGAGAAGCATTTATTAAATATACATAAATTATATAATTAAGACTTTCTTTCTAACTACTAATCTATTGCAAATCTATTTATCCCTTCTTTTCTATTTGCAAACTGTGATTATGACATTTTATTCCCTTATAGTTGTTTCTAGGAATAGTAGTTGGGGGAAAACAATAATTCGGTATGGAAATTTTTAAATTGTTTTAAGCAATTCGATGTGTAAGTTTTATTAATAATTATTTCATAAATCTATAAACTCCTATATATTCAAATTTCACTTTTAGGGAAGAAAAAGTGAAATTAAGTATGCAAATAAAAGTATTTAGAATTGTTTGGTTATAAATAGAGAGAAAAATTATGGAAGTTGCAATAAAATTACAACAAGGAAACCTAAGTAAAAAGAAATTCGACAACATCAGCTGACTTAGTAATTGTGATTAATTTAGTAATTTATATAATATCTTTAAAAAAAAGAAATTAGTTTAATTGAAATATAGCTGATAAAAAATATTTGTATAAATAAATTATTTAAATATTTGTCCTATTCGTAATTTAGCTTTATTATTAAAAAAAAAAAATTATGTATTTTCTATTTGTTTTTGTAATTTTCGATTTCAAAGTTTTTGAGCTGCTGTCTACTGAAGTAATGCAATTTATGCTGCTAAATTTTAATTGTCTAACCTCTGAATTATTGTTGTACATTACTGCAAAGAACTATTATTTTAAATAAACCATACTAAATTCAGTGGTGAGATAGTCCGTACATAGAGGGCTGCAGGAGCAGGTGATCTTGTTGGGTGGTCAGCCGAACGCAGAACCACATAGAGGGCCAAGGACTACTGCTACCAACTCAGTTTCCTTGACCTTGGGCTGCTGGAGCAGGTGATCTTGTTGGGTGGTCAGCCGAACGCAGAACCCTCAGCTTTTAGTCTACAAGCAAACTTGGTTCTCATTTTATCGACCCAATGAAGGGATGGAAGACTGAGTCAACTTTGCCCGGTCCGAGGACTGAACCCGGAACACGTGGCACAAGAGCGTGAAGCGCTAATTATTTCAAGTAAAACATTAAAAAAAATAAGATATAGTACCTGTTTAAAATTATTTTTTCAATAATTTTGTGTGTGTGTGTGTTTTTTCTTCTTTTTTTTAAATAACCATTTGGAAATTTAAATTAACACTGAGGATCATATCAATTATCAATGCGTGTTTTTTTTTATTATTTTTTAAATGTAATTTAACATTAACTGTTATCTAAATTTTTAGCTAAAACATAAATATCTGCCCCATTTTTGTTCAAGCTCAAAGCTGCTCTGCCCAACTAAATAAAAACTGAGAGCTTCTTTCTCCTAGAACTGATATGTTTCTATGATTGAATAATAGAACAGGTTTAACGTTTCGTCTCTCTATAAAGAAAAAGCAAATGTTTAGTTTTGAAAACGAACCATTTATAAGGCTCCACCATTCACGAGTAGCCTATTTAAAATTAATTTGGTTTCAACGATAAAGATGGAACTTGCGTTTCTCTCTGATAATTTCAATGCTTATAGTTGCTCTTTTTTTGTTCAAATTTTAATTTCTATAAATATTTATTTCTGATTTCAATTCCAAAGATAACTTTTACCCCAATTATTAATAAAATGTTTTAACTTTAACTAACGGTCCCGCAGTGGACTGATCGTTAAGACACGGTTCCCAGCAGATCACCGAAGTCAAGCATCACTGGCTACGGTCAGTGTGCGGGCGGCTGACCACTTGGATCAATCTGCGTAGGGACAGAGAGTGTGCGGTATTGGTCCTCGTTAAACTGTGCTACCGTAAAGTGCTCGACTTTGAGTGCAGGTCATCGGGCTACCGAAGCGGGGGCGCCATCCCCTCCGCAGAGGAACAAAATTGTGATGGCATGTCTTCGGATCATCCTCCAGGATGTTTCCCAGACCGTCGCCAATAGCCCATTGTCAGGGACCGACTTACAGATTTGGGGGCCCCGGGCACAGATGAATTTGGGGGCCCCAGCTAAAGAGCCGATAAATTTTAGTTAACATGCAAGGTCTTAAACTTAATATTGAAAAAGTATTTTTCAGACCATAAAAATTGCAAGTACTAACATGAAACCTTATTTAGAAGTACGTCCCCCAGATATTCAGAATTTAATTTAGTGAAATTGCTAAAAAAAATACAAAAATTTAATAAATATATCTAGAGGTTATGGCTAGAATGTTAAAAATTATGAAGGAAACAAGATATTTGTACCGAAATCTGATAAAAGTAATTGAAGTCTGATAAAAGTAATCATCAACATTCGAAAATTTCTTTCAAAGGGATCTTCTACATAAGGTTTTGTATTGGCCATGTAATGTAAAAGATCATTTATTGGGAAAGGGGGCCCCTCAAATGTTGGGGGCCCCGGGCACGTGCCCCGAATGCCCTCCTGTAAATCAGTCCCTGCCCATTGTGCAACTCTACTGCGATGTAAATTAACAACAACAATTTAACTATTAATTATGTTGAAGTGACAAATTTGGTTGCTGGAGTTTACACGAATACCGGTTCCATGTTTAGAACCTCCTTTGTTTTGTTTAGATGGAAAATTGAATGTAGTATGTTTTAACATTTCACAATGTTTTTCGCATTTAGATTATTCGAAAAATATTGCAAAAATTTCTCAATACTTACTTTATTAAGGGCTTGTTAAGGGCATTATTGAATCCAAATTTAAAATTATACATATTACTCCGGACATTGCTGAACAACAGTGGACTGATCGTAAAGACAAAGTTCCAAGCATCACCAGCAGCTCCTAGTTAGATCAGATTACTATAAGGGACTGAGGATACTCGATATCGGTCCTCGTTAAACTGCTCTGCCGTGAAATGTCCGATTTTGCGTATAGGTTGTCGGGATACCAAAATGGTAGCGGGAGAGCTATCCCCTTTCTATATAATCAAAATCGCGATGCCATGCCTTTGAAACATCATTAAAGATGTTTCCAGACTTCACCAATACACTGTGAAAGCTGCACAGTGTATTGACGACAACTCTAGTACGAAGTAGTAAGGTACTACTGCGAAGGCATTTGTAAAACGCCATCTGTATCAATAAAATTTCAACATCCACTTTGCAAGCTATAAGCTGCAAATATTCAAAGCATAAGGTTCCAAAGAGAGTGACATACCCCATGAATAAAAGTAAACAAAATAAATATTGCCTCCTCACGACTGTATTTGTGATATTTAATATAATTATAATCTTTTAGCAAGTAAGCTTAGTGTTTTTTGTTTAAATCCATAATCATATTTATTTAAGAGCAATCCAAATTGAATTTTAGAAGCCGTAAGACATTTTAACTTTAAAAATATTTTGCATAACAATTACTTAAATAAATAACTTTATTAATAAAGCACAGTTAGTTATTAACCTTATCTTATTTTTCAGATGTTCGGCCACGTATGTGTCTCCTCTTCTAAACTAAATTATAAAGGTTAGTTAGTTTTAAATTTTCTCTGGAGTTTTTCTTGTCTTGTGGATTTTATTTATATATTACTATTATTTATTTATATATTCATATATTACTTTTGTTCCTGCAGTTTTTTTGTAGCATGAACACGAAGGAATACGGGAAATTTTTTGACGCTTTAAATAGTTCATGTTTTCTTAATAGTAAAATTAATTCGCATTTTATATTAATTCTACATTGTTTAAAAAAAAGATGCAAAACATTGCTGTTGGGCATTTCAGAACCTCCTGCAAAAAGGCACTATCTCAATTTTAATAAATTTCGATAAATTACAGAGTAAGTATGATGCTTACATCCGAATTTAAATGTTATCTGAATTTTAAGAGATTTAGATTGTTATCATTTATAAATGATCCTTTTTTTGGAAATTTTTGATAACAAGAAGCAGCTAATTCCATTAATTACAGCAGACTCTGTATTTGTATAAAATCTGATGGGTAATCTCAAATTTGTTGAAGTTAAAAGAAATTCACATTAATCTAACTCAACTGTATTGTTTGTTCTATATATTTATATTTTATTTCTATAAACTTTTTTTTTTTGTATAAAATGCTGATAGAAATCTGTGGAATTTTCTTTTGCCTATTTTTTCAAAGTTTTATAAAATTAATTATTCATACATTTTTTTTTGGCAGTCTATAAAATTTTTGCCGTAGATTTTTTGGCCTTATTTATTTAAAAGTTAATTACTTTATCTGGCAAAGAATAATTTTTTTTTAATACTTATTGCTTAAAGTAAGAAATAAGAAAATCAAACTGTCGTTGTAGAGATTAACAATAAATTGTATGAAAAAAATTCTTTTTGAAATTATCTGTTGTCTCTTAAATATCTCTTTGTTTAAACAAACACAATTAAATCATTGTGTTTAAAGAAATTGTTTTTTAATTTATACATTTACTCAAGGTAATTTAGTATAAATTGATTAACTTGTTAACAAAATTCTTTTTTTCACACTTAGTGAAAGTAAAACAATATGAGACATAAAAATAAATTCTATAAAGATAAGATTTTTTTTTATTTTATAAGTTTCAAAACTTTTTCTCATGAGCAGAATTTTTTGTTTGTTAGCATAGTGAGCTTCGTTTTTTAATTTTTTAAATTACTGTCCTCTTTTTTCAATATATAAAAAAACTGATGTAAGAAGCACAATTTTGTAAAAATGTTTATAAAATTATACACTTTTTGATGCTACATTAGAGCCTGTTTTTGAAAACCGTGGAGCACAGCAGTAAGTACAGTACATTTCTATGACATCTGCTGATAGATTTTTTAAAAAAAGTTTAAACATTTTCTGAACTGTCCTAAAATATTTAAAATCTTAAACTAAAATTATCTGCTGATGTAAAAGTTCAATTTCATTTTCGAAAGTCTCTGATGATTTTCTATTTATTAAGTTGATTTTTAGTTTACCCTTAACGGACCAATGCAACCATATAAGCAGCACAGGACTTTTACTTACTGTTGTCTCATATATGGTGGAAAATCAATTTTATAATTTTTATTGCACTTATTGTTGCCAGATACAATTCATTAATTATAATTTATTATGCAATTAACCTTATAATTAATTATTATATTTACAATTAATTGATAGCAATTCATTTTCTTTGAAATTAGAATGTTAAATCTACCGTTTCTCTTTATAAGAGAAATAACTTGGACCCGGTGGAAGTAAACTTAAAATACTTTCCAGACCATTAAGGGTTAATTTAAAATTTTATGATTTGGTTGGACCATTTCTCTATAGGATTTATTAGATTTTTTTATTAATGTATAAAATTTAAAATTAGTTAAACTACATGCATTCAGTGTTTTCATTACAGAAAAAAATGAGAGAGAATTTCTCATACCCAAAGTCATTTCATCTCACTTAACTTTTTGAGATCTCACCCTTTCTCAAAAACAGGGTGAGATCTCAAAAAGTTAAGTGAGATTTCTAAAAATTAAAAAGCACAAATTAGACTTGGAAAAAAATATTTCTTTAATTATAATTCATTTTTAACATCTTCTAATATTTTAAAACATTGAATATTTTTGCTGCATCATCATATAGAAAACGTTCTATATCTACTTTTTCATCAGCTTTTCTCATTAGGTTGCTCAAATGTTTATCAGTCATTTGTATACGATATTTTGTCTTAATTCGGTTTCAAGTGCTAAATGACCTTGCAACAGACGCTGAACAATTCGGAATCACTAAGTAAATTTGTAGCATTGAAAAAAATTTAAACATCTTACATGAAGAAATCTTACCTTCGGTGAACACATGGTTGCAGAGAAATTTGTTCTGAAAGGTGTTCCGTCATTTGGGGGGGGGGGGACATTGTGTTCTGCTGTTCACACTGGTTCTGAACAATACTGGTAAATAGGGAAGCTAGATAACAAGGATCGATGTTAAAAATAATGAAAGATCAAGGAAGAAAAGTGAAACGGATTTTATTAAAAATGGCAGAAGACTAATTTTTTTTCTCCAAAATTCGCGAATTTTGAAAATAATTAATAGAGTGTGCGATCTTCTTATAATAATAATCGTTAATAATTTTTTTTATGCGAGAAAAGAAAAAAATAAGCGAGATTCTCGCATTATCGCGCTTTAGTAAAAACACTGTGCATTGTTTCATAATTCCTATCTATTTTATCTATGCATATATTGCTATATATACATGTTATATTAAATCTATATCTGATATATAAATCTTACACTAGTCTCGGCCTGTTTCATAATTCCTATCTATTTTATCTATGCAAATATTGCTATACATACATGGTATATTAAATCTATGTCTGTTTTATAAATCTTACCATAGTCTCAGCCTGATTGCACATAGACAGGAAAAATTAAATTTATGAATATAGATGTTGCAGATTGACTTAACAAGTTCTGCTACTAGGCACTAGAGTTTAATCTTCTGTGCAAAATACTTTACAGTATCAAAAATTCTATGCTATTTTGATTAATAATGTATTTGCACTTTTTTTTACCTTGGTTATGTTTTTTATTTATCATCACTACCCTTTTTTTATTCTTTTTGATACTCTTTTACGTTTTTTTTCTCTTTTTTTTCTTCTTACGATTTGTTAACATTAAGTTTTTTTACTTTTTGAAAGCATTTCAGTATTTTCACTCTCATAATAATGACTCAAATAAATTTTTTGAAAGACACTTTAAGTATTATTGTGCATTGATATATTTAAAGTGATTATTAATTTTTATGTATATTGTGCTAATTATGTCCTATGACTTTTTATTAGCTTTCAAGTCTATTATTCAGAAAAGGTATTGCTCTAGAATGTGGTTATTCTCTAGGATTAGTAACGTAAGTTCTAATATATTTTCAATTATATCATTGTATAAAAATAAATGTGTTTTTATTTATTTAATTTAAATTACTTCATTTAAATTAATAAATTTATTTTATTTAATTTAAATGAAGCTTGTGAATATGAATATTTGGTTAGTAAGGAAATAAATAAATAGGTACCAAAATCCTTTTGAATAAATTATTTCAAAAAAGGATGAAATAATTTTTATTTATGCTTTTATTAGCAAAATATATATAATTTTAAAACTATCAATCAAGCAATCTTTACTGTCAGGTAATTGGTAAATTTTGGGTCCAATTTAAACCTTATTAAATATAAGCACTTTTTTTAACAACCTATTTATTTATCAATAATATAATTTCAATCATTTTCTATAATTATCTTTTGCTCTTTACACATTATGGAATTTTGAGTTTTCTTCAAAGAAAACCATTAATTTCTATTTCTTTGATACAGTGAATATTTTTGGCGTTAAGTGTATTTTGCAGTTATCTGGATAAGTAAAAATCTGAATTGACAAAGTTATGTAAATAGGATGCATTTTTCTTATAAATGATTTTTCACATTGTCTGATAAGGGGCATGTTGTGATAAAGATTCACCAACTTATTCATTACGTGCCAAACGTGGGCATTTTGTTTTACATTTCAACATTAAGACAGTTGTTTGAATAAGTTCTCATAATTATTTGATGCATTACAAAACATTGATGTCATTACATTACATTGTCAATACAAATATTATTATTTTTTTTATTCCTGAAAATAACTATAGGGTTCAAACATTTGGAATCTCCTAAGATTCAATATAAAAGGATGAATCATTCTTAAAAAAAGGAAAGAAAAAAAAGTTGTTTTTTTGCTGTAACTTAGTTATTAAAATTTTTCTAATGTTTTATCCGCATATATATTTAAGTTCTTATAAAACTATGCAACTATTTATTAAAAATAATTTAAATATTTATGATTTATTTTTCAATAATGAAGCAAATATCTCCTGCATGAACATCTATAGCTCGATAACATAAAATATTTTATAACACAACACCTACACTAATAAAAATTTGATCTTAAGGGGAAAATTTAAACTCCACAGAGAAATATCTTAAGAACATAAACATCAATAATCTTATTTAATAGTTTATAGATGAACAAACTAGCATCTAATAGAACCAATTTGAGACCTTCTCTGGCCTTTACTAGGCCGTCATGGTGATTAAAAAGTTCTAACTTACCTTTTTTTTTAAAAAATATTAGTTTTATTTTTTATCTTCTCCTTCAGAAAATGTCAGCTTCTCTTGACTCTGGAAATAATGCAAATCAGCTGTAGATAGTTTGGGAGAAAAAACAAACTTTTCATCCCATTAAGAATGCAACTTATTTAACTGTTTATAATTTCCATTCTAGTATTTAGCAAAAATTTTACTGTCTTCTCCATGAATAGACAATAAGAAAATCAAATAAGAAAAGTCTATTTCAAAAATGTAATAAATACTTCAGGTCAAGGCATGAAATTTCAACTTGCCAACTTGTTGTTGGTAAATAAATATTTAAGACTGACAAGTAAATTTTTTAATTTAAGATACTGAGTTTTAAATTATTGTGTCTCAATTAATGCAATTATTATTAATTTGTGTCTCAATCTAGCGGCGCATGTAAGTAATTTGAATTCAATTGATAGCGTTTGATATTTAAGAAAAAAAAATGCTAAGTCACCCATCTTTTCTCTATGAAACCATTATTAATTTCGAAAACCTTAGGACAATCTTACTATGATTTAATGTTATAAATCTTTTATTATGTTTCGATCATTTTTCAAGTTTCTGCCTTCTTTTAGGGATTTGGTTACTAAAAGATTTTTCACATTTTAATGAATGGGAAATAGTTGCCAGCAATTCTTGCTAGTACATTTAAAACTGAAATTTCTCCTCTGCTTTAAACAGATTACCTTATAAAAATAAACGTTTTGTTTTATCAGCTTAAAAACTGAATAACTTGAGTATTAAAACATCTTCTGTTTACAATTCAACTATTGCTGTAAATGTTGTCTTGTTTTGTTGTTGAAAATTTTGATTTGTTAGAATTTTTATAAAATTATTTCAGAAAATAGTTTACTCTATATCTACTACTATATCACTTACTCTATATCACTTGAATATGCAACCTGCTCTTGTTTTCCTCAAGGCCCCCGTGACAGAATCATGGTGACTTGGCGACATTGTCGTAGAACATTACGGAGTTCCTGTGGAAAGATTTTTTATTTGTTAAGCAAAGAAGTTTGGATTTTTTTTACTGCAGAAGTTTTTGAAATATTTTTTATTCTACAGATCGTTTTTTCCCCTTTCTTCAGAATTATGTTTTGAAAATGCCTTTCTCCTGTATCGGAGGGGGAAAAAATGCTTTTGATTTTTTCTTACTTTCTTTTGAGAATCTAAAAATTGACTTTTGTCAGAATTTCAAATTGATATTATAAAGAGTAATTTCCAAATAGCAAAAATTTAAAAGAAGTTAACGATGCAAATATTTTTTAGAATGGGAGAATATTGTCAGTTATACTTGAATATGTATTCTTTTATATTTAGATTTTAAAAAAATCTTACATTTATAATTTTAAAAAAATTATACTGTTCTGTTCTATACATGAAGGCTTTTTTTGTAAACAGAAAGCGCTTCTGTTACTTTAAATTAGTAACATATGTATTTGCTACTACTATTAAAAATGTCTCTCAGAAAGGTATTAGTACTAGAGAGAATTGTTGAAGAAAGCTTGAAAAATTCTGCCACATTCCATTTTTTCGCTGTCAACGTTACTTTTTTTTGGTTTCAAATCCAGTTTGTTTTCATTATTTGGATTTTGGGCATCTTGAATTAGTGCCTATTTTTGAGCGTTTGACATGTGTCAACTTTTTCTACTTTTGTAACTTTTAAAGCAATTGAAGCTTTTATGTTATTAAGTATATTTTCCACCTCAATTTCTTGTAATTATCCATTTAGCTTTATTTAAAAATGTTTTAAATTTTGATCGTCATTAAAAAGAAATCTCATTCGATGTGATGTGACACTACTGTGTATGGTTTCCTAATAATTTCCCAAAATATATTTATTTCATAAATTCAGCATCTTGCTCCTACATTTAAGAATCTATCACAATATAAAAATTTTAATCGAATTGAAATCATGTATTGGCTTATAAGTAATTGAGTACTTATATTTATTACTATAAAACTTTTAATGTTGCCTAACTCTATTCTTTTCTACACTAGGTTAAACAAAATCTGTTACCATTAGAACAATTTCGAGTCTTCCAGTGTTCTCTCTCACAAAATAATTTCAGCGATGTCTTTTCAGAGCAATCAAAACAACACTTTTTAAAGTCTATAGAGAAATTAGCCTATAAAGATAAAAGGAAATCTAAAAAAGAGGCTGCAGTGTTGGTTCCATTATGCATCGCAAATGGGGAACCATCCGTATTACTAACTCTTCGATCTTGGAAAATGGGACGAAATAAAGGAGACGTTAGTTTCCCTGGTGGTATGAGGGAAACCTCTGATAAAGATGTCGTTGATCTGGCATTGCGTGAAACAGAGGAAGAAATCGGCTTATCACCTAAAGTTGCTCAAATATGGACCCTATTGCCAAGCATACCTAGGGATGATTTTAGGGTAACGCCAGTTATTGCGTTCATAGGTGATGTTAAAATTGAGGACTGCATAGTAAATCCAAGTGAAGTTGATCGAGTTTTTACTCTAACTTTAAAATCTCTGTGTGATCCGAAAAACTTTCATTATACTGAATTTAAATCTGGTTATTCCTTACCTTTGTATATTGTTGGAGAGCATCGTGTGTGGGGATTGACGGCTGGAATATTGCATCATTTTTTATCAATATTTTTACCAAAGGTTTATACAAATAAGCTGCCTCGTCCGATGATGAAGAAACAAAAGCGTGCTCAATATTAAAATTAAATTATTAATTAGTATTTTGAACATTTCAAACTTATATATTTATTGATTATCCATTGATTCAACTATATATTATACCTAGTTTGTATTCTACCTTAGTATAATTTGATGGGAATTTTGGTCATAATAGCTGTGATTATTATCCTTTGGTTATAATCTTTTTAAATTGAAATATATAGATTGGGGTGTATAACCTTTTTCCTTTTTTGCCACAAAAAAAGAAGAAAAAAATAGCTTTTGAGGGTTGAGTTTCAAAGTTTTTATATCCTATATTAAAAATAACTTAATAATTTCTTAGTATGATAATAGAAGCTTTATTCATCTTAACTAAGAATATTTTTTTTGGTAAAAAGATAATCGTAAAAATTTCTAACAAAAAAATATTTAAATGTAAAAAAAATTGAATCCAACCAAAAAAAATCTAAATCTAAAAAAATTGCTAAAAATATAAAAGACAAAGCAAATTTATAAAATTAATTGTATAATTCTTTCATAGTAAAAAAAAAATTGCAGTGTTGTTACCGTAGTCTTCTTTTCATATAATAAAATAAAGAGTTCGCCATTAATACAATTAAATTACAACAAGCTTTTAACTTTTTCCTGTTGAAAAATAGTAGTTTTTAAACAAAATCTTGAACAATATGCGTTTTGAATATGTTTTGGTTAAAAATATTTTCTTTAAATAACTTCAGAAGTGCAAAAATTTTAAATCTTTGGTATATTAAGATAATGAAGTTAGTTTGGTGTGAAGTTATACATTTTTCTCGTGTAAATAGCAATGGGGTTTATTTTTCGCATAAAGTTTTGGCCAAAATGTTTGTGGAAAATTTTTCTAGTGCAAAATTATGTAATTTTTTTCATACCATTTTTGATAAGAAGAAGAGTGCCGCACATTACCCATTAAAAACTGGCTTGCTCTAACACTAGTGGTTGAATAAAAACTTTTATAACTTTAAAATGATAGATGTGGCTGGCTAAAGTTGATAAAATGAAATAGTATAGCGTTTTGCATTTAAGACACTTTTAACGTAGTTTCATTTTATGAACAAATATCTTTTTAATCTAAAACTGAGCAGTTTTCTATTCATGTTTGAAATAATATTGATTGATGATCTATATATTTTGAGTATCTTAATTCCTATTATTAAAATTATTTTTGTAGCTTGTAAAAAAGAGAGAGAGGGGGGGGGGAAAGGAAGACGATGTTTAGTTCACTATGTCCAATACTAATACAATAAAATAACCCATTTCAGTATTAAGCACTAATCATAAATAATCATCTTGATGGGCATCATTACGTCTTCCATTGTATAGCTATCTTACATAAAATGTTTATTTTAGTATACAGATTTTTTTTTTACTAGAACACAATTGAGCATTTAATTACATACTTGTTCACCATTTCTCTTTCAAGTAATATTTAGATAGTTTATACATGTGTATAAATAAAATTAATTTTAATTTTGTATTTAACATGGCCAGTTCAAAAGTGATTAATTTGAAATAAATTTCTTTTAATATTGTGTAATCAATCTCTAAGATTTTTTTCATACATTTCTTTAAAAATACATTTATTTTTGAGAAACTGATGAATATTAAGGATTTTACTGGATCTCTCAAATTTTAATGGAACACTTTAATTTTTAATTTAATAAATATCTTTCTTAACATTCATCACAACATTCGTGTGAGAATGCTTTTTTTAAAACACACTTTTTTAAATTGCTTTTTAAAACAAAAATTTTTAATGAATTATTTTCAAATTTGCATTCTTTTATTCAGATTTTGCGTGTGTCAATATATCTAACAAAATCGAAGTGATTTTTTAAGGAATGAACTTTTTTCATTGCTTGGAAATTATTAATTTCAAACAGATAAAAAATTTTCTTTAAAATTATCCCAAAAATTAATTAGCATTCAACATCTTGTTGGGATTATCTATTTATAAAAGTTGTAGATTCAATCTATTAAAAAAATTATGGAATAGTAATTAATAAAAATAATTTAATTAATTTTTTTGGTACATCATGCAATTTGTTTTTCTCTTTCAAAACTTTAAACCAACAAAATTTTTAAAATTTGTGCAGTAGTGACGATCTGTTCACGTATGTATAATGTTTATTATTTATAATAAATTGTACTAATAAAATATTTTGTACAATATAAATGTCTGATTTATTTTTTCTTCCAAAGCAAATGAAAATGTCTTTCACTATTCTTGTCCTTCATAACCTTTACTTGAGGTATGCTTCATCAACGAAATTTGTAGTTTAACTTCTTTTTTTTTATTGTTACGAATTAAAATTTAGGTATCATCCATTGCATGAAATTGATAATTTTACACAAAAGGAAAATAATCAGGAGAAAATTGATCTAATTTTTTTATTTTTCAAGAATAATTTTGTCAAATGTAATGACACACCGAAAAAAATTGTCTTGATACGTATGAAAATATTTAAATGCATTATTGTAGAATTTAAAGTAAATTAAAAGCTGTCAGATTTTGTATAAAACATAATGTGAAACAGAAGAGAAAAAAAAAACATATCTTGTTTTTTCTAAAAAATTTTTTTCCTAGTTCTTCCAATCGTTTAAAAGTTTGTAATTTTAAATCCTTTATTTTTAATGAGGTAAAATAGCTCGATATTAAAGTTATGCGAATTCTTGAAATCAAAAAATTAACGATTAAAATTTGTTTTCGAAATTTCGGCTAAACATTGCACCTGATGTCAGTATTTTAAATAATAGTGTATTTAACATTTGCTGTTATCCGAATAAAATGAAGTGTATTTCTTACTATAATATAAAAATATAAACCATTCTAACGATTTCCAATGTTCGTATTGGACAAGCAAATCACATGACATGATGCTTAATAAAAAGCGAATGTTAAGCTGAAGGCTGTGTTTTGTAACCCTTTGGCCAAGCAAAAGGAAAATCGCACTTTACTGTCTCGAAATGAAGCGTAGATTTACTGTCCAGACCTAACGAACAAATGATTTGAATATATTCATGTTTGGGAAAATTGTAAATTATACAAATTGAAGTAAACTTTCGGGAAATGTAACGTGAGGTAAGGCACGCAAATGATTGTAAGTACCATTATCAGTAATATGTGGAATAAATTTCGTTAATTTCTAATAATTCCTTCATTGATTTTCACAATCATTATTATATTCAAAAAATTACTAAGTCTTTAGAAAACGAAAAAAAAAAAATAAAAGCCAATTTGGCGACATTATTTCACCTAGAGAAAAATCACTAAAATCAATGGATAATTCTCAAGTCGCGCATATTTGTATGAACAAACAAAGCAATCGTGTAGGAAAGTGAGTGATAGGATAAGGCTCATATAAATTGGCTTAACCTGACACTAAAGCGGCATTTACGTACAGTTGGCACGATTTTCAACGTTCTCCAGTATGAATACTCAAATTTAATTCGTTCATAAAGTAAAAAATATAATTTTAAGTTTGTTTTAAATGATTGCTAAAACTAATTAAATAAAAACGCTAATGATGCCGTTATTGCGTTTTAGCTAGCCGAGTGTATAACTTTCGTGTTTTTTGTACAACTTTTAATTGAATCGATGAGTTCGAAAACCAGTTTTCTCGACTTTTTTTCAAAATTGAGATTCTTGCATTTATAAGTTAAGTTGATACAGATACATAGTTAGGATGTAAGGAATTCATGTCCTCCTACTTGGTTTAGCATTGAAATCTCAATTTATTGAAACAATGCCATATCCTGGAGAAAGATGACCCGTTCTCGTTTGGCTACCGTTGTTGCTTATGAAATTGTTCGCTTAACCTAATAATTAATTATTTAGTTTAGGCTTGTAATTTTGCTAATTCTTTTTATCACACTATGAGTGATTTAGAGGGTAGTTCTTTAGATGAAATATGCAAGAAAATAAGGAGGGATAAAAGTAACTATGAGCTGTAAAGGAGGTGACTACCATATATGGCAACGTTACTTTTAAAAAGTAACGAGTAAAAGTACAAGTATTTTTAAAAAAAGGAACGAGTTAAAAGTAAAAGGTTCTTATTTTGAAAAGTAACGAGTAAAAAGTACAAGTAGAAGTACAAGTACTAAACAAAAAAAGTAACGATTTAAAAGTACATTTCTAGGAAATCGAAAANTAATAATTCCTTCATTGATTTTCACAATCATTATTATATTCAAAAAATTACTAAGTCTTTAGAAAACGAAAAAAAAAAAATAAAAGCCAATTTGGCGACATTATTTCACCTAGAGAAAAATCACTAAAATCAATGGATAATTCTCAAGTCGCGCATATTTGTATGAACAAACAAAGCAATCGTGTAGGAAAGTGAGTGATAGGATAAGGCTCATATAAATTGGCTTAACCTGACACTAAAGCGGCATTTACGTACAGTTGGCACGATTTTCAACGTTCTCCAGTATGAATACTCAAATTTAATTCGTTCATAAAGTAAAAAATATAATTTTAAGTTTGTTTTAAATAATTTCTAAAACTAATTAAATAAAAACGCTAATGATGCATTCTAACCAGCCGTGAACAGTTATAACTTTCGTGTTGTTTGTAAAACTTTTAATTGAATCGATGAGTTCGAAAACCAGTTTTTTCCACTTTTTTTCAAAATTGAGATTCTTGCATTTATAAGTTAAGTTGATATAGATATATAGTTAGGGTATAAGGAACTCGTGTCCTCCTACTTGGTTTAGCATTGAAATCTCAATTTAGTGAAACAATGCCATATCCTGGAGAAAGATGACATGTTCTCGATTGGCTACCGTTGTTGCTTATGAAATTGTTCACTTAACCTAACAATTAATTATTTAGTTTAGCTTATAATTTTAGTAATTCCTTTTATCTCACAATGAGTGGTTCAAAGGATAGTTCTTTAGATGATATATGCAAGAAAATAAAGAGAGATAAAAGTAACTATGGTAAAGGAGGTTATAGTAAAGGAGGTTAACTACAAGTAATACTTCAAAGGCTATGGCCGTAGCATTTTAAGAAAAATGTGCTATCAGAATGCTCCTATGGAAAAACAAGAAAGGAGAAACAACAGTTTGCCACATTACAGCAATTTTATTTATAAAAACACTACACTTGATGAATTTGAACTATTTCCTTTCATTGGTGGTTTATGCAAATTAATATTTACGCTATACAAAAAAAGTATCCTAAAAATGGCACCATAACCAGTTAAGGCAGAAGGGTTTGGAAAAGTTACCATAAGCCACAAGAAACTTGCAGACATCAAAAAAGTTTTTGTAATATAAACCAAATTAGTATTTATCTTTCCATGATGAAACTTATAAGTGGCCAAGCACAGATAATCATTGTTCAGAAGATGACTGAATTTATACAAATAGTATCTATAAATAATGAATAGTATTCGTTTTAAGGAGATGACTGGTTTTTTCCGAAAAACGGCCATCTCCAAGTTCCAATTTTTTTTAAATTGAAAAATTAAGTGATGTTATCGCACAATTGCAATATTATATTTTGCGATAGAATTTTTTGTAACCCAACTATATTTTAAATAAAAAAAATTTAAAAAAAAAAGCTCTATATATCAAGCTGATATATGGAGATGACCGGTTTTCGAACTCATTGATTCAATTGCTTTCCTGCAATACTCACCGGATGCAATGATACTGGAAGATGCGTTTTCTTCCCAAATTGATTGATGTAGAGCGGAAAAAGTCTTTTTAAGGGGATGTAGAGCGCGAACTGAATTTCTTTTAAATTTAATCGTTAAAGTAATAAAATAACAATGTAAAATAACAAAGTAATATAATTCGTATTATATAATATATTATCATATTATGTATAATGTATTTTAAAATAATACATTGTACATAAATATATTTTATTACTTACAAATGTTTTAATAATGCTAAGAGATCGATAATGATAAGATGATAATAATGATAAGAATATATAACCATTTTATTATATTTAAGAATTGTTTATTGGAAATAATAACTTTTTGCAAAATAATAATTTCCGCTTACAATTACATAAAAACGAATTTAAAGTATGGGTAAAAATTTTTAAGAATATTTCATAATTTTTTTGTTTTGCCCATTTTTATGTTTTGCACTCACACGTTAAATCAAATAATTTTATATGCAATTTTTTTAAAAATAGTTAAACAGTCTTCGAAAGAGAAAAAAAAATCTTTTCAGTTTTATAAATGTGTAATAGTATATGTACCCAACTGAGAAGGATTAAGGCAATTTTTTAATAATCTATATAACTACTGGAAATGAAATATCCATAACTCGGTAGTTTGAATTTTAACAGGGTCTTCTGGATGCATCTTTTGGTTGAAATCTTTAGGGTTCATCGTTTGGCTTAAATATTTATTTATTTAATCATTTTAAAATAAATGAAAATAATTGAAGATCTTTATATTCTCTCTTCATACAAAATATTGACTAAAAAGAAAAGCATTTAATGATAATCTAATGAAATGTCAAAAATAAATATATGGTATATTTATTAGAATTTTAAAAAAGTGACTTCTTGTTAATTAATTATTTTCAGAACATAAAGTTATTTTGTCACAGTTACTTAACTATCATAATTTAAAGCAGAAAACCATTGACAGACATGCGTTTTTTTCCGACTCAATTTTTCTCTTTAAATTGCTTCTTATCTACTTAATACTTCCGGAGAAAAAATTTCCTTCTCGGCAACATTCACTCAAGCATTTTGACATTCTGTCTACGCGCATTTAAATATTCATGAAAAAAACAAGAAGCACTTCACTTTTTAATCAATAAATCTTGAGAGAAATGAAAACCTCCGAATAATTTAGTTTCTCTTTCTGCCCAAGGAGGGCGTGACGTTAAAAATGGCGGCACTCTTCCCTCCGAGCGAGGATGTTTCCCGAAATTCTCACTTATCTTCTATGGAAGAGTATAAAAAATTATATCAGCAATCTATTCAAGATCCTGATAAATTTTGGGAGCCCCTCGTGAAGGAGTTATTTTGGAAGACTACCCCACCTAAAAGTGGAGTTTGTCGATACAATTTCGATGTTCGAAAGGGAGAAATCTTCGTGAAGTGGTTTGAAGGCTCGAAAACGAATATATCCTATAATGCACTGGATAGAAACGTGGAGAAGGGGTTTGCTAACAGAACTGCTTTTTTGTGGTAAATTTCACTTTATATTACAGAAATAGTAATTTTTCTTGTGATTTTTTTTAAAGACTGAAAATATAAACTTTACTTAAAGGTTAAAATGTCATGAAAATATCTTGGTTTTCTACATTTTATGCTTTATGTCTCATACAATTATAAAATTATATTACAGAAAAATATTATATTTTATTACCTTTGGCTGTTTTTTATATAATTTGTTTTAAAGACTGAAATTTTTTTTTTTAAAGGTCAAACCCTTATGAGTATATTTTGGTTTTCTACATTTTATGCCTCATACAATATTAAGATTATATTTCCGAACGAATATAATATTTTCTTATATTTGGATAGTTTATAAGAAACTACAAGGACGGTTTCAAGGTACCGATTGGAAAATAATTAAAATTGAAACATCTATTGCCGTACATAATTTTGACTCGCTAATTGATGATTTCGACTAACTTCTACTTTTCTACTGTTCTCGACTAACTTTTTAATCTACCAAAAATTAAAAGTTAATTTAAAAATGGAAACACAAAAAAAAGGGTTTTCATTTTCGGTTATTAAAGGAGAAGTAATTAATTTTTCGCAACCGATTAAATAACCTAATTTTAAACATGTTGTTTTTCTACTTTCTCTAAAGAGATCGGAAAAAAAAATTCTAATTTTAATAGTTTTGTAGTAATTATTAGTCGGATTGTTGAAATCGCATATTTTGTAAACCTTAGCAGAAATCACAGTTGAAAAGTTTTTCAATGTGATAGAGAATAGTTTGGAAAAGTGCTTTTAAGAAAAATGTGCCTAAAGTTCAGTTTTCTACGCGCTAATACTATAAATAAAGAATACGTAATATATAACGTCATATTATATATTCTTTGCTATATGTCCGTGTTCCTCAAATTTTTTTTAAAATTTCTTAGGGTGTTGTATAAATCAAACTTTTAGAGATGATAGCAGAATAAGATGAAACAAACACTTTTCCTCCCAGAAAGATGGAGTCGCAGTTAAGATAATCTTATGATTTTCCAATCGTATAACGTTTTGCATCTAAAATCATAAGTAATAAGCAGTAATCTGTTTAAAAAATATTGAAGTAAATTCAAAGTACGTACTTTCATTGCTCAAATAGCTTCATTCAGATTTGAAAGGATTAAAATTCATTCCTGGATTGAATGAATGATTGTAAGATGAATGAATAAAAAAGTGTAAAAAACAATTATAAAATTAACGAAAAATATTATTCTTATTGGATATCTCGTAAAAAATTTTTTGGATGCAATTTTTTTTCTCATTTTTTAATAGTTTTAAAAATTGCACTATATGCGAAAAAGTGCGGTTCCATTTCCATTCGAAGATGAAACTGCAAATAGTAACTGTAACAGGGATCTTGTCTGTCTTAGAAATTCTAACAAATAAAAATGTGCCAAATAAACTTAAAAATTAAGTTTATGAATTTTTTTTAAACAATTTATCTATGTGACTTCTTATATCAAAACACAAAATTCAAAATAAATCTGTTGAATAGCTCCCGATCAAAAACAGTTTCACTTCTTTCTTTTTCTATTAAATTGGTAAAACGAAAAGCTGTGTTTTAAAACCGTTATAATTCAGAAACGATGATGCAACCTATTTATTCTAAACTTTGTTTGAATTTTAGTATAAAAAATTTTATAGACAAGCATGTTTGGGAATTTCTATTAATGCTTTTGGTAGATTTTATCTGGTATAATTTTATTTTATTTTATTTACTAACATAAGCGATCGCCTTTTACATTTGTGTTCCCCATATTTTACGTCGAAAAGTGTTAGTTTCATCATATTCAATAATTTAAAGTATTTTGCATAATTCGAATTTGAAGTAGCAAGACTATAATAAAATTAATTTTTCAGCGGAATAATAAGATAAGATACTAATAAGATATTGGTAACATTGTATAAAGATGTCCTTAAGCTAACTTTTAGAGGCCCGTAGCCCAAAATCGATCGAAGTTTTTTTGGCATTCGAGCTCACCCAGAGTTCGAAATTTAATATGCCAGATAAAAAACAAATTTCGCAAAAATATGATGCCAAAACTGCCGAAGAGAAAAGCAAAATATACTATTGAAATTGCATAATAACGGATCAAGTGTTATAATTCTTCTTAAATTTTATATAACAAAAATGTTTGCCCTATTTTATAATTAGTAACTGAATTAAACGGATTTTTGTATGTTTGTTTACAATCGCGGCAAAGCTAACCTTTAGCATTATCTTTCAACCTGGTTACAGAATTTTCTTGTTGTTTTGCCAAATGGTGATTTTTACTAAATTTGCCGATTTTTTATAATAAAAATTAATTTTATTGAATATACGTAATAAAAATATAAAATTTTTACTTAGTTATTATTAAATATAAATCATTGTTCACTACTTACTATTATTCTGATTCACTAAAATCTACAGTTTTTT